ATAAGTGCCTGGAGAAAGGTTTAGAAATGAACTGCCCAATTTGCTGCGATGACTTATTCACTTCAAGTGCTCCAGTCAGAGCTCTACCTTGTGGCCACTATATGCATTCTGCTTGCTTCCAGGTCCATTTCGTTCCCATTCTAGGTTTTAGGTTTCAATCTGCTCTCAAATTCAATGGGGGTAGAGTAATTTATTCTCAAGAGCTGTGTTTTCAATCTTATACTTTGTTGTATTATATTAGGCATACACTTGTAGTCACTACACATGTCCAATCTGCAGCAAGTCATTGGGAGATATGGCGGTAAGAAGATTTTCTTTAATTAAGTCTCCCTTTTGCACTCAACTAATCCCTTATTCTCCACCTTTATGACTCTCCATAAAAAAAAAATATATCTTTAGGCGCACAAAAGTATGCAAAGGCAAAACAAGGCCACGGTTTAATAATCCCCTACAATCTTTCTAAAATATACTTGAGTTCTCAAGTTGAGGCAAAAAAAAAGGAAAAAAAAGATGTTGACAATTTGCATTTTGAGTTTTTCATATAAAGTTAAGTTTTTACTTAGTTTGGAAAAGGTAAAACTTGAAAAGTATACATCTCTTGATCTTTAACTGATATATGCTTATGTTGTTGCTGGAATTTGAGATAGCAAAAACAGTGTAAGAAGAAATACACTCCCTTTGGTTGAAGAATTCATTGAAAAAAATAAAATGAGAGATATAATTAGAATATTCATGACAAGTCTCAATACCTTATATTCTCTGAGTATGAGTGACTGCCGAGATAACTAAGACGCCAAATTTTTATCATCATATCGATTGGAATTAGGTGGGCAGTTTCTTTGACAACTATTTTGTTGGGGGTTCCGTATACTCTTCGCAGGGTATTGGGGTATAACTATTAAGGAATAGTTCCCATTGGAATCCTCAAAGAGGTACATGACTAAGCTGTTTCTCTATCTATCCAGGTTTACTTTGGTATGCTTGATGCCCTATTGGCTGCTGAGGAGCTTCCTGAAGAGTATAGGGACCGCTATCAGGTGAATACTTTAGTTGTATCTTATATGTTACTCTTCACTTCGTTCCTTTCAAAAGCTAATGTCGATTTTTCGAAAGAGAAATTTTTTTGCATTTTTGTTGGTCAGCAAAGAATTTTTAAGTTCATTGTCTGTTAAGCCAGTTTGGTAATCACAATGCAGGACATACTCTGCCATGATTGTGATCAGAAGGGAACTTCACTCTTCCACTGGTTGTATCACAAATGTGGATTTTGTGGCTCTTACAATACCCGGGTTATCAAATGTGAAGCATCAAATTCCAGCTGCTCTTAGCGTGCTTCTTTTGACGGGAGGTAGACTGAGTTTGTAAATAATTGTATAAAAAATTAGCAATGAAAATTTTGCTACTATGAGGCTGATTATTGTCTATACATAATGCAAGTGAATCACTACTTTTTGAGACCACCTACCTCATTATGGACAGAAGCGCCTAATCAGTTTTATAGCAATATTGTACAGAACAACTTTCTTCCGAACTTTTTATTTATGCATTTGATATTTTTGCAGCCCCTATTAATTTCTTTCTTCTTATCGTTAACTTCATTTAAGTGCGCTGATTGTCCTGGGATCACACTGCAATTTATCTCCTATCTTGCTTTTGTTGTTTTCATCTTTTTTATTTTATTTTATTATTATTGTTGTAATATGTTGTACCTACTGCTATATCATATGTTGTAATATGTTGTACCTACTGCTATATCATTTTGAGTCCAATTCTGTAATAATTCTAACAATTGTGACAATGGTAGGCTTGGACAAATAGGAAAACAAGAATGATATTTGGAGCGTATAAATGGTCATTGAACCTCAAATAGTCAGTCACAAGTCTTATGTAAGAATTTAAATTTAAATTTAAATTTTTAATATATATTCAATGACATATGTTAAGAAGTTAAAAATAAAAAGAATTATTAAAAATTTAAATATTTAATATCTTAAAACTATAAAATAAGTATTTAATGCATTTTTTTTTTATAATTTAAAACTTGTAATAAAGTGTATTTAATGCTTCTTAACGTGTGTCTTTAAGAACACATTCAAAATATAAATTAAAATTTAATGCAAGGTTGTTTCTCTATTAACTTATATTTTTAAATGATTATAAAGAGAGGTGAAAATAAAGAGTCGTGTACTAATAATTTTAAATTTGATTCATTAAATATTTGATATTTTTTTTTAGTTTGTTTAAATAAATGAACTTAAATTTAAAAGCTCACGAATTTCTGACATTTGTTTGTGTATACAATAAAAAAGATTAATTATAAGAATGTTGTGGATTTTTTTATAATAAATTGTGAATACAAAATAAAGATTTATTTTTTTTATATTTTAATTTGAAAGTATATTTCCTTTTGCATTTCCCTTCTACATGTTCGTTGACGTTATTTTAAGAGTGAAAAAAAATATTTATTTAATTTTGTAATTATTAATAAATTTTAATTAATAATAAAGTGTGTCAAAATATTGTTAATATTCCTCGAATATTATCGTTGATTTGATATTTGCAAAATGTTTCCACAGCGTGTGGGCGACAAATTAATTTTCAAATCCAACTAAAATCTAGTTAGCTGACTGGGTGTGAGCAAATTTGATCTGAATCTCATAGGCAGTGGAGTCTTTCTTTCCGCAAGCAAGAAAACACAGGGCAAACTTTTAGTTTCTTGAACCAGCTGCGGAGTAAAGGGGTTGTTAATAGAGAATAACAGATCACTGAAGTTCCAGGTCCCTTTTACTACTCTTTTTTGTTACATTTTCTCATACTCTTCGTTCCCACGTTTGTAGTAATTTGGTATAATTGAGGAAATGAATTTGCTGACTCTACCTTTACCTTCAAAGGAAAGCAAGTTGGCTTTTCTATGCACCTAGCTTAGCTTCCGTCAACGATGAACTGGCTGTTGGTATTCAGCTATTTGTTGATCTAGTGATTCCTAAGTATTTTGATATATTCTCTTAATAATTCTTCGATTATTTTATAAAATGAACTTTAAATAGAAAAAGCACATTAAAAATATGAAAAGTATTTAATGACTTTTTGTATTTAACAGGAGGATGTAGAATTATTCTTCTTAAAAAAAGTACCCAAGACAATATACTTTTCCTAAAGAGGAAGCGGAGTTAATACTAAGAGCATGACTCACAGAATCTATGTTAGAATATTCAATTGAATCCCAGGAGAGAATCACACTTCAATTTGGGATGATTCATTGAACCTTTAGGCCTAAAAAGAAGACATGGAATTTAAATTATAGTGGTTCCCTTGGATGCTTCAATGAGTATATTATCGTGTGGAAACAGCATATTTGAAGATGCTGGGCCATCCCTATTTAAAGTAAAATGATTCCATCTCCAATTCTTGTTCCGAGAATTACATGCAGATAATGAAAGGAAAATTAAGAAAAGAAAAGAGTCAGAATTTATTTTTAACAGAACAATATTTAATTTGTCATTGTTTTCAACCTGTTGATGGATAAGTGGTTCCTACTACTTTGATATGTATAATCACATCGTTCCTTACATTTTGATTGTTTTAACGTCGATACTTGAGACTGATAAGGCAAGGAAAAAGCGGGTCCCTACCTTGTCACCAAGCTTTCATTTTTTTCTCCCTTGCCGATAATGATATTCATGTTAGTTAGTGTCACGCAACTAAAAAAATTAAGAATCCAAACTTTGAGAAAAGTTGAAGGCTCAAGGTTTGTTCATTCTTCAATGTAATAATGTCCTACCTTAATGTGGGCCTTATCCAGGTCAAGCTTGACAACTATCCACTTTTCTTTTTATCTTCGTTGTGTAAGGGCAACCAAAAACGTGCCTTATTTGAGTCTGCATAAAAACTCTGTAGACAGAATTTGCAGACATATTAGGGGAATGTGATTTAGAGGAGTGGCCACACCAAGCCTTTGTTCCATTCAGTTGAAATTTCAATAGCTTTGCTTCATGTACTACCACATGAGTTTCATTTCATGTCTCTTCTGAAGAGAAGGGGAGTTGTTGCCTAATTGCCTTGTCTGCAGTGCTTAAAAGGTTAGAATTAATGTTCTAATGGTTAAATGAGATCAATGTGAACATTATTTGCATATTCGTTTTAAACATTATTTGTTTTAATCACAGTTCAATTGATTTTAAAAGGCTGGTTGATTTAATTGTTAAAGCTTTATTTACAAGTGCATGACGATTGATGAATGAGACATCATCCTTTATCTAATTGAGTCGGTAATTTCTTAAAAAACCAAGTGAACGTGAGGCGGCCAGTTCTACGTTGCAAAATCTAGTTGCCATCCTGCAAAATTGCGATCTTACATGTCCCACTCTGCGTCACAAATTTTAAAGTTAATTTAATAGATAAATCTTTTTATATAAAAGGAGCTTGATCTTCTAAAATATTTTGAAATCAACAATAAATTGATCGAAATTTAAGTAAAATCATACATGGCTAAAAATTATAGTCTTTGTGCATATTCGGATTAAGATTGAAGCATATCATATCGCACATGATAAAATGACATTGTCAATGCTGAACCTGCACCATAATTTTTAGAAATTTACTTTTTTTTTAAAGTAGAAATAAGTGAAGAGAGTTTTGTCCCTCTTAATATTTTTTTATAAAATATAATTACAAATTAGATCCTAATTAACATATTTACAAGATTTCATTATCTATTGATTATGTTAATTTTTTATTAAATAGATTATTATATTTATCACTTTACTTCCTTTTTTCTCTTGTCTCTTCTCATAAATTTTTAAAAATTATTACTATTTAACAATAACATCAAACATCGCACGATGCCTCAAAATAAATAATATAATATTAAGATTAATTTAAAAAACTCTAAAATTTGTGTGAAATAAAATTAACAAGTTTTCTTAAAAAGGATTACATATATTCCCCGTGTAACAAATGTTAATGCGGTTACTTTATTTATATGATGAGTAATAGAAAACTTCTAGTTAGGCAACTCCAACTCCAACCGAACGTTACCTCTCTCTCTCTCTCTCTCTCATCGTTGCATATATAAACTTGCGATTTTTCAGAGAGAAGAAGAAGAAGCAGAAGAAGAAGGAAATACCCGTCTCCACCTCCCACAAATTTTTCATCACAATTGAGAACACTGTGTTAAAAGACAAAGTACAAAGGAAAGAAGGTCATCACCATCATCCATGGCTATGCTGCCTGAAAGATCGAAGCCACTGCACAACTTCTCCATGCCATGCTTGAAATGGGGTAACCAAAGATTCCTTAGATGCGTCAAAGTCCCCGCCGACGATCCCAACGACATCGACGCCGTTCGCCAGAAGCTCATGATCGATCTCAGGGTCGCCGCCGACAACCTTAAAGTTTCAATCTTTGAGCAACCCAATCACAATCATAGACCCTGGAATTTGAGGACCCGAAGAGCTGCGTGCAAGGAACCGAATCACACCAACCAGGTTGATTCTGTGGTTGATGAGAAAGAGAAGGAGAAGAAGAAGAAGAAGCTGAAGATGGAAGAGAGAGCTAAGTTTTCTGTTTCACTGTCGAAAGAGGAGGTGGAACAAGATTTCTGGGCTATGCTTGGGACCAAACCTCCCCGGAGGCCCAAGAAGCGGCCAAGGATTGTGCAGAAGCAATTGGATGTAAGTAACTAATAATAACACCATCAAATCAATTCAATTCAATTCATGTTTTCTTCTGTTATTTTGTTCTAAAAGTAACATTTTTATTTTCTCCTTTTGTGGTTTGTTTTGGTTTCGTTTATTTGGCAGACACTTTTTCCTGGTTTGTGGCTCACCGAGGTCACTGCAGAATCTTACAAAGTGCCTGATGTTCCTGAATGAGGTAAGGTGGAATGAATGATAATTTTTATGCAGTTGTGAATGTTTTCTAATTGAATTTTCTGACTTGAATTTTTGTGACCATTGGTCCTGCAGGGGCCTGGATTGATGGCATGGGAAATTGGCAATACTGGTTGACTTCTTACTTTCATGGTGTTACATAAATAATGGTAATTCCCATATCAACCATGTAAATTGAAAACTTAATTCAATAATAGTGAAAAATGTTGCAGCTTGTAAATTCTCCATATATAAAAAATACTGATACTGCTACTTCCTTTCCACTTCTGTGGAATTTTTTGGTTCAGCAATCACCATCAAATTGGTAAAATAGAATCCTGCTGTACTGGATGCAGCAGTTTTAACTGCTCTATTGTTTATTTGCTTCCAATTTGGAATTTGGAATTGATTCATGATAAAAGTGCTATAACCTATAACCCATTTTTAGTGTTAGAAGAGCTTCAGTTCTTCCTCATAGTATTGAAGCACCAAGTTGGTGAGTTGCTTGTCTGTCTGTCACAGGACTCTTCAGTTATTGTTTTTGCCTGAATCGTGAATAATATTTTAGCCATAAAACATGAGTTTGTTGTTCTTTCTGTGAAGCCATTATGTGATATCTGCCTCTAGGAGTGGAACCTCATATCCTATAAATATTGTACTAAGAAGTTATTTATGGCATAAGTCGTACCAGTTATGACATGAAGATAGAGTAAAATTGGCATAATTAAATTTGCATATTACGAGTGACTTTAATGTTTAAAAATTTATGAACATTAACAAAATCTTTTGGATATCTGTTAATAGATATTGGATAGTATGGTGAAAAATATATGGTTTTATTAGGTGGACTTAATCTCTTTTGAAATATAAGTTTATTAACTATATTTAAGCCAAATGCATCTTCAGAAAAAATAAATAAAAACTAAAATGGAAAGAGAAAATTGTTCATTGATTGGCTTTTACAATTTAGGAAAGCTATGGATTGTGGGGCCATTATTGTGGTGAATTACGAGAGTCTTTTCCACGAGGGAACTGGTAAGATTCGCAGACACTGTTTTGCTGGTGTATGTTGTTTGAAGTTCATTCAGAATATACCTGCTGCAACTCAAGAACTTACTCCAGTGATGTAAATCAGATAGAATTGCTATATAAACTTTCTGTTGGTGCTGAAAGAATAACAGTAAGAAGAAGCATATTTTACTTTTTCTTCTATTCTTGTCTTTGGAACTTTTTAAATGTTGATTGCATCTGTTACTAGAGAATAACTAAACAAACAGCTGAGCCAGAAGTCTTTCGTAAGTGCAGGGGTATTATAACCGCCATCTCCATAGCATTGTGTGACTGTTGAAGAAAAAATAGTAGCAAATAGTTAAGAATTTTCTTGGACCTGGATTCTCTTCCATTGAAAAATGGTGCAGTTTAATGTAAAGTATTGGTACTTTGGGGTTTGAACATGTCCAATGTAGTTCAATATGAGCCATTCGATGAAGATCAAATGGTACACGCTTTCAACTGAACCACTACACCATGTTTGGACTGGAGAGAATCCTAATGCAGACTCTCTCACCATAAACCTGTTCAATGTCTCTGACCCTCACCAAAACTCTGCTAGAATTGGTCTAAGCTCATGTCATTACAGATTTGCAATTGCATGTATAATATGCATGTGATACATAGATAAGTACTGTGATTAATAAGTAGATGAAAGTAGCAGACACAACCAATTGCAGACTTAAGGCGTGCTTATTAGTAGCGAAAATGAAAGGAGCAATTTGGAATAAGTGAAAAATGATAATGCAATTACTTAGACACATTAAATAAATCTATCCCATTAATGTGCTGGAATTTAACAAAGTCTATGTAGGGGTTTTAAATAATACTATTAGTATTAAACTATTAATGTAAGAAAGCTATGTCAGGTCGGGCCCAAATAAGCCGGGGCAACCTGTTTGAAACTGTGTATAATTTCTCATAACTTCGACCCGTTTCTATTCCAAACCAACAAAATCTTGATCTGGATATGTGGCCCAAGTTGGTCCTTTAAGTTTGCTTAAAGTCCTAATGTAGTTTCGATTTTAATACTTGATTTACGTGCTGTTGGACTAATTTTAAAACTTTAATTTTATTATTATTGACAACAAAAAAGTCTTAACGTGGTTTTCTTAAGGGAATCTTTTATTTCTTTTCTTGATTTAAATTGTCTTTTTTCTTTTCAATTATGACAGGTTTTCACTATCAAAATTTGTTTCTATCAACCGTCACTACAAATAAAAACTTAATAACAAAAATCAAATTGAAACATAAAAAAAGAGATAAAGGACTAAATTGAGACTAACCAAAAAATAAAAAAATAGAAAACTAAACTAAAGCTTAAATAAATATGAATTTAATTAAAATATGTTGACAGTGTAAAAAAATATTATATTGTCATCAAAACCGTAGATTATCATATCAGCAAAAAAATCGATGATTTTTAAAATAATTAATATAAAAATTATATTTATGATGTGTTATAATAAGTTAACAGTGTAAAAACCAATGTTCAAAATTAAACTCAATAAATATAAGAGTCTACAAGTGTAATTTAATTTTTCCTTACAATGATGTTGAGGGCATGTATCCTTTGGGGGTAAAAGTATAAATTAATCATTGAATTATTATTGTTGTTGCTCGTTTGTTTTCAACTTAATTGAATTATTTATTATAATTTTTAACAAGCGTAACATTATACATAATAAAAAAGTACATATAAAATATTTTGTATTAAAAATTATAGAATTAAATGAATTAATATTATTAAATGTTACAAGTCTTTATAAAGTTTTGTTATATATAATCTTGCACATGTTAAAAACTTCATTTTTAATATTACAGTCTTACAAAAGATAAAAACACTTATCAGCCATGCTGAAGTGTAAATAGGGCTAGATTTCATGAAAGGATATTTCCATTGCATAAAATTTCTGCCATAAAAAAAATGTTATTTCAATGTCATATTTTAATAGCTTTCAATAGTGAGTTCAGACATTCTCTCTACAATGAATTCTACGCTCATCATAATCGGATAGAAGTAAATAATAACCAAAAGGATTTAGGAATCGTCTGTATTATTTTTTGGCACGTTTTAATTTGGATATTTTGAAATAATAATCCATTATGAACAATTCCCTAAAATAGGAAATAAATTTAAGTGGGACAAAATCATTTAGTGTTGATCACTTGCAGTTTGACACGTTTCAATTTTAAAAATTACACATGTCACATTTTCATTGGTTGGGACAATAGTAATCTAAGTAGATTAAAAAAATTTCTCCTAAAATCGGAACATGATTAGGAAAAAGAAATTCTCCTTAAAATGCATACTTCTTTCCTTTATATTCTAATACTCAGTTTTGGATAATTAATTTTTTCATAATTAAAATTAAAAATAAAGAGGAAGGCATCAAATAAAGAAATATAACAGCCAAAGATTACGTACTACATGAGTATAAAAAATGACTCCATGATAAGGTAGCAACGTTGTTAATATTTTTTTATGTTCATTCCTTTTAAATTTCAAAATTGTTTGGGATATTAGGCACTGTAATATGGATACCACAACTTAATAAGATATTAGGCAATTCATCTTCTCCATTGAATCAGAAGTGTTAAACAAGATTAATAGGAACTTAGGAAAGAGACTGTGCAACATATTCAAGTAAAGGTTGTAGAGTTTAGATTTATAAACATAATAACTGGTGAACATGGCCAACAACAAATAAAGATAAAAATAATTACTATAATGTTAAGCCAAAGAGAAAGTATTGGTGACAATCACCGCATTAATGCATGTGAAGATAAGACAGACAACACCATCCAATTAAATTGTAGTTATGTCCTTTCAATGTCGTATGCCCATTTGCAAATTGTTTTATTATTATTGTTATCCCATAAAATCCTAAATACGCATCAATGATTCAATGGCCACAAAACCCAGGAAGGATGAAGAAGCCCACTATAAAGCCACACACCCCACCAGTCATAAGTATAAGACAACGCATTTTTTGGTCCCAAAAAACTTTGCATACTTAATTAAACAGATTCCGATTCTCTTCATTCTACCACGATCGGATCCAAATTGAACACATAAATGTGTGATCAGAAAATTAATTTTCATTGAATTTATTATTTTAATTTATATGTCCCTAACATGATCTTGTTAGCAGTAGGACTTTGTTTTATTATATTTTTTACAATTAGACCAATTAATAATAGTGCTCAACAGCGCTAATTAATTGGGATGTGCACAAAAATGGGTTTGGTTCGGGCTTATCGGTTTCATTAAGTAGAAATTCAAATACCTCAAATCCGGATTAGGTTGGATATCAGGTTGACAAATTTCAAAACCATTCAATTCAACCGAAACCTTCCTTTTCTTTTCTTTTTATTAGATTAAATTTGTCAGTAGTTTCTAAAAGGTAAGTTATATGGATGTAAAGTTATAAGATAAGATGACCCCTTTATGATTTTTATCGTCTATAGTGAATTTTTGGACTTCTGAAATGTCATTATCAACTTTAAAATTACACAATTTACTCCAAGGAAAACTTGCTCACTACTTAATTTACTCCAAGGCTGATGTGAAACAATTATAATTCAAAATTAAAGTTGCTGAAAACAATGGTGGAGTGATAGAGATTGGAATCCAATTCTAGTCGTTAGGTGTTTGGGCAGCACATGATTGGCGATATCCTCAATCATGTACAATTGAATTTCACCATTTACGCCATTTATGCTGGTTGTCCAATAAACTAACACTTAATTTGGAGGATTCGACATATTTCCAAGTTAAATGCATCAAGTCTAAGCCATACCATGAGATAAACCAAATGATGGTCCATGATCATGTGAGTTAGTAGCTAACAAAGTTAACTCAGACAACAAAGTTTCCATAAGTGAAAGATTCATCGAGAATTTGTTTGTCCATAAAACTGCCACCTCAATTTGTCTTTTTTTTTTTTTTTTTTTTTGCAATTAAAGACAAAATGTTTGTTGAACAGAAGGAGCATTTCTCATAAATAGACAAGTGCTAATATGAACAAGCACAGGCCACAAAGCTTCCATTTTTAAGAGGAATCATCAAAGAAAACAAGATGGGACAGAGCATTAAAGATAGACGGATTCCCGTTGTTCTGTCTCCCAAGTTTGTACCCTTCACATCTGCATGACCATCACAATTTTTTTTTATCCCTCCTAATCATTATCTTGGCATAACATAACCAACCTCTATTACTTTGTCTCTTCCAAGTTTTATCAGAATAAACAATAATGATGATTTTATTAAGCCAAGATTAATCAGCATTAATCCATGACATGAGCTAATATGAATTAATCACTTCTTGCTTTTCTTGGCCTTCCCAACACGTAAAAATGAACCCAACCCAAAGAGATTAACACTTCCTTTAGAAATGCAAGGAGTTGGTAGGTTTAAAACAGGACTAATTCTAACACCATTGGCATAAGATCCTCCATAACACTTACCCGAAGGAGACTTTTGAACAGGATAAAAATTCAAGGAAGAGCATGAAGATGATGATGATGATAATGGCTTGGCTGCTGATGGATGCTTATTTGAACTCATTCTCTTTGGAGTTGGCACTGAACCAGTTGAGTTGCTCCGTGATAAAGGAGGTGAAGAACACATCAAGCTTTTCTTTATATCACAGTTGAGACTCTTGCTTCTACTGAACCCCCAGAAAGAGCTGAATTGAGTCTTCTGCTCATAAGAACCACTATTCACATTTGCAACTTCTCTGATTCTCTCTTTCTTCATTTTGTCAACACTAGAAGGACATGGAAGTGGAGGAAGTCTTGTGTAAGAAGGTTCTCCATAACGTGTGTGTTTCCTTGTAGTGTTTGTGTTTCTCTTTTGTTGTATCTGGATAGGAAGTATCACCCCATTAGAGAAAAGCTCATCAGCTGAAGATGATTCAAACTCGAGGCTTCTGCTAGTGCTGAACTCAAACTCATGATTTGAGTCCAGAAGCAATGTGTCCTTGCGAGCAACATCTTGTTTCATTGGTAAAACCTGTAGCTCAGAGAGATCGTTGGAAAAAGAAAAACGTGTAGGAACTGTTTCAGAACACATGACATAACCACAGGTTCCCTCCAAGGTTAGGAAAATTGAAAAGGGAAACAACAAAAACAAAAACCGAGGTGGATTTCAATTTCAAGGTCTGTGATGTAAGGATAAAAAATTCAAACTTGAAAAGCAAAACAAGGGAAGAGAGCTTTATGGATTTAAAAAATGAAGTTGCTTTTTGTTTTACAAGTCAAAAAGACATGGAAATAGAAGGCATCAATCAAGATAGAGAGTACAAAAAGAAGATTATATGATACTGTATTACCATTTTACTTTCAAGGGGTGTTATGTGAAGATTGGAAGATCTAAGGAGTTTTAATGTTTTTCCTTGAAAAGGAGGCACAAGGGATATTTTGTATATTATAGGTGGAGAATAGAAACAAAAGAGGAAGACAAAGAATGTGACTTAAAAAAGAGATAATGTTATCTGTGACAATTTGGAATTTGCAAAAAAGGATGTGAACTGCAGAGTCAGTGGCTGAAAGTGTTGCTTGATTACAGCTACATGACTGCAACCATGATCTAAATCTTCTGAATTGAAGGAATAATGTTTGGATTCTTGGTCTTTAAAACAACCAGCCACCAAGACTTGTTCTCCAAGATTTAGACTTTGGATGTTCTCATCCCAACCATTGACGAAGCCCTTTATTCTTTTCCACCGTTGGTATTTACTTATATGTATTTTCAAGGTGGAGGAACATTGTCTCATCTCTAACATAAAATATAAACAATCACATTTTATTATTAAGAAATTGTTTAGATGGTGAAGCACTGTCAAATAAATACATATAAATTAGGTTAGCTCCGGGTGTAGTACAATTAATGATCATTCATCTTTTATTTCTTATATCTGAGGATGATTTCTTAAGGACATCTATAACAGAATTAATACATAATTGAATAATCATATAACCCGTGGATGGACCATACTGCAATCTTTTTGGGTTAATCGCCCCGTGAGTAGATCAAAATATGTTTTCATAACTTTTTCTTTCTTAAAAATATAAGAAACTTCACCGATTAATTTTTAAGTACGAATAAAATTTTCCTTTAGTCTAAAAAATTATAGGGGCTAGTCACTTTAATTTCTGACTTTGTTAAAATTTTATTCTAAAAAATCTAAGCTTGTAATGTAAGAGGGCAGAATAAAGTTGAATCTTTTAGGTATTGGTAACGATGACAAACAACTTACTGATCGCAATATTAGTTATTATCACTAACTTGTCATCACTAGATTCAATAAGTATATCATTATGTTACCCGAAGAAATATCTGCATGAATTATTTAAGCATAGTCAAATTAGAGTTCCTGCAGACAGAAATTTTTAATAAAGTTCCATTACTTCAATATCTTCGAAAGTTAGATATTATATATTTTCGTTATTAAAAACTGAAGCTGGTGAAAGGAAAGAACATTTTACTTGCCCATTAAATTTAACATAATGAAGGACTCGAGGGTTAGCTAAAACCACTACTCTGACTTCATTAAGTATTTAAATTTTGTTTACAAAACTTGAACAAGTTGATGAAGTTAGCGAGGACCAACTCTCCTATAAACCGAAGCTGTCGACTTTATTTCAATACCGTGTTAAGGACCACAATTCAAAGACTTGGTTGTGCCGTGTAAAATATAGGACGCACATTTCAGTCAACACAGCGCTTCATAGTGTTGAAGGTAGATGCAAGTTTACGTATAATCAAACATATATTCAACCTTATTGTAAACACAATATTTATTTATTTCTCTAAGAATTACATCCTATTTTTTAGAAGTAAAAGAATAAACTCTTGGATTAACATCTAACTTCGTCTTCAAATGAATAACATTCACTAATATTTTATAAATTTAGAGAAAAATTTGTGTCACTCATGGTAATCATATTCATCTTGAATAGAAAATAATGTTATATGTCCAACCACTGCAATAACTTGGTCTAATTAATGGATGGCTGACTTTATATATAGTTGTTTAACTTGAAGATTACAAGGATGAAACCGGTGTGTTGTGACTCGTCATGGTTGAAGCCTTACTTGTAAATTGTAATATTGTAAGGGCAAATTGAGGTTTAAGTATCGGGTAGATAGAGAAAGATAAGAAATCAAAAGGATGGGAAGAAGAGATCTATAGATTGGTGGCATGAATATGAGGAAACTCAAGCATGGGGTGACATTTGAGGGTGGACCCCACAGATAACTACGGTTCCTAGTTTTCACCAAGACATTTTTGACAACTTGCCATGTGAGTAATGTTTCAACGTGGAAGAATGAGTAAACCCAGAACCTTGATGACAAAATAGTCCTTATTTCCAATGCTCAATACTTGACACAGCATGGGAACCCACTTACCTACTGTTTGACGGGCCCCACAAAGCATCTATCACCCAGAATTGGCATTTCAAGAGAAAATTGTTTGGTACAAGAAAAGATGTAACCAAAATCATAATCTGCTCAAGAAATGCCATGCACTTTGAGTGAGACCAATCTTCATTTTGTTGATAAATGATTTAGGGGCTTGGTTGTGATTGCTATTTGGGACCCAAAGAGAAAGAAATATGTCATGACTACAGCAAATAAATCACTCGCATCGAGTGATCCAATTGCCCTTAAAAGATGCCTCGTTCATGTGTACAAATAGATTTTCCATGATCGAAAGCAACTCTTGAGGGAGGGTGTACCTCAATTTGATGACAATTTCTTTTAAATTAGATGTAATATCCGTGCATTCAACTAATTTGATTAAGAGTCTTGCTTAAATATGAGAAAAATATAAATATTTTTTGTGTATCTTAAAAATATTTCTCATTAAATATTTTTAGTGAATTGTAGAAAATGTTTTTAATTTGAAGAACTGATATAAGTTATACAAATAATTATATCATTTAATTATTTTACATAACATGTGACTTTTGTCAGTTAAACTAGTAAATTATAAAGATACTTTGATTATTTATATCAAAATTTAATTATAAAATTATAATTATTAGTATTGTTAAACAATATAATTATTGATATAATTTATATCTTTGATCCTTCTCTTTTAATATAGTATGGATTTTTTTATTAAAATAAATAATATAAATTGTCAACTTTTTCAACTAAGTTACGTTAAAAAAAATGTATCAAATGTAGTTATATTGTAATAATTTGATAAAAAAAAAAAAAGTATAGTAATAAAATTGCTAAAATATCAAACGTACACCTCACCCTTCAATTCTTATATATATTAATAAATGATGGAAAATTAAAATCCCCCAAACTCAAATTTTTGCAAGTGAAATTGAATATACACGACAACGAGATTCAAAGGCCTATTTTTCTTCGAGCATCAAATTACTTCAACTTGCTTTATTTTGTCATTAATTTGGATAAGCCTAGCAGCTTTGCTATTATATTATTATTGTTGTTGCATGCTAATACCATTGAACCAAACTTAATTTTAATGTCTTAAGTACATCAGCAACCAATGTAGCTACCGTTGTTTACAGACTGATATAAAATTTTCTACATCACAAACGATCCAATGGAAACACCTAAGCAAGCAATTTTGAATAATTTATAACATATGTTGCATTAATGTTTTAGTGAAAATTTAGGGTAGTCTTTTCAAATTATCCAAGTTGACACATTTCACGCTTGTTCTTAATTTGAGAGTAGCTTCACCTACTTCCATTGAAGTGACCAATAATGTTGCTTCCGTCACTGAAAGTTATTGCAATTATCAAATATCGTTATCCACACATTTTATTATGCTATTTATTTTTAGAGAAGGAATTCTTCAAATATGATACATGGATTGTCAAATAGTCCAACATAAGGCACTGTCTTTTTTTCTTTTAAGAATTCTGATTATTTAAGACTTGGTGTCGCTTAAGAAATTGGGTTTTTATTATATTTAAAAATAATATTTAAAAATTTTATTTTTTATATTAAAAATGTACAAATATAATAATTTTTAATAAAAATTATTAATTTATTATTAAATACTTAAATTCAGTTCAAAAAATTAAAATTAGTAAATGCTCATTTGTAATGCGAAGCGATAACTCCTGCTTTACTATTCTTTATTTGTTACCAATAAAGAAAAAAAATTATATCTTGGGGTCATCTGGAATGCAAATATTTTGTAAAGACACGTGTTCACAAATTAAAATTTAGGACATTGAAAAGTTATTTCATTTTTAAAAAATATTTTTATTTTTAATCAAAAATATTACCTATTTCTTTTCTATTTTAAATATTTTTGGTCGTATATTTTAAATATTTATACAAAGCAACTATTACCTGCAAATGCACAGTAGCCTCCGAACTGCATAAATGCCCACATTTTTTTTAAAGTGAGACATATATTTGACTTGGGGCATTGACTGTTGGATAATCTAAGTAATAATTAAAGAAGATATAAGAATAAGAGTAAGATTAAATGAAAAACAATGAGAATATTTCGATATATATGAGTAAGATTAAATGATACTTGATATTAATAAATTTTATTAATTTAATTATGCAAATAAAAATATTTATAAAATAAATTAAGTTTACAAATTTTACAGAATTTAAACATTATTAATACTTCGTGCGTGAGTACGAGCAAACGAGTGAATACTAAGATGAATAAAAGGATGTAAGGGTTAGGTAAGCAGCTGAAATGCCATTTAAGGCTCCCAAAATCGACTTCTACATTTTCAATGCCTTTTTTTTTACTAGTATTATTATAAGGATAATTATAATTTAATTATACTTTTGATCATATATTTAACTTTATAAGTAACTTCATTTTTTAATTTTAATTATTCATATTTAATCCTTTTATTCTTTAGTTATTTAAATCAAATTCTTACTCTAACATTACTAATTTATAAAAATATAAGAGATGTAGCATATTATTAATTTATATAAATTAATAAAAATGTATAAAAATATTTAAATAAAATACATAAAATATTATAATTCTTCAAAAAAAGTTATTAATTTAGTTCACATGAATTTTAAATTTTTTTAGCATAAAATTTATCATTATTTAATAATTATGTGGCATATATCGAATCAAGTACCTTTTTTACTATTCTAGCATTTTAATAGTCTCCTCCGTTGAAAAAGGAACTTGTATTAATTAATTGTCTAAAAAGAAAGGACTCGTATTAATACTTTATATCACTTCAATAAAAACAACTCTCTTTAACAGTAATGAACAGTCCTGTTTTATATCATTTTTCTTCTTTATGCTACTTTCAGTGTTGTAAGCAGTTGATTTTAACACCTTGCATTGAATTTGGGACTGTAGATGAGGTTTTGAACTCTAGTGTAGTTTAAAACTAATCGATAATAAGAGTTAAAAATTAGTCACTAATGGTGCAGAGAACCGCACAGAAAAGACGACTTTTAAAACGACTCATTTACAACGGGATAGATTAAAGCGTATAATATAATAATCAGAAATCTCTCTGAAGAAGAGTGTAATTTAATAGAGAGGCATCCGCAACACTAGAAAGCTGGAGCTCTATATTGACTCACCCATATATTGGGGCTACTAGCTACTTACAAATTGATACCAAAATAATATTGGATGAAAAAGGTAACAGTCATAAATATCTGCACAGAAAGTTTAGGATTTGACCTAATCTCCCTAATGCAATACAGAACAGAATAATGGCCATGCGGTTAGGCCATTGCTGAATAGTTGCAATCTTTTTACAAACACAACCAGACATAACATGCATTATGATGTCCATGTCTGGTTTAATGGTAAAACCTATAAATCTGAAAAAGTGTGGTAATATGAACATTTCGATCACTAGATTTTTAGTTTATCAATCGAGAAACATCAAACTTTTATTATCGAAGATCAATGACGTCAAATTTTAAATCTGGGTTCATGTAAACATCTGTACATGTATCGTAAATGGGACCACCATCCGGAGGCTGATTGTGTGGATGAAAGCCACGTTGCGGGCATTGTCTAATGACCGACATGCCACCAGGAGTAGTCAACCGAAAAATGCCATGGGTTCTGTACAAGTAAATAGATTAAAGTCATTTCAAAATAGGACAATCTTTCAGCACCCAAATTCAGTACCATCTTTGTATGTAAATCTGAAAATATTCCAGCTAATTTCCTTTGAATGGGGCAAGAAAAGTTAACAACTAACAAGTTGATGCAGAAGCACAATCAAGAGGGAAGCATTTATACTAAGGAGAACATTTAAGTACAGTTTTTTGGTGCTGTTGGTACTATTTTTTAATTAAAATTGGAGTTTTGTCTTAGTAAACTGCAACAACCTTAAATGTGAACCTTTTACTAAAGTGAAATCTTAATTTTGATGGCAAAGCAGCACTAGAAGAATTACACCTAAGCTTTCTCTTTATAGAAATGCTTTTTGTTTATCTTTTTATGTATTTTTAAGTTATTATAAAGGATTTATTTCTGAACAAAGAATATATTGAAAAGCTTGTAGAATTAACATAGAATTAGAATTCTACAAACATAAATGAGACTACACCTACCAATAAGGAATCTGATAGAAAACAAATTATATATGTGGTGTATTAATCAGATTATGCAGTAAAACTGAATAAAAGGGCTCAAGCTCTACAATGCTAAGGCAAATTTTCCAGAGTCAATAATGGACTCCTTCAAAGAGTAAACTCTCCTTAGCAAAACCCACAATATTCTTGCCTACCTCACTCCCACTCCCTTCTGTCCCTATATACCAGAATTCTCCTATTTTTTGGATTCCTTCCATGTCACCTCCTTTCTAACTAACTAATCATTATTTCTTGGCCCCCATTTTCTGTCTCCTAGTATAGACTCTCCACACATTGGGCTTTTGTAAAATCGTCCCTTAACCAAACACAAGCCCATCACCCTTCCTTATAGTATTTGCCATATTTGGCACCCTATCAGAATCCTAGGATTTGAAGCCAAGTCAAGGAGTTATCATGAATATCTAATTCCTAGTACAATTAGCCTTTACTTGTCTAAAGCAGTCTCGTGCTTGATGATTATATCAAATTTAATCTCACGAACAGCTTAATTATGTAATGGATATGCCTTGATTTCCCATGTCAAGACACATTTTGAGACAAGATGTTACCTTGAACTGTCTGTTGGTGCCATAACTATTGCAACAGCTTCTGGCAGCATAATCTACAGAGACAAGCATTGGCTTAAGATACAAAGAAAAAATATAAAGAAACTACCAGAACGATAAAATGTAATTGGTTTGATTAGTAAATGATAACATGTGTGCACGTGCGCCTGCGAGTGAGAGAGAAAGAGTCTCTAGGGTATTATACATAGTTCCATCTTTAATAGAAATATTAGTTGTTAGCAAAATCACCAAATTTTAGCAAGATTGCAAAGCAAGGCACACTAGAAATGGATTTTTCAGATGTATTGTATATCATACATTGAATATGAAATTATACTCTCAGCTATATGTTTGATAAATAAAGATCAAAACTGAATCTAGGATGACTAGTTGCAAGTCTTCAGTTCATAAAAGTGTGCAAGAGCCAAGAAGTTTAATCTGAGTAACATATAAAATATTTCCAGCAGCAGATCTTCACCTTTCTCCTACCCCTCATCGCAAATAGCACAGATATATCTCAAAGACTAAGGCAAACAGCACCCATGAATAATTGTCTCAACTAAAATTTTAGAAGCCTCTCTTGAACTCACCTGATATGAGTAATGGGTGTGTAGATCAATTGATGACATGAAACAAGATTGTGTAGGATGTGTCTGGCAATGTAGAATTATTATATATGTCAGTGTTGCAACATGATAAGACTAGCAAAGTGAAAAAAAAATAAAATTGAATGCAATACAAATGAAACTGAGGAATGTTAACAACACTCTCTTTTCACACTTTAAGATTAGAGCACACATGTAATTTCACCCAAGTGACCTATTGAGTAAATAACACAACAAAAGTAACATTCTAAATGTAATTATATATTTCTTTGGAAGTTATGAAATAGAAAGAAATAAAATCAAAACCCCAATTGTTTTTTGCCTGAGAATTTAGAAGACTGCTTTCTTTTCAAATCTCATTTTCCTTACCTTTCTGTTGTATAGAAATAAGAGCTTATACACTAATCTTGAAACATTCTCAAGCAGTGCGCACCTATATTATAGCCAACTATTTGTAAAGAGCAACAGAATTATAAAACTAACATTGGCAGAGGAGTAAAAATAAAACCCTAGAAGATAATATTGTGAAACAGAGGTTACATAAAGAAATAGTGAACATAAGAAAGTAATAGGGGGAGGGTGCCATAGATCAAGTATCATTATAGTTATTAGTTTCAGTGCCTCTTAAATGTGAACTTTGTTTGAAATCTTAAAAATGTAGTAAAGGCTTCAGTGAGATGTGACAAATGAAGAATGATGGATATGACCTACAAATATGGTATAATGGATAATATATTGAAACAAATAGCATCAAAGGGCCTAGAACAGATTATAGCCAGCGCCCACATGCAGAAAAATGAAAACTCACATGGATCCACCCAAGAGGGAAAAGAGATTGCTTATCCTGTACTTCAAATATTTCCTCTTCATTTGTAGCTTGACACTGCTCAAGAAGTACAATAAATGTAACATTTTAGAATAAATAACCAATCAAAAACAATATTACTCAAAAGGTTTATGATGAATAGTTCTTACCGAACTTGATGTTGACTCCTGCTTTGGGATTATTAGAGCTGTAATATAAAACTTTCTGTTTTTCTGCAGATCAGTTGTATTAGCAAAATAACAATCAACTTCTCATGATTGAAGTACCAGCTATGAGAGATAGATCCAAGGATAAAACCAACCACATTGGTGAAAAATTTGCAACCTAGTATATAAAAATACCTTGCATATAGCAAGTTCATGCACAAACACACGACTAAAAGACAGTCTACAAAATAATGTTGCTACAACCGTGGCATGAAATTATGACGTTTAAATTTCATTTTGGTTGCCAGGAATCCAGCAATGAGTTAACTTTGTTTCTGTGATAGTAAATGCCTAATTTTTTAATACAAGAAGTAAAATTACAAGAAAAATTTATAGTTGATGCATAAATTATTCTTAGGGTCCCAAGCTAATCTTGGATATATCCTTGCTTTTTCCCTAAAGGCCAAAAAAATGTGAACATCACTTACAAGTAAACCTGCAAGGATCCCACAAGTCTCCAAATTTTTGTCAGTATTTGACTTGGCAAGCTTCATAAAACTCTCCATCATAGCAGTTGACTGCAAATAGAAACAATTATCAGGAAAAGAGGGAATACTTCCACACTTTTTGTCAACAGTTTAGATTTTGGAAATGGTTAAGCATGTATGCTAAGAAACCAAATACTAAAAATGAACTGAACAATTCCCCCCCTCCCCCCCAAAGAAATGAACCTAAATGAAGAAAGCATCAAAGAATGTTAATAACTCTCACAATGTGTAGTTGCAGAGGAGACTCAGAACGAATAAAACTATCCGATGCTGGTATCTCTGTCTTACATCCATCCTCATTAACATGAGGTGACACTGCAGGAACCAAATCTTGTACTTCAGCAAGTACAGGTGGAGGTGAAGGCTGTCTGATAACCTCTATTTGAGAAGGAATTTCTGTTGTTTCAAAAGAGATAAGAGAAGGAGCTTCATCAGCATGCTGGGCCTGGCAGTCCTCCTCACTCTGGGTAAGAATTGATTCTAAATCTGATCCATGTTCTGAAATGCTATTATCTTTTTTATTCAGAGATCCATCTTCCAAGGGCTGTTGAACACTGTTTATTCAGATAGAAAGCCCAACAGGATGGATGTAGTTAATATATAAAAGTAAATAGATAAAGCAGCTTAAGGTGCATCAAGGATAGCAATCAGACAAGTCTCAAATATAAAATAATAACTATAAATCAAATAAACCTCTTTTCTAAAATAAATTCTCTAAGTAAAGAGCCATTATTTAGAAAGGCTGGGGTGAGATGAACATCACTTTTCTTAAAATAACCGGAGGACCAACAACAGAAAAAAGAACTACAACATAAAATAGGCCATAACCTTGGAATTTCAACTGGAGACAAATCTGCGATGGTTGGATAGCTGACCTACATACAGAGAAAACATTTAGAATGATCTTGAAACATAATTGAAACAGTTAAATACTATCATACCCCTTTAACACTTGAAGGCGGTTGCCACTGCCCTTTGAGCCCATTGGGACCTAAAATAGAATGTCTGGAGAGAGTTTCCTCCTTTGGGCGTGGGAGAGTTAGAGATCTACAGAAAGCAAGCATAATCGCAAGGGTTATCAAACAAAAAAGTCCATCTAGCACAATGTACTTTCATATGCAGAGGTCTCATTAACAAAACCTTCACATAACTTCATGCCTGCGGAGAAAGTAAGTACAATAATTTATGCAGTACTGATCACCATAAGGAGGCCATTCATTCATGAGGGAGAAGCTCAAATGTTCAAATACTTACAGTCTCCTCATATTCTCTTCCACAGGCCTTCCACAAGAAAACTGCGGGCCCCTTGATCCTTGGTAGAGAAACCCTCCAGTGGTTGGTCTAACAGCCTGGTTACATATATAACAGCATATGGATACAACATACAAGACTTCTTTTCAAGTGGAGGTGGGAAGAATAGAAATAACCAAAAAGCATTCAACCAAAAGAACAGATCACATATGTAATTGTAAGGAATGACTATTTATCACTGATGAGCTACAACCTCCGATGCAAATTGTCTGGCAAAATTTACCTTTATTTGATTATAACTAACAAAAGTTTGCTTTTTCACTGGAGAAAAGTCCATCAAATTATTTGAATGACATTTTTCCCACCCATTGCGTTGAAATGCTCGCCTGCTGTTAAACTCATTGATCTTCTGTTGTACCAGTGGTTTCAACTTCTCCAGCTCATTCACAGAATTTAACAATTTCTATAGCAAGAACCTTAAAATCAGATTCACCCAAGAATGCGTAACATCAAGTTATCATTTGAAGAGATGAAAACTGACCTTTCTCAAAGCTTCTTTCTTGTTTCGTGGAGAAGTTCTATAATCTCGGTGACCTGGTATTGTCTCAGAGACCAAACTGAAACCAACCAAGAGCAAAAACCTCTAATTCAGTTTGATGGCAAAAGTAAGAAATAGAATAGAATAAAGTCCACCTATTTTAAATCGTTCAACCGAAGACAGTACATCCTATTATGACAGTCAAACAAGGATAAAGGCCATATTGTATTACCTAGAAAATCTTAGGAGCATGATATATAGATCAACAAAATTTTTCTCTGCACGAAAGATATCAGCCTGCAATATCAAAACCAATAATCTGATCTGAGAGGTCATGCAAAGTAAGTATAAAAAATAACCTTAAAAAATAAACACTCACATAAATGTTTCCAGATTAAAAAAGGTATCAAAGATAATAAATTCAGGAGCAGATAATAAAATATGAAAGCACAAGGAAAATATGACAAGACTGAAAGGAAAATCCAAACATCATAGAAAGCCATTTTGATTATCACTCTCGCATTTGAGAGCCTAATATACAATCTGACGCTTTTATTTTCAAATAAAAAATGCATAAATATTAATATTTACAATTTCTCCAACTAACGTGAAGTTTGCTCAATATAACCTAACATTCTCACAAATTCTAATGTAACAGTTGATTGGATTATCTATATCACACACAACTACTCAAAATGAGATATTAACAGGAGAAAATTGCAATATATCACTCAGCCCTATCTTTGCCGCATTTTCTTCCTCTATATATGCGATAAAGGAAAAAGACCTGTTTGAGGATATTATCGGCGATCCTGAAGTAGAAACGGAGAGCAATTCGATTATCAACATCAAGTTTCTGTGTAATCGCAGCGATGTTGATGGTCTCCGAAGAAGACCTCATCTTTTTCTTCTTTCAGAAAACGAATATGGTGATGGTGACGGTGATTCTATGCGTTTCACTGTTGACCCAGCTCCACCACTCCACTCTCAGTTTAGATTCGCTGATGACTGATTCGTCGTCAATGGCGGCTTCGGCACACAGATCAGATCATCATCAGTGGATGCCATGTCATTTCGGTTTCTGGCGAGGGCAAAATTGGCAACGCCTCTTAATTATTGTCTTTTTCGTCGTTTTTGTTTGATGAGAGAGCATGTTAGTTGTTACATTGCATCACCCTTATTTGATTAGCTCCTTGTTTCATAGTCATCACATGTACACTATCATATGATATTTTCTTTAATTTTAAAATTTGTTACTTTATTTATTTTTATCAAATTTATATTTATTTGCATGTATATATTATTAAAAATTTATATTCTAACATTTTTAACTTTGTTTTAAAATTTTTACAGTTGTTTTTTTAAAAAAATTAGAAAAAATAAAAATATAGATTTAATTTAAATTTAGATTAACAGTAAATAATTTTTATTTTTTTTCACTTTATACGATTTTTAACTTAAAAAATTAAATATAAAAATACAATAACTTTTAATAAATTATATTTTTATTATAAATATTAAATAAAAAATAACAAATGATAACAATATAATGCTCAATTTTGTAAGAAAGTTATCTATTTTAATGATATTTTATTAAATTAATTTTTTAAAATAAAAAATATTTAACTTCAATCTCTTAATTTTTATACATAGGACTGCAATTATAAAAAATATATATTGAATTTGATACTACACTTTGAATATATATTAGGAGTATTATTTTTTTTAGGGTTAAAAATCAACGTATCTAAACCAAAATTCACTTGATGAAAGACGAGTGAGTTTAATTTGAATTGTTGGATTGGGTGTTTTAAAGCTAAAACAACAATATTCGCACATTATCATTCTTAAACTATTTTTAATGATATATATACATATTTCAATAAACATTTTCTAAATTTATTTTTTTATAAGAAAAGGGATAAAGTTAATGCGTAATTTTAATAATCATTTAACAAAACACTTTGGAAAAGTGGCAAAATAAAATCATTAGATTAATATATTCCATTCATACATTTAATGTATTCACTTAACGTGTGTGAAATATTCTAACAAACCCCAAAAAAACAAAACGAAATCATAATTTGTTAATTTTTATTTTCAAATTTAAACAGTGCTTCGATGGAGAAGTTAAGACTTCGGAAGTAACAAGTCAACTGCGCAGTCGATAATATCGTAGTCCCTGTCTTTGGAGAAAGTAATTGAAAATTATGGAAATTTTGAATTAAAAAAATTCAATTATATGAATTGAATTATCATCGGTCTTAAAATAGTAAGATAATTAAATGATCTTCATTCTTAAAATGTTTTGTTTAAGAAGAACAATTATTTTTTATAAATAAAATTACAATTCTATTTAAAGAAATAAACAGGATTTAGGGTTTGTTTATTTATAAATTATAAAAATTAGCTTCACAATTTTAATAAAAAAATACACGTTTAATAAAAATATATAATCTAATTATATTCAATAACTCAAAATTAATTTTATTAAAATTAAATAAATACTAATTTATGCTACAAACTAAGTATCACGATTGGATCTAATAGAAAAATTTTGAATGCAATGTATCAACTTAAATAATTTATTTTTCAATTTTAATATCATAATACTGTTTTTAAATTTATTTGTTTTAATTTTTTTAAAATGTTCTATTTAAAAAAAAACAAACAAACAACTTATTTTAACACAAAACATTTTAAATCCTACTTAAAAATTCAATTACTTTTTTAAAATCACTCGTCAAAACACAAAGTCATGAAAGAAAATCAAACTTTATCTATTTATCAAATTTTTTATAAAATATTTTTTAATTATGTCATGTTCAAATTAATAAATATTTTTTATTAAAAATTATAATATATTACATTTTATAATATCGTTTAATTTAAAATAAAAATTATATAATTTTTTTTATTTTGTATAGTTAAATATAAAAAAATTGTTTTATATAAATACTATTACTTCTAATCCTTTTTATAAAAAATAAAATAGAATATTTTTTAGTTTTTATTATAAAAATAAATAATATATTTAACATGCATTAATTATTAAATTTATTTTATATTTTTTATTAATATTATTAAATATATAAATTATTAACTAAATTATTTAATATCATAACTATTTTTAAAATAAAATTTATATTTATAAAAAATATAATTAATTTAATTATTTTCTTTAATACGATAATTTATTTTTTTTGTTTTTTTATAAAAATAAAAATGAGCGGAGTTAGTATAAAAGATTAAAAATTTCTTAGCAAAAGATAGACTCATAGAAGAGAGAAAGTGTTTGGTTGTCGCTGACCCTGTCATCTACTGCTGACTTGCAAAACCTCTGCTGAGCAACCTTGGTGTTATACTAAATTTCAAATTTTGATCCAAATCGAACCTCATTCAGCTTCCATTTGCATCGGACAAATTGAAGAAAACAAGCCAATAATATCTTTGATAACTACATTGTCATTTTGCAGATCCCACGCATAAGGATATACTCTTACTCTTGCATTTAGATGAAACCAAACTGGGAGCTCAACAACTGCTGCAACCACGAACAGGTGGTGTTTCTGGTCACTGTTGGTGTCTGCAGCGTTGTTATACTTGCTGTATGTCTCTCTCTGTCACCCCTTTCTCTTATTCTCTTTTGGATTGGATCCATGAACAGTCCCAACTACTCATTAGAACCAAGATGGAAAATTTACTTCTTCTTGGTAACTGGGTTAGATCTTTTTTAACATTGTGATATCTAGATAAAATTGTAATGCCATTTTTCCAAATGGGTATGGGAATACATACCACTGATTGTTACCTTGCTAAGTTTTAAATTGGTATTTTTCAACTGAATGGTTGATTATTTGCATTTATTAATTTTACTTGAATTTCAGCCATTTATTGGACGGATTTTATAATAATAATAATAATTTTAAAAAAACTCTGGCTTTGTTTATACTATTATTATAAATGTGGAGTATAATACCTATGGTTTCCTATTTTCCTTGTGAATATATTTTTTTTTAAATTCCTTCGTTCCTTGCAGTTATGGAGAACAGTGTTACTCAGACCCTTTAAGCTAGTTACCGTGTTTCTTCACGAGGCAAGCCATGCAATTGCTTGTAAACTTACATGCGGTCATGTAAGAAGCTACTTCCTTTCTTACATCCTTCTATCTAAGAGCTTAATGCATGCACTTTGGTTTATGTGATGAATATTTCTGTAGTTGATTAAGTTTTGAAAGAGTATGTAATTTCTGTGTTAGTTTATAACTAATTTAGCAGATTATGATTATATATTTTCATGAATCTGTCACTATCATCTCTCTTTTGTGTTTTTCTATTATTAATTTTCTTAGCTGGATGTTACCATATTTGTCATATATTGACAGCGATCTCTAGTGAACTTGCATTTTTTAATCTGTGCTCTGTCGATTTAGCAACTGGTTCAGTGAATCACTAAATGGAAAAAAGGTAGGTTATCTTCAAATGCATTACATCAAGAACACTAAACAATAAAATGTTATTTTTCTTGTATTGTTTATCATTCTTATTTATGGAAGGTGATTTAAATTTAAAAGAAATATTTTTTACAGGAGTCAGGGTCATACTCGTTGTTGTTGTTGTTATTGTTTATGGAGTTCAGCACATGTAACAGCAAAATAGCACCAGAAATAACTTTAGGTCATTAAATATCACTACATAATTTTTCCCCATTTATCTCTTCAGTTACAAGTTCCTCTTTGTTTTTTTATCAATTCAAAACAACTGTATCCAAGATACATGGTTCAACCTTTCTGTCTCTTTTCCCTATTCACTAATTCAAGAGAGTTTACCATAGATGTTGCTTCACTTTACACTCAATTTGAACAATGCTGTTGGGCTATCTTAAAAAGTAAAAACTAATTATGGATCTTCTATAGCCATGTAAGCCTCTTTTGCTTCTGGATATCAGAAAAGTACCCATTTTTCAATGAAGAATAACCAAGCAATTCCTCCTCTTTTATGACACTTTGAGAAGAGAGAGACGAAATTTTTTTAAAAAAATTAAGGTTTATTGGTAGAACCATCTTATAATTAATTTATTTATTGATCTCATATGCATAGTCCACAAAAATATATTTTTTCTTAACAATCAGCCTAAGACAGCCCATTAGTCAATGCAATTCTTTCATTGCATCCTCACCTAAGTCAACCTCATGCTGAAGCTTAGTTAGTAAGGCATATTATGCATTCTGGTTGAGTGAGACTGAGAACAAAGGAATCAGTTTGTTTGGTTGTTTAATAAGATTGGGATAAATTGTATTTTAATTATCATGAATCTGGGTAGAGGCCCTAAACTATGGTCCTCATACCAGTTTAATTGCAGGTAGAAGGAATCCAGGTTCATGCAGATGAAGGGGGAACAACCCAAACACGCGGAGGCATATACTGGTTAATCTTGCCAGCTGGATGTATTGTCTTCTATTCTTGCATTTATATTTTCCTTTTCTTACCATATCATATTAATTGCATGCACAGCTCCATGGAACAGATGTACATGCAAGACCATTCAAAATTGTCAAACATATTTTCATAAATTTGATATTTTTTGTTCCTAATGCATGTCATCTAACAAAGCAGTTAATTCATAACTACTGCTTACAACCTTTGTGGAATACTATCACCATTGCTATTATTTTCCGCAGGGATTTATTGATCTTACTTACTCTATCCTTGTGATATTGATCTAGATCTTGGTTCATCTTTCTGGGGCATGATCTTGATACTTGCGTCGACAAATCTTCGTACTGCTAGAATAGCTGCTGGTTGTTTTATTGCTGTTCTTCTTATTGTCCTCTTCATTGCAAAAAATGTAAGGGATGAACAATTTACTTTACTAACGAGCCTTCTCATTTGATGCTACAATGTTAATTGAGAATTGGAAAGTTAGAAACACATTGGACAGCTTCAAGCCTTTTTGCTACTCTGTGACAGTGTGTGGAAGTGGAACTATTGTCTGTGTGAAATGTACATGCATTTTGAGATTATATTAATTCAATTTACTGTCTGTCTTATATTATCAGAAACTGAATCTTTATTGTTGATCTTCATGTAGTGGACTCTCCGAGGACTTTGTATTGGTATGTGCTTCCATACTTGAGTCGTCTAGGAGTTACACATAATGCATCATGTTTCTCAAGATATTATATATTTGGTGGTGAGGTATCAGGATTTATCATTTTCCTTGGAGTAGTATGGATTCTGCAAGAAACAACCAAAGTTCGAGTCCTACGCTACATTATCTTGTTCATAGGTAAATACTAAAACACTACTTTAGGTGGGAATCCATGACCAATTCTTAACCGCTGGTTATACACTTAAAAGTTGATTTCTTTTACAATTTTTCACTAAAAATACATCATTAACTTCAGTTTTTAAATAAAAAAGCAGGTGTGATGAATAGCTTGTTTTCGGTGTATGGTATGTCTTTCAAAACAAAGAATCAAATTGATTTGGTGTTACATCTAGTTTGTATGAAATAGTAAAATCTCTGTAACATAACAATGCAGATATTTACGATGATCTGATCTCCCGAAGAGTACATTCGAGTGACGCAGAAAAATTTGCAGAAGTGTGCCCTTGTCCTTGTACTGGTGTGGGATGGGGGGTTATTTGGTGGGGAAATGTTATTAGGAAGAGTTTAATTGGTTGTTTCTGCTGACCTGACAAGAAAAGATAACGTCAAATTATATTTACATTACTTGCAGGGGTTTAATATCTCTTGTGTTTCTTTGCGGAGCTGTGTATCTGGGTGCTGTGATCTTGTCATAAGGTAAAGGTAGCTTCGATTCTACTTTTTCCACCAATACTTGTTGGGTAACAAATGCCAATAGCTTCATCCCATTGGTTTGTTTTCTTTACCTTATTTATAAGAAATAATGGTATTCTTTTACCAGTAACAATAATTAGTTGAAAAATTGGGCTTAATATGTTTTGGTGCATGGATGGGCGCAGGGCGCAGGAAACAAGATTCTGCCTCAAAGTTCTAAAACCACTGAGAAGCAATGTCATTCAATACATCAGCCAGTCAACTCCTTTTGGTTTCATTCTTAGTCGTGTTCAGGGTGTCCATGCAAATAATCAAAATTATTTCAGATTGGAAAAAAGAAGAAAAAAATAGGATTCTGAAAGATTTATTTAAAAAATGAGTGTTCTTATGCATGTGCTATAAAATAATTTTTACGGTTAAACCCGATTTGATAAAGAACTGTAATATAATATAGTAAAAAATGCTGTGCGGTTTGTAACTTTACTGCCTAGATTTCGTTTCGAATCTAACTAAGCTTCGATTTGATTTTAAATCAAGGTAGGTGTAAAAACCCTACAATTGTTGGTTAGCTCTGAACAAAACTAATAGGTTGGATTCGTTTATTTTAGCTTATCAAATTATGTGTGGAAACGTATATGTAACTCGTCGTAATAGACAATTTAATAAATTAAAAGAACAATACTTGAGTTTTGAACGTTTCTAAAATTGACCATAATTAGAAGAAAAAAAAACTTACTAAATCAAATTTCATGGTTGAAAATTCATTAAAAAAAATGGCTTCAAATCATTATTTAAAACTTCAAAATTATTTATTTCACTTTACTCACCATTTCAGATTTTCACCCTTCCAAGTAAAACTGAAATACTTAAAAATTAAATGATATGAAAAATCAGCAAACCCCACATATATGACAAGATTTCTAGTAGTAACAAATGAGTACACTTACAGTCCTTGTCTAAAAAGTATTTCGTTAAAAATTTAGCCACAAGAAATTTTGTTAAAAACTATAGAAGATATTCTGTCGACGTTCATTATTAAACATTAAAACAAGGTAAAAGAAACTGAAAAAATAAACATATTTCTTAAACCAAATATGCTCTGAAACTGTTCGAAATGCCTCATAATTTCAAGAGATTTTAAAAACAAATTATTTCCTAATCTTTAACGTTGCAAGCCCAAGATTTGAAATCAAATCTAACTCTTTTCACCTTCCAAAATAAATAGGTACTACATAGTATATAGTAAACTCTTGTATCTCATTAATTAACACGTGCTACTAATCAAAATTTAAGGCCACAAATAGTCCAATATTTTTCAAACCTTAACCTCGATTACAACTAATATTCCTGCCTGCGGGTATTTCAGTTTAATTATCAAATCGGGATTTAGAAATAAGAATCAAAATAGATGGTGCCTTGGCCTGGAGTCAAACAAAATTGAAACAAGTAATAGACTTCCGGAACAAAATTATCATTAAAATTTGCGAATAAAAGAAACTTAATTTATAATAAAAATAAAACTCAAATCCTACATTGACAAAACCAGACCATAGTACTTCCAAAAATCAGAAAATGAATTCCAGCATGAAAGCCAATTAGTCAGGCAAAATTTTAACCAGCATATTCTTGGAACAAATTAAAAGCTAAAAAAGGAAGTGAAACTATGCCTCTGAGACAGGATACTCAAACACAACATCTTTGCCCGACAGCTTCCTGTAGACTGCGGCAAAAGTCTCCAACTTGTACTCAGTGTTGTTTCGCTCCTTTGGGTCCAAGTAAACCTACCCAGCCAACAAAGACACAAATTGAGTAGGCATAAATAAAAGAATTCCGGGTGCATCTTCATTGACAGTAATTCATATTTCACAAAATTTACAGGACAATCATTAGCAGTCGTATTTTGAGACACATTATAGAAACCTTTGCTGACTGACCGAATAAAAGCTAACGTCAAAAGTTAATTGGCAATAATAACAGTACCTTCATAATCTTGGATCCATCTATTCGGTACCTCACGCGCTTTCCAACAATTTCAGCAGGCAATACAATATCTTCCAGCATTGCTTCATGAACAGCAGTAAGAGTTCTGCTGCGGGGACGTTGAACAGCAGAACCTTTCTTTGGTGGCCTCAATATCCTCCGGGTGGCAACCAAGATTACATCCTACAAATTCACGTAGACTAAAAGTTCCTCAATAGAAAATAATGAAACTCGGAAAAATTAAAAAATAAAATAGAACATGTCCAAAAAGCATCCTAAACGACAAGCAAGCAGCTCAACAGGGTTAATACGAAAGTGACAAATAAAGCTCCCTCAGCATAAAGGAATACTTAAATGCATCATACTGATACATAATAAATTGCACTCAACTCTCAAGGATGATGTTGAAAAGAGATTCAACTCTCACAAAGGTGGATTAATTCAGGTATTGTGCATCTGCAACTACTTTATTAGTTCATCAGCAAGAAATTACACCCATACATACACTTGGTAGTGGTAAGTGTTGAGACAGATAATAAATGACTTCTCAAGTTTACAGATGATGGCATCCCAGGACTCTGGGCAATGATTATTACGTCAAAATGACAAATGCAAGGACCACAAAAACAGTATCAAATACATTTAAACTACCAAAAGCATGTTGGCCAATACTAATAAATAAATAAGCAAGGACGAAAAAAACTGCTAATATATGTTCAATATAAACGACAAATACATTTTGGACTTTACTTACCTTCCCACTAAACTTCTTCTCAAGCTCCCTAACAAGTCTAACATGGATCTTTCGGAAACCTTTCCTTAATCTATAAGGAATCTGGATAACAACGGCCTTGCGGCTCCCAGAAACATCAATTTGCCTGCAGATCAGTAAAAACAAAAACCATAAGACAGACATATAAACCTTATTCATTCACACCCACAAAAAAAAGAAGCAACATGCATCCTTACACTGCTGAATTTATGTATAGATCCTTCAGATCACTTTTAATCTCCTGGTTAGTATTTTCCAGATCAAACAGTGCCTGCAACAACAAATGTTGGAACAAAAACGTTAACAACATATGAATAAAATGCGATTACCAGTTGCATTCACACCAGCATTTCATAACATCTATAACATTACCTGCCCAACTGACTCTTCAAACTCAGTTGGCTCAGCATCCTTATCCTTGTGGATTTTCCTCCTTGATGTGTACATCTTCACAACTGCATACAAAGAACAAAATTAGGATTCCGCACTTTCAGATAACATTGATTTGAATCACATCACCAAAGCAAAAATCAAAGAGGAAAAACAGTAAAGGGGAATACCTTTATTTCAATATTTCATCACAGTATTTCAAAGAATACTTATATAGCGTTAAATTACCCTAACCCCAAGTGGAAATAATTATAAAAAAAAAATCTTTTAAACCTCCAACAACAGCCCCGGCTCAGATTAACACGCTGTATTAGTTGCCCAGAAAACTTAAAAAGATAATAAAAACATAAAAATAAAAATGAGAACTTTACTTCGGTTTCCCAATGATTCCGAATGTCGATTTGCAAAATGCTTAAAAGGGCATCGAGGGTACAACTTACCTACAGAAGATGAAAGCTCCGGAGAGATGTGCGGCCAAGAGTTGAAGTGGAGACCTGCTGAATTCACAGTATTGTGAAAACCCTAGGGTTTGCGAACAAGTATTATAAGGACTGAATGAACGACTAAGATTGGACTTCACGTACACGTGGACGGTTCAAATAGCATATTTCAGTATTTTCTGATTTTAGATCTTTTGGGCCACAAACTGTTTGGTCATACGTTTTCGGCTAACTGTTGTTGTTAGTAAGTCCAACAAAAACTATTGACCAAAAAATATCCAACAATACTAAAGTTCATTTGAAAGAGAATACATGATCTATGGCCTTTTTTAAGGCCCAAACCTTTTGGACAGAAAAATCACAAAAAAAGGGCACGACTGTAGATAAAAAAAACGTTCACTGTTTTACCAATCACAATCTGTACTGTGATTGACAACAACAAAAATGGAATGCACAGAGGAATATGGAATGTAAACTCTCTTGAAAAACCAAAAAAAAAAAAAAAAGATAAGTTGATTAATCTCGTCCGAATTGTCGTTGGATAGAATTGCATTTTCATATATAACGGATAATTTATTCATATATTTATGAAACAACAGCTTTGTGCAATATATATAAAAATAATAATCTTTCTAATAATAAATATTTATATGAGAAATGTTAGTAATATATCTTTGTAATATTTTTGAAAGTATTTTATAATTAGTTAATTTGACATAAGTTGTACTAAATATTTTCTGAACATAGCTTTTTAAAAAAATTCAAGCTAAATTAGCCTCAACCTTCGTTTACTAGTGAATGATGGAAAACTCACTGTACAATCGATTTAACAGCCTAAATGTGTTTCCTTGTGAGTTGTATCATTGGCTGTTTATTTATGAGAATATAGTTTGTTTTATTTAAATAAAGTTTTAAGCTGAAGTTTAGTGTATGAAAAATTATGAGGAAGTTAATTTTAATATACCACGAATATTTATAATTTAAATAAGAATATTCCTCGTTCGATTACTTATATATAAACTAAAGATGTTGGATAATGGACATCACATTAATACATAAGTTTTAACTATGAGATACCTTTTATATTTTTACCCCGTATAAAATAGATTAAAATTTTTCGGTGAATTATGTCTTTAAAGTACAAGTTAATGTTACGAAAGTAAGAAAAAAATTATTCTAGTTACTTTATAAATATTAATTTCTTGAATTTTAAATATTTTACATTTATATTTGTATAAAGATATTCTTATCTGTTAAGACATCTCAAAAACATATATTAACAATGGCTGTGTGTATTTATATAGTAATTAATATTAAAAAAATGTCAATTTTAATCTTTAAAATCGAGTTTGGGCATTTAATAACAGTATGTTTTAATCGAAAAATTATATATATATATATATATATATATATATATATTATCTCCAATGTAATATACTTTTTAGTGCATATAAAATTTAAAAATCATCGCTAAAAACTTAGGCTAATACTATCAAATATAAATATTTATATAAGTTTTTGCATCATGTTGTTCATATTATGATTTTAAATGATAAAATGTGATATTATTTTTAGTTCATTTCCTATTTTAAAAATTTGTATAATAAAAATAAATACTTATATAATTTTATTTTATATTTTTTTTCAGTTGCGAGCTCTAACTGGCAACACTTCTTGTACCAATGAACGATGTTTTTCTTTCACTAGTCTTCCACATCTAATCCTCACAAGACACCAAAAATAAAGATGGTTATTATGAGAAAGATTGAAAATAAAAGAAAAAATAAATAAATGTAATTGATAATACCAATTAATAAAAAAAACAAAATGAGAAAAATAAAACAAATTAAATGAACGCTTTTTTTATATGAAAAAATTATCAAAATATGAGAAATTCGTCATGAACCCAAAAAATTCTGTAGCATTTTTTTACCAAAAACTGTCTGTCACGTTATATGGTATTTTAAACAGATTTATTATTACTTTTTGAACTGTTACTCGTAATTTTTTTTATTTTTAAAAAAATTATCATTAACGAGCTTCAATTTATTTTTTAATTTTTTAATTTTTTTAAATATCTAGTAGCAATTTTTGAAATTTGTTAAATTTTCATTATTATATCGGTACTTTCACCAAAAATTATTAGTAGCAATTTTTTTGAATTTCATATTTTTATATTTTCTAAAAATTACTATAGATGTATATATTTTTTAAATATCATGTATAAAAAATTATACCTCAAATAAATTTGACACTGTTGGAATATACATAAATTGAATATTGAGTGATGGGTTTTGGAAAGTCGTTATCAATGGCAATGGCTTTACCGTGCATAGAGTTTCGTAAATTCATCATTGTAGGTTCACTATTCATTATCATTGGCAAATAGCTTTACTGTTCATCGTCATAGGTAATAACTTTACTGCGCAATGATTTTTGTGAATTCATCTTCGTAGGTTTAGTGTTTTAGAGGAATGTCAGCAAAATTTTGTAACCCAATAAATTTTTAAAATATTTTTAATTATTAAAAAATTATAAAAATTGTGTAAATTTTACTTTTAATTTAATATATTTTATGTTTTTATAATTTTTAATAAATAATTAAAAATATATTTAAAAACTAAAGAAAATATTACTAACATTTCTTTTACTATTTAGGCTTTTTTACATAAATAAAATTAAAAAATTATTATTCCTTAACTATCTTGAAAAGAAAAAAATTATGTAAATGTCTTAAAAATACATACAATAGAAGTTGATTTCGACTTCCATTTTAAAAATTTGTATACAAAAATTGATTTAAATTGACTTTTACTATAGGTATAATTTTTTTTTACATGGAAGTCTATTTAAATCGACTTCTATTTTGCTTTTGAAATTTTTTATATAAAAATTAATTTAATTCAACTTTCATTTTAGTTTCAAATTTTATTTACAAATAAGTCAATTTAAATTATCTTTCACTTACACATAAATATATTTTAGAAATAAGTCGATTATAATTAACTTTGTAATACATAATTAAAGTTGATTAAAAAGAAATCTATTATAAATAAATAAAAATTTGTCATTTAAATATGAGAAAATTTTGAAATTAAGTGTGGAAATTAGAGTGAAATGATAATATTCATTAGCAATTGCTTTGCACTTCTGTTGTTAAACCTTACAACAAATTTTGATACAATGACATAATGTGTTGCACACAATATGCATGATGCATGATATGCTGAAAGGATTAGCTCGACAAGAACAAGACAGAAAACCATACAATTGACGGTTAGCAAGAATAAGAAAAAAGATAGTAAAAGCTAAATTAATTTTTATATACAAATTTAAAAATAGAATAGAAGTCAATTTAAATCGACTTTTGTGTAAAAAAATTTTACAAGCTAAATGAAAGTCGATTTAAATCAACTTTTATATAAAAATAATTAAACCTATAATAGAAGTCGATTTAAATCAACTTTTGTGTAAAAGATTTTAAAAGAAAAATTGAAGTTAAAAATTGACTTTGTATAAAAAATTTTAAAATAAAAATCGATTTAAATCGACTTATATTATATATACATTTAGAATATTTATGTAATTTTTTTCTTTTTAGGATATTTAGAGAACAATAATTTTTTTTATTTTATTTGTGTAAAAAAGCCTACTATTTATTATCAATGATAAATAACTTCATCAATTTATCATCCCTGACAAGACCTATATGATCGTAATTTTTGTAATAGCTTTAATATCTTTGGTAATGTAATTCAAACAATTAATATGATATATATATATATATATTATTGATTTTGAAAATAAATTAACATTTAAAAAATAAAATAGACAACTAAATTTTATCTCAATAGTCATGAAAAAATATTTTCTTTATAATTTCTCTTATTTTTACGGAATTCTACCTCATTAATAACATAGCATATTTATTTCATTAATTTCACTTTATTAAGAGTAAGCTTATAAGTTAGTCTTTAAAATTATATAAGCCAAGTATTTTAGTCTATAATATTTTTATAAATTTTATTTGTTCTTGATTTTATAAAACAATATTTAGTTTAATTATTTTTAATATAAATTGATAATAAAAATATAAAAAATCAAAGATAAATAGAAAAAATCTAATCACATAATTTTTTAAAATATTAAATTAGCATATATTTTTTAAAAATACTGTATAAAGTAATGTGTAGCTTAGATAAAAAAAATTAATAAATAGTTATAAAATAAGAAACAGATAAGCAATACTTTCCTTAAAAATTAAACTCAAAATAGCTATCTTAGTTTTTAAAAAAGTTGTATAAAAAAGTTTGTAAATTTTAATATTTTCATATGATATATTTACAAATTTTAATATTTATTATATGCTTGTTTAACCAATTTAACTAACTCACCGGTCCAACTACTAACTCGTTAGCTCAGTACTTAGACCGAATCATTAACTAGTCCAAGTTTTACAGTTAAAACTGTCCAACTCAAGTCAAAACTGAAGCTCTTAATAATGTGATTGACATGATTGTAATTATTTATATGTTGGGGGTATCCGTGCTCCTTTATTTTTTGAAATATAATTTCCATTAAAAATAAAAAATATTAATTCATTAATATATTTCTAGAAGAGTCCTTGTAAAAAATATAAATAATAAATAAATTTTTTATTTTTATAAGTTATTTTAAAATTTTATTATTTTTATCATTCCGTTTACTGTTAGATTTTGCTCATCCAACATGGTGGGGCTATATTGCAGATTCCGCGGAAAAAGAAAAAAAGGGAAGTGATATAGGTCACCTATAAAGATGACCTCGTGGATATGCATCTTCACCCTTTTAATTGGAAAAGGAGAACATTTTTTAAAAATTACCAATACACTTTTAAATATTTTTTTATTAATTAAAATTTGTTAAAAATTATATAAATTTTACTTTTATTTTAATGAATTTTTTTATATTTATAATTTTAATAGATTTAAAAAATAAAAAATAAAAAATATTATTGACAAGCTTATCTTGTACGAAATCTATAGCAACCTAGAGAAAGGACGTGTTTATAACTTTTTGTTTTACCTAACCAGTAGGATTAGGATATGCACATATTCTTGTTTGTTTTCACCTTTTCAACTTCTTAAAAGTGAAAACAAAAATTACGAAGGAGAAAATGGATATTTTATTTCGCAATATTCATATTTTTTTTAGAACAAAACCGTAATTATAACCATAACTAGTATAGGTCAAAATTGAAAATCTAAATTATACAAAATTAGAATAGCACTAAATTTTTAAAAGAGAATGATTGAATTACAATAAAATAAGTTACATAAAAATTTTGAATTTAATAAATTTTTATTTTAAAATCAGTGATGAAATTAAAAGTTTTTGTCATATAAATTAGGTTTACAATTTTTTATATTTAAAATTAGTTAATATATATAATGTATTATATTCTTTGAAATATATGAAAATAAAAATTATTTAATTATATTTTTTGTTATTTAATTTAGACAAAATTTGGTATAGATAATTATTATAATATATAATTATAATTTATTGATTAAATTTATAAAGAATATATTTTATGTATAATTATTTATGGTGTAATTCTTGCCCAAATATATATAAATATAATTTAATTTTTTATTTAAAATAATATATCAGTTGCATTCAGCATAATATTTCATATTTTTTAGTTTAAATCACATATATCTTCTATCAGAAATAATTGTATTTAAACAAACATGTATGATATTTTGACATAAAATTATGGTTTTTTTTTTCTTTAACTATACATTAAAACATAATAACCATTGTGACACCGTTTAGATCATATAATTTGATTATTATAAAGTTTATTCTTCAAAATCAGTTTTTCGAAGAAAAAAATTATTCTCTTTTAAACAAAATTTTCACATAAGTAAGTATATATTTTTTGAAATGTGATTTTTTTAAAAGTTGATTTTTACAGATTTCTTTAGACATTTTGCGGCTTTCTATTTTTTTCTTTTGCTCTCTTTTTCAATCAAATCCTCAATCGATCATGGACCCTCTTCACATAAAAATCACACTGATTTCAATTCAACTTCCACTACAAATACAGCAGAGTTTCTAATATTGGTTTCCCAATATTTTTGAAATCTTTATTTTATTAGCGCTTGATTTCCAATTGTGGGGTTTTGGACTTGTGAATATTGACTTTTCTCAACTCAGGGATTCAATATCAACCAATACAAATTACAGAGTACTCATTTGAACAGAGGAATACAAGACAGAGATGTACAAGAAAACAATCAGCTTGTATATTAATTAATTTGGTAGCTAATCAACAATTGATTATCTGATAAGAGTAATATATCAAAAGACAGTGTTTTGGGTCATTCCAAAAAACAAAACCCTACAATCTTATTTTTGTAAGTTACTAAATTGCCACAGTTCATCCATGTTCCACATGCTACATGCAAAACCATTGTTTACCCAATTGCTTCCTGCCATTTGACAATCTCCAACTGGGTATTGCACATGCTCAGTTACCCTTGGAGTTGCAATTTTGAAGGTGTCAATCTCATAGGCATTGTTATTTACATGATAACCATCATATGTGTAGGTACCAAAGTTATTGTTGTTATTCAATGCGTGAAATTGTCTAGTGGTGTATCCCAAATCCTGATGCACTTTTGGGATATTTGCTGATTCAGAAAGGGAGATACATGAGCCGTTGTTGTGCTCAGAATCTGAGTTATGCTCATGTTGATCTAAGTAAGTGGAACCTGCTTCATTCATACAAGGTCCCTGCATAGGGGCTTGTGTTGGTATTGTCCCAACAGTTAAATGCTGAGAAACACCATCAAGAGGCAAAGGAATTGGCTGGTTATGGATTGACATGGCTGAAGAAGATGATTCTCTTGCTTTCTGAAGCAATCTTGGCACCCAGAAATGCCTAACAAGTTCTTGAAACTCTGTGCTATCTGTTTCAATTCTCAAATGCCTTGCTTGTTTCTGAATTCGAGTCCTCCAATAGTTCTTTATTTCATTATCTGTTCTGCCTGGTAAATGTTGTGCAATTTTTGACCACCTACAATCATAAAAAAAATAAATAAAAATCCAAAGAAAGGATAATATTTTGGATGATAGTGACAATAATTGCATCTTTGCTTCTATCAGCACTTGGTGGGTTGGGCTAAAGAATCAAATGTATGGGATAAGCACCTGTTTCCCCACTTTGAGTGGAGTTCAAGAATTAAAAGCTGCTCTTGTGGGGTTAAATTTCCCCGCTTTACATCTGGTTTTAGATAATTTAACCATCTTAATCTGCAACTTTTTCCAGTTCTCTTTAATCCTGACTCATAAAAAGAAAAAATCAAAATCAGTATAGAAATTGGTAGTAGTGATAAAAAGTACACAATCTTATATCATCAACTAGGATAGTCATATATTTATTTAACATTTAGGCTTGTTGTGAAGTTACCTGAACGTTTAGCTAGCAAATTCCATCGACCTTCACCATGATTAGAAATGTATTGGGCAAGTAGATTATCCTCTTCAAGTGTCCAAGGCCCTCTTCTAAGTTCATTGTCATCTTCACTAGAACTGCTGATGCTCTTTGAAGTAGACATGGCTAATGGCTATTCTCACTCACTAAAACTATAACCACTATGCATATATATGCTAGACTTCAACAGGGTCAAGAAGGAAACTAGAGTTACTAAGCAAATTGGAGTACGCAAGATACATGGTATATTATACTGTATCCCATTTTGAGGTGTGAGTTTGGGTCAAAGTGAATACTATACACTTTAATACTTTTCCAAAAGATAAAGCCTATTGCTGCTATAAATTCCATACGACAGCTTCCATTCACCTTCCAAAGTCATTGACACGGGAAACATTGAAAGGTGGATAGGTTCATTGCTTGGTATCTCTATTTATTGACAAAATGACATTTTATTTGTTTGTAGCAAGTAACAGTCACACTATACACAAAACTAGGAAATTAACCTTAAATGTTATGAGTGATGCCTAGAGCTAGATTAAGTTGTTCTCACAAAAAACAGATTGAGATGAATTGTATTCCTTATTAATCACTCGGTATAACCCATCAAGGCATCAAGAAAATTCGCCACCCTTTCTTTTTAAGGGTAGAAAATGAAAGAGAGTCATGTCATATTCTTTTTGTTATTTAGATGACAGAGTAATTTCGACATTTATCCTTGAATTGTTTTGGATTCTCCATTCCTTCTTCGTCAGTGATTCTATGTATTCTTAAGTATCATCAACCAATCCAAGAGAATTAAAGCTGTTAATTTTTGGTATTATTCTAAACAGGGTTATGTTATGTTATTTATTTAAGATTATTGGTATCGAATGAGATTTTGAACTCTCTATGCAGCAGTTATTTTCCATCCATAAGATTGAAGACAGTCATGCACTCTTCATGATATGATTTTGGTTTACTGATTAAAAGAAAAAACATTAGAAAATAAAGTTTCTTACACTCCGTGTGGTCGAGAAAAGAAAAAAGGTCGAAATAAATGTGAAAACATATATTATTTGAATGAATGCAAATATTCACTTTATTTGAATAATTGAAAGAATGAATCGAAAACAAATAGCAAATATACGTAAAAACATTTTCAGCCTTATATAAAGAAGAATGAGAGAAATAAATGATAAAAGTTAAAAGATAAATATTTTGTGAGTTGCACACCAAAAATAAGTGAAATAAATTACACCACGTAATTTTTCTTTCACCTAATTTTTATCTTTTGTCAAAAGAATGAAGTGAAGAATTTCTAGTTAATGTCTATAATCTCTATTTCTCTTCATCTTATTTTTACTCATTACGTGTCTGATTTCACGTTCGAACATGACCTTACCTAATTTTTAACGCTCCCCAGTGGTGTCTAACATTAATGCGAGTCCAGAGAATTAAGACACAGATCTATACACACACAAACAAACGTAAAAGTGTGAAACAGTTCAAACGTGATTAACATTGCATGCTCGTCCAAAATTATTATTTTTTAATTTTAAAACAATTTGATATTCTCAGTGTGCTGAACATTTTGATGCAAGACTTTCTAATACAACACTTATCTCAATCTCATAAAGCCAATGTGGTAAGATGATTAGATAAAAGCATTGAAAAATAGATGAAGCAACTGTTTATGGTCATAACAGTGACAGGAACGTGCTTGACTGAACATAAGAAAATTAATTAATAAACTTACTCAAAACGTGCAGTAATTGGTGTTGGCATAATAAGGGGCGGCATGGAAAGCCTGCTAGGAATCTTAGAACAGGACCACTTTTTATTTTGATTAGTTGTCACATGTCGCATGATGTCGGCATTAGTATTAGAATACCGTTCACTACGTGGTTCCCCATAGTCCAAATATTTTCATTTGTGTTCTGGACAAAAAGATGAACAATACATTAGAAAACTTAGAAGTCTGCTACGATTTTTCACTGCTGCTATGTTTGACTATATGCATATGTTGTAAATTTCTGTAGTTGATTATGGAGTTAGGAAGTTAGGACAACCACACAGAGCGGTATAAATGGTGGGATGATAACAAATTCTCAATCAAGTGGCTAATTATATTTATAAATAAAAGCTGAGGATTGAGGAGGGCTTATAGCAAAAACTCAGTCAAAGAAACTATAGGAGTGTGTTAAATTGTCCCATGTTTATGCTTGTCAATGATGGGTTCTTTTTATATTTGGAAAATAACCAAAACTTCTCTTCATGAATTTCATGTTATTTTTTTTTATTACATTAAGATTAATACTTTGGTCAAAGTTTTGTCAAGGGTCATAATTCAATATTGTAACACACTTGGGCGCATAAAAGGTTCAAAGTCTTACTGTTGAAATTAGAGTTTTTGTCATGGATTCAATTCCTGTGATGACTCAAAACTGGAGTAGGTATTAAGAGGGAAATGATCGACTTCAAGCTCACATATTTTTCTCCCCCTTTTTGGAACACAAGAAATATAAAAAAAACAAAAAAAACAAAAAAAAAAAAACAGGAAAAGGACTAAATAACATCCTACCTTGGCTATACTTGATAGCATACATGGTTTTCATCATAAGAGATAATATTTTGTTCAAACTATTATTTGAGAATTTTCAAACAGAAAAAAACACATAATAAGTGGTGATTTGAAGGAAGACAAAATAACAGTGGTTGAGTGATACGATTCAATAAAAAGTTAGGTCGTAACTACATGCTACAGTTTTTCACAAAATGATATACACTTGATTTAAAATTTTTAAATCAAATTCATAATATTCAGTTTTAGGGAGTCTTTGGGAATTAGGACCAACAAGATATATGATTTGAGTGTGAAACCCTTTTGGGATTGGGATAGAACCACGCACGGGTTCGAATGACAACTAAAAGCAAATCTAAGACATTTTGATTTTACAAAGTTTAATAAATCTTTGATAGTGTTAATATTTTGGAGTAGGATTAGATATCTGATAGTTGTAGATCTAGATGAGACAACAGATTAGACAGGTTGAGTGACAAAGTTGTACAAGTACTCGCAAAAAATACAACCAATAATAGGGAAAATGAGAAAATAATGTGACAGTAGTAGTAGGCCCCAAGGAGAAGAAAATTGACCTTCATATCAAATATTTAATGCCATCAATCCACCACCACATGAATTATAACAATTATATGTAAATTCATATTTTTTCATACTTCTTATCTATGTCTTTCTCCAATTTCCACATAAAAGTAATTTTAATAAACTCTACATAAATACTAATTAGTTGTATCATAGAATTGATTCATTGGGATTAGAGAGGACTCAAGCTTCCTGTTAGGCTAAACTTGAAAGGAAAAAAAAAAAACTCATCAAATAAATAAATTAAGTTTAAGTCTTAATTTTTTAAAAATTATATTTATTTAATGTTAAATTTAACTTAATCTAAATTATTTCTATCCTTGTTTGAAAGCTAGGGATGATGCCTGAAATCAAAATCAACAAAAATAAACATTAAAACTGAAAAGTGCTCATTATGGGTATGGCTGTAGGATGGGCACAGCTTGTGGTGTTAGTCCTTTTCTTCCCCTCTTTAGTGTGTAGAACTTTTTCCGTTTGCTCGTAAGATACAATTACAAGCCCAGCCCACGCCCATTATGGGCCCAAGTTATTCAATAATGCAATTATGGTACTGGTGATTGTGAGAAGAAAAGTGGCTTTTTCACTTGAATAAGTTTCAAATTTATTTTAAAGTAATATTTATTTATGTGGTAAAAGTCAAAAAATGAAACTATGCAGAGGCTACGATATGGTTAACTCTTGTTTATCGGTATACCTACACCAAGAATAATATCCGTACCCCAAAACGAAGTATATGGGAGTGGAAAAAAGAGAAAAAAAAAATACAGAAATAATAATAATACGATGTTTTGAAAAAATAAAAATATTATATAAATGTATTAATATAATTATTACAACAACAAAAAATGCTATCCTACGCATGAACCCATTGCCTATGTGGAAAAGGTCAAACCCTTTGTGGGTGACTCTCAAATGTCTCTTTTATTGCTGTAGAGATGGAAAATGACATGTTGTTTCTCGTGGGAAAACTTGCCCAAAGCTAATAAAAAGAAAGAAGAAAAGAAAATGATTGACGGTTGACCGATATAAATACGAATTAGTAATTACTTTTTAACTTTATAATTATTTATCTTTTATTGTTGTTTTACATAAAATAAATAAATATTATTTTATAAAATTAGGAATTAAAGTAATCATTTAAAAATTTCGAAACTAAAATAATCAATACAAGAGATTAAAATTAAAATTTACTCAAAATATATAAACCTATTAATTAGTGTTTCAAAAACTTTGAGACGAGTGTGTGGCGGATATTTTAGTAATCAGTAATGAGTTGACATTAATCAGTCATTTTCAATTATATTCAATCTCATTTATTATTTATTATTATGAAGAGACGTGTGGTAAAAGGTTTATATAAATTTAAGCCCCTTATTATGAGCATATTTCACCAAATAACTCACATAATAATTAAGTTAATATATTTTATTAATTATTGACTTAAATACATTGGTTTAACATCAATTCAAAAGTAAAAATACTTTATTCTAAGAATATATAAAACAAACAAATTGTTTGTGTTATTTGAAAGAGCTTTTTATGGACTTTATTTGGGTTAATGAAAATAATTTGTCCTTTTTAAGCATTCATATATCTTCACTTGATTGACGAATTTGGTAACAAAAATATAAAGGATTTAATTTTCTTCTCAATTTTTTAAACTTTTTTTTTACTAATTTGATTAAATATTTGATGATGTAAATATATTTTTTATAATTTATTATGTAATTTATTTGATACACTATTAAGATGAGCCCGTTTACTAAATATCCAAAATTTTAGTCAAATAAACTATAAATTCACTAAAACATCTTATCAAACACGTGTTTTCTTAAACTGATTCAACCAATAGAAATTATAAAAACTAGTTAAAAAGGAAAAATTTGAATAAATTCAAAATAAAAATTAATTTATCATTAAATTGGATCATATTTTAGAATAATTTGAAAATTATTCTGATCTAATTTAAATTAAACTTATGCATGTATAATATTATTTATGAAATTACCATATAACTCATAGTTGTATAAATAAATATCCATGAAATTATGCTATTAATTTTCTTTCACGTTCTCATCATCTGAACAATGTTTTACTAATATAATATTTTTTTTATAACTTTATTAATTGTGAACTTGTTTGGAATTTTTTTAATCTCGCATTATTTTTTATATAAAAGAACATGTTTTAATAAAAAAAATATGTAAAGAAAAAAATCTTTAACAAAGTCACACCATTATACAATAAAAGTATTATTTTAAAATCAATTATATTTAATTTTTTTTAAATTTATTAATTTTTATCATTTCAACACATTATATTTGTAATTAAAAAGTTAAGCCAAAATAATTTTTAATAAAATATTATTTAAAATAATTTTATTGTATATATAATTATTTATAAAAATATAAATTTTTGTTATTTAATTGTTAAGTTACATGTATATTTATTCTAAAATAAAATATACGTACATTGTATGAGCTTTTAAACTAATTATCATATTCATTGTGTATTTTAAATTTTGTTTCTATTTTATTAATAAATAAATAAAAGTAAATAATACAATTTAAATTAAATTTAGTCGGTATAAATTGAATCAAATTTGACCTTACAACCAATAATATATGGTAAAATAAGAAAATGATGTGATTGAATCAGATGACTTCTTCCACTAAATTAAAATATGTTAAAAGTCAAGCATATTTGACCTTAAAATAAATTAAAATATCTTATAAATTCAGTTCACTTTAAATAAGGTAAATGCGTCCTTTACATTTTCATTCCGTTCACTTTTTTTTTTTTATGGATGCAGAAATGATGTACTGTGTAATGTTCTTCCAAAAGCAAAACCTGTTTGTTGATCTTCTTGCCAAAGAGAATGCCACATATAATGTAAATGTGAGCAATGTAAAGTGCTTTATCGAAGAGATAAACCTTTCTATGCATATTTTACAAAAGGAACTAATTTTCAATCCTTGTGAAACTGAGTTTTGAATGATGTCCAAAGAGGCTGTATGTCTAAAAACAATCGCTTTGCAACTACTCTATTAGTCTATTAGTCCCTTTCAGTCATAGCACTACCCGTTTTAAAAATACAACCAATGAGAGTTTGACCACACATCAAATAGAGTTGATATCCTACACACCCACTTATCAATTTCTCCTTGAAATTTTCTTCTTAATCTTCACAAATGATGTGAAGGATGCACTTAGACATCATGTAAATCAGTGGGCACCATATCAAACGATCTTTTTGTTCAAAAGTAGCTAATTCATGTCGTTTTTCCCTTGCAATACAATTAATGCATGTATGATTGCATAACTGCTCTTATGATAAAGTTTTATGGTTGATTAAGAAAAAAATAACAAATGAAACGTTAAATCATGTGTACTTGGAGTTGGATAGGCTTTAGAAGTCACATTTGGACGTACGAGCCTATATGGGTATCATGGTGGTAGCAGTAGCATGATATCAAAATCTTGCTCAATCCTCAGTTTATCATCTGAAGTTATAAAACCTAGTAACAGATGTAGACTGTAACTGATATTTTGGATGGAAGCTCAATATGTTATGAGTTGGAGCTTGATGCGTACCCGTTTAAGTATTAATCCATCGATTATTAGGATGGGCATAAAAGAGAGCACACTTCACCGGTCAACACTAGTTAGTCAAGTTGGCAAGGTTTATTTTTTAAGTAAGATTTTGAGTTCAAGTGTTGTAAATAAATAAATAAAAAGATATTAGACTTTATTCCCCTTAAATGATTCATTCAATTTGACACGTATTAGTTAAGATCTAATGTAATTTTTGGATATCAAGGTAAAAATAAAAATAAAAATAGAGAGAACACTTCTGAACTACCTTTCCAAACGAGCCCTTCAATTATTAGTATGGACAATTTACTCTCCTGATAAAATATATTTATGGGTCATGAAAATTTTTACCTGAATTAAAATAAATAAAAAAGAGACAGAAGGAGAGGAGGGATCAAGATGGAGAAAGTGTTCTCCCAAAGGTCAAGTGCAGTTATGTGTTAGGTAAATTCAACCTAACTAGTAGCCATCCATAGACCATCTTTGTATATGATATCCTCTTCCAAACTTGAACTTGTTTGGCTGTAGTACCTTTTATTTACTAAGGATTAAATGCAAATGCATGGGCAAGTTCATCGCACGTTTATAACATGGAAGATAATGTATCTTCCAATTAATTAGGCAAATGTGGCAACCAAAAAATATTGTGTAATCTCGTAAGGTCTTACATTCAAGTTGTCAAACTAGGCAGTGCCTTCTATAGGGCTTTGAAAATGGGTAATAAGCCCTTACTTTTATATGGAGGGTTGCCCCAAAGTTAACAGTTTGTCTTTTTACATGAATCCTCAATGCTCAGAGATGTTCAAACCATGCCCAATTTTGTAAGGGCTATATTTGGGTACATAGGGTAACTACTATTGCTATTTGCCCATATGGTTTCTTTAGACTTGGAGGCCTAGGAATCTATCCCTCGATGAGAATTGAATGAATTTCTATACGCCAAACACACACCCCACATGTCAGAAGGCAGGTTCTAATCTAAAGTTTGGTTCATTTGTTTCTCAGATGTCAGTCCAAATCAGAGGCAAGTAACCAAACAAGAGAAAATCAAGTGTGACTAAAACAGTAGTAATTGTAAGGTTTGATTAACTTAATAAAACTTGCTCTCCAAGAAACCATGCAGAGTCTTTTCACATTACATGCATGCTCAGTTTTAAAACTATACTTTCAACATAATGGTTTTTAAAGAGGCAGCGGAAATAAGGTTCTCAGTATCTATCATAAAGCAATATAATGATATGACATCAACTTTGTACACGAGCTAGAAGATCAACTATGAGAAAAAGATTGGGTTTGCAAAATAGCTGTGTATATAAAACGCAGTTACACTTGTATATTATTGTGGTAATGGTGCAGGTAGTTAGGTACCAAGGAATTCAGCAGTTAAAAATTATTAGAATGGGAAAAAAAAATAGTATTACCATCAATTTTTTAAAATTATGTTGAGTAAGAATTTATAAGTAAAAATCAGGAAATATGCCCTTGGTTGCCAAATAGTTGCAGAAACAAGAGACTTTAGGTAATGGTGAAGATTAAGTTCTATTCTAAATACAAAATAAAGAGTTTTAAAAAAAACGAACTAAGGAATGGCTGTGATAACAATTCACAATCACACACTCACATAATGAGAAAGGACTCAATGTCTATATTTTGGAAGCAGGGAACCTAAACTATGCCTCCTCTAAACAACTAACCTTTTCCTTTGATAAAAGATAACAAAGATAGGGATCCCAAATTAAAAGTTCTTTTTTTTTTACCATCAAATTAGAAGTTCTAAAAGCTCAAAAAATAGACCGTGCTTTCCTCACAAAGCATGGACCCATAATACAGTGCTTGTCTCAAAAAGCATGGGCCCATATTGATATTGGACATTTCTCCTGTTTATGGGGCCAACCAGGAAACAGAATTACAGAAGCTTGAACTGCCACGTGCGTTAGACTGATCCTATTCGTTAATGTAGCTTCAATCCTACATTATAAATAGCAGTGTCAATCACATTATCCAGATACCAGTTTAAATCTTTCAAAAACTTTGTTTCTTAAAATCACATGGCTGAATTCACTGCAGATATGCAAAGTTTTAGACCCTCGTGTCCTTTCTTGGATATTGATAACATGGAACTGACAAATCAATTCAAAGGGGTGATGCCATTCTCCTATGACAGCTTCTTGGGCTCTCTAGAACCTGAATTTGCAGGAAACTTAGAAGAAAGTTTTCTAGGCCTTGTGCAATGTGTCAGTCACAATGCAGTTCCAATTTCACTCCCTATTTCTTCAGCAGAAAGTGAAATCCATGAAGGTAAAAAGAGGAAAGCAATCGATATGTGTGAACCAAGTTCTGCAAATTCCACTCCTGCAGTTTGTGAAAGTGGAAGAAAGATAAAAAATGTAAATTTTCTTTTACCAGTGTTCTTTTATTCTGATTATGTACCGTTTCTGGACATTAATTTTGACACATATGCATGACAGTGATTAGTTTTTTGTTTATTCTGCATGATTTTCAGTGTTCTGGAGGAGGTAAGAGAGTAAAAAAGAATGTAACAGAAGACAAGAAACCGAATGAAGTAGTTCACGTTAGAGCCAAACGAGGTCAAGCTACTGATAGTCACAGTTTAGCAGAAAGGGTATAGTTTCTAAATCCCCTTCACACCAAGAAAGCAATTTTCGAAGAGTTAAATAATTTTTATGATGATAAAGATGAATGAGGACTAATACATATTTTTCATCTATTATTATTCAGGTTAGAAGGGGAAAAATCAATGAGAAACTTAAGCGCTTGCAGAACATTGTCCCAGGATGTTACAAGGTAATGAAATTTTTCTTTACAAAACCTTGGTGTGTGTCTTACTTTTAAAGTCAATATCTGATTTCTATTTTTATTTTGATTCATTTGCGCATTAATGGACTTGCAGACCATGGGTATGGCAATAATGTTGGATGAGATCATAAACTATGTCCAGTCCTTGCAGCATCAAGTGGAGGTAAGTAATAAAAAACAAAATCAAAATAAAGTAGCATTCATTTATTGCTCGCAAAAGATGCTTGAAACAAACTTAATATTTAATATAACTTGTTTGGCTTTACTTGCAGTTCCTCTCTATGAAGCTTACTGCAGCAAGTACCTTTTATGACTTCAATTCAGAGACAGATGCTTTAGAAACAATGCAGGTGCCTACTCCTAAATATTTCACAGCCTTTTGTCAATTAAAGGAAACTTTTTATTTAGTCTTGTGCATTTGGTATAGTAATAGTATGCATGAAATCCTCTCCATCTTTGCATGTGCAAATAGATGGTAATATAAAAATATGTTAGACATGGTTATGAATAATTGATTGTCATAATTTGTAGAATTATTACTTTGTTTATTTATTTAGTTATTTATTTATGGTAGAGAACAAAGGCATCCGAGGCAAAAGAGTTGGCCAAGTATGTGAGAGAAGGATATGAAGGAGTTTCTTGCTTTCAACCAACTTGGCCTTGGTCCCTGTGAGTTGGGTTTTGGATGTTTTAACTCAAACCACATAAGTCATGAAGAAACTACCATTTGCTCCTCTTACTTTCTAGATTTTGAAAAGATCAAATTGTGTTCACTTCAATAGTATATGCACAAGTAGAAATTCTCGGTTGTACAATCCCATCAAACATGTTAAGAAATGAAAATTGGAGAGATAAAAGCCTACACTTTATTTATATTTGTGGTGTGGTTGATGTCTCGTTTCAGATTAAGCTAAGGCTATATCAAACCTATCAAATGTTTTGTTTAATCTTTTGCAACACCCACTAAAAAGTGTTAAAAGGACTCCAAGCTGAAAAGTTTAATATGCCATTATGTGATCATTCAGTAACCAAAGATGTGGAATGAGTAGGATTACGAGGTTCGCATAGGTAAGCAATTTGCCATTTTTCACATTATTATACCTTTTTCAAAGAAATTTTCGTGCGTGATAATGGTGAATTTGACATACGATACGCAGAGTCATTGAAAAAAATTCGATAAAGAATTTTATACTAGACTTATAACGTAGACCTTTTATACAAGATTGCGGATACATAATAACTAAATTTTTAATTCAAAAATATTATTGAAGGGTAGGGCTGGAGAGAAAAAAAATCTAATTAAGCAAGTCTACTTTATAATTATTTTTAAGACAATGGATACTTGATAAATTGATTTTTTATTTCATCATTTTTTTAATCGATTTAATGTTTTAAATTCATTTTTCAAAATTATTATTTTTTATTCATCCAAATTTATATTATACATGAAATCACTATCTCATGCATTATTTATTGGACTTTTGCGCATGTTGACAAAATTTCTTCATAATTATGTTTTATAATTAATATTTTTATATTAATCTTAATTTTATAATTAATTATTTAAAATAATATTTTTAAAATATAATTATTATATTAAAGACATAAAAATATAAAAAATATTTTTAAATTAAATATTATTAGTATTTATATGTAAATTTATTTTTTAAAATTTTTAAAATACAACATAATATTTTATTATTATTTAATGTTATTAATATTTATTTTTTATAAATTTTAATTTAAACTTTCATCATCAAATTTATTTATTAAAATAAATTAATAAATAAATAAATATTTTATAAAAACTTTATAAAGTATAATATAATTAATAAATATTACTAATTTTTTAAAATGTACTAATTTAATACAATTGTGTAGTGCAATAAATTAACTTTATCTTAAAAATAAAATTTATAACTGTATTGGAAATCGGTTTTACCTTAACATTTAAATTTAAAATAATGTTTAAAACTAAATTAACTTAAAACATTAGATTTAAAATTGGTTTTAACTAAAATCAGTTTTAAACCAAATCAAAATTTAAAAAAATAAAATGAATTAATTTAAAATTAAATCCATATAATTAAATTTAAAATGAATTTAAATTATTTTGTGTAAATTCAATTTATGCACGGGCCTTTTAAAAGGTTCAATCAATTTTCAAATAAAATAAAAAGAATTCTTTTAAACCATCCAAAAAATAAATATATTCATTATTTTCATTAATAATTATAAAAAATTGCATTTGTTTTGTTTCTATTATTTTATATATAAAGTTTTAAAAACTATATATAAAAGAGAATATTATCTTCTTGATCTTAAACCAATTTATTATGTTGGTTTATGAGTTTTCCACTCATTCTACAAATGACTGAATTTGATGAAACTATCTTGTATATCTGTATGGATATAAATCAAATGATTGTTAAATATCAAATTTAGTGAAATGACATATTTTACAAGAAAGTATAAATTCTTAAAAATTGATTCTATGACTCTCTTTTATAGAATAAGCTCTTCATGTTTTAAAAATGGGTCTCTTATACTAGTCTATTCAAAGTAATTTACCTTGTAACTTACTTTAAACCTACATATAACATCAAAGAAAGCTCGAGGGGGATCGATTGTCAAAATTTGGCATCTGAATGCATTGTATTAGTTCCCCTGTCATGAATCACAATATCCCCTTTGCATTTTGCATGACTGAAATTTGAACATTGACTTGAATATACATTTGGCTTGTATATGTAATTATGTGCCTTTCCCTCTCTCTTTTCATGTGGAGATTGAAAAATCTAACACAAACCCCACATTATTATTCCATCTTTTGCTAGAAATCTTGGCAACTATTTCATACACAAATCTATTCACGTGATTGCGTTCGTTCTACCAAGTTCCACACATGGAGCCAGCCATTGTGGATCAACTCCAAGGCCATGTCTTGTAGGCCCTACAACAACTACAATGTCCTCGACTTAGTTTAAGAAAATCCCCTTTGTCGGTAAAAAAAAGAGAAAATTGTTGATATATTTTATTTGACAGTGTAATGAGTAGGTGCTACCACAACCAATTTTAATAAGATGTGCAAGCGCAAGCTAAATCCAAGTGAGGAAACGACCCATGGAACCCACTTAAGCTAATAAATTGATAAAACCTTGTACATGTTGCCAATGCATTAAGTTAATGATTGAGAGGGGGAAATATTCACAAGATTACAACATATTTGTTGTCTTTGTTTAATGTAAAGTTGAAGGGGTTAGATGCATTGCATCCATGAAATTAGGAGAAGAGGACAGTTTGAATGGGCCACAAGCGTGCTCTAAAGAGGATGGGCAACGTGGGTTTGCAACTTCTGGAAAATGATAAGACTTAAGAACTTCTGAACCTTTTAAAGCCACTTTTGCTTCTACCCTCCAACCCAATCTTATTTGACCACTTTTGACCTTGGTCTTTATTTGTCATCTAGTATTCATGAATAATTTGGAATAAAGACTTGAAGGGTCCCAAATTTGATATATGGGTATATCGTATCTTCTCAATATTTATTTAGATTTGGGGACATATTTAGGAGGTAGTAGTTGAAGGGAGGATTAGTGATTAACTTGGGCAAGTTCAAGGACTCAAGCACTGTGGGCTCACTATCAAGCTTTTCAACTGAAAGTGGAACTCTCAATATCATTAGTTTGACACATTCTTAACTATGAGTTAAAATTTATTGAAAATTAAATAATCACCACCAAATTAGCCAAAATCAGAACACGGTTATCAGTATGTGCTTGTATCGTCTTGGTTTGACGACTCAAAAGAAAGTTGGTGACTCGAGAATTGAGACAGTGTCACTCCATTTTGTTGCTTAACCTCCCACTAATCACTATTAAGCAATGTTTTTAAAACAGATTTGCGTATTGGTACGAAAATTTTGTTGCTTATTGATTAAACCACTTCCGTATCATAAAAGCATAACACGTGCCCATTCCAATCAGTTCGACTAATCGGTGTGACGGTGTGAAATAATTTCCATTAAGTCGTCTCACTTTAAAGGTTTATGGAGCCTTAGACAAAATATGCATATAGTATCATTATTTTTAATTTTGAAAAACTTTCTTCCACTGAAATTTTAATAATTGGAATTTTTCATAATATTCCATGCGTTATTCATGCATTTGAAAATATGATCACTCTTTTTTTATATAAAATTTAATATTTCAAGTGGTGTTTTTATTTTTTTATCGTTATAATATTTTTGAAACTTTTAATTATGAAAAAAATAAAAGAAATCAATAGCAAGGTAACTAGAATGTACAGACATTATTGTAATGGTAAGTATTCTTACTAAAGAAAAATATGGAAAACTAACGTTGACAATATGATATATAAAGAATTGAATAAGTCTTTGAGAAAGCACAGGCCACCTGAAGGAAAAGGAAGTCGGATTTAGATTGGAAGGTGAAGGGAAAGATAAAAAAGAGAACAATAGAGAGAATAGAGATGGAAACAGGGCTGCCTTGTTTAGACTTGACCTAGTCTGACCTTTTTAATAAATAAATTAGATTTAGACTTTTTTTAAGGCCTATTTAAGTAAATAAGTCAGACTTGAGCTATTTATAAAGCCTGTTAAGCCTGGCAGGCCGGCCTATATATATATATATATATTATATAATTTAAAAATAGAGCTGTCAAAGTATATTAAAATAATTAAGTTATTTAATAATATATTTTTTATATTTTTAATTCTGTTATTATTAAATTAATATATTATGTTATAATTTTATTTATTTATAATTATAATAAATATAAATTATATTCTATTAAAAATTAAAAATATTTATACATGATTATACTTTTTAAATAATAAATTTATTTAATAATAAATTATTATATTTATTATATTTAAACAATTTAAAAAATAGTTAAGTCTTTGAATAGGAATAAGATGTAATTAAAATTAAACGAAATAAGTTTTAAAATAAAATAATAAAATGATATTAACATATTTTTTATACTCTTAATTTAATTATTTAATTATTATATTAATATATTATGTTATAATTCTTTTTATTTATAATAAATAGAAAATGCTTAAATTTAAATTATATTTTATTTAAAAGTAAAAATTTATAAAAAAATATGATAACAAAATAAAATAAAAAAATTATTATAATATATATATATATATATATATATAATCAGACCATATAGTAAATAATATAATTATAAATAAATTATATAATAATATATATTTTTTGTAACTTGCATGTGTTTTAATTAAATTATTAGTTAATTTATCAATTTATATGTAATATATAAGTATGTGTTTTAATTTATTGTATCAGTAATAAACTAATAATTTCTATATTACATTAATGTTATAGTGTAAATAATTTTACGTTTATTTTGTTAATTTAAAATAACAAATTAGTGAAACAAAAAAAATTAAATATTTTATAATTTTTTTTAATTTAATAGTTATTATTGTTGTCATTTTATATATATACTAAACTAAAAATTTCTTATTAAAGTAGACTGCAAGTCTGCTAAAGAAATTTTACAAAAGGATGTAAAAAACCTTGCTTCAAAACAAATCTTTGCAAGATGGCAAGCAATTTTAAGTGTTTTTGATTTTGATATCGAATATCTCAAAGGCACTTCAAATTCTCTTCCTGACTATCTTACCCGTGAATATTTACAGGATAAGTATATATATATATATAGTACATTAAGTTTAAATTTTTATATTAAGTTTTATCACATATTTTTAATTAAAATAAAAATTTAGAAATAAGTTTTTTAATTTAAATATAAATTTTAATAACTCTTCTTATGCTCATATGTTATTTTTTTGTATCTATAAATTTTATAATATAAATATTTTTTATCTACAATTTTTATAATGACGATATTTATTTACTTTTTAAAATATAATTTTTTTAGCTGATTCAATAAATTTTGTAAGTTATTTTTTGTTATCAATTTTATGTGGTTACTGTGATTTTATTTATTGAATATAAAATGTCTTTATACAAACAAAATATAATTATCATAAAAAATAATTAAAATATTTAATAATTTTATAAAATTAAATTGAGAAAATAAAAATATAAAAATTTTATAATATAAAAATATTTATAATTAATGCTCAAATAATATTTTAAAATTTTTTTATAAAATTGTATAAAAATTATTACAATTATTTAATAATTATCAATAACACAAATAAAAATTTGAATATATGTAAACTAATTTGATAATAAATAATTATATTTTTATTAATATTATTCAATAAAAATAATCATTATAAAATTTTAATATTATACAAATTTTATTTTATTTTTTTATCTTTCTTAAGCAATTTTATTGGTATAAAATTTATAATAAAAAGTTTTATTGATTGTATTCACTACATCACAACAAATCACAAACATAACATAACTACATGTCTCTGAGATAAAGTTGCTATCGCATTTACTTTTTATTCTTGTTTTATTATTATATATAGTTACTTTGAATATAAATATAAGGTAAATTATTATATTTGTTTGAACAAACTGAAAAACAGCAAAGTCTTCAAATAAGATTAGAACGCAATCAAAATTAAAGAAACTAATATTTAAAAATAAAATAATAATGTTATATTAATTTATTTTTTATATTCTTAATTTTATTATTATTAATATTTAATTATTATATTAATATATTATGTTATAATTTTTCATTTATAATAAATAAAAAATTATATTATATTTAAAACTAAAAATATTTATACACGATTACAAGTGTTTAAAAAATAAATTTATTTAATTATAAATTATTATATTTTATTATATTTAAACAAGCTGAAGAAGAATAAGACACGATCAAAATTAAACGAATTAAAATTTAAAAATAAAATATTAATATTCTTTTAATAAATTTTTTATATTTTTAATTTTATTATTATTAATATTTAATTCTTATATTAATATATTATGTTATAATTTTTTATATTTATAATAAATAAAAAGTTGCTTAAATATAAATTATATTTTATTTGAAACAAAAAATTTATAAAAAATGATAAGAAAATAAAATAAAAAATTTATTATAATATATATATATATATGTAATCAGACTATGTAACAAATAATATAATTATAAATAAATTATATAATAATATATATATTTTTAACTTACACGTGTTTTAATTAAATTATTAGTTAATTTATCAATTTATATGTAATATATAAGTATATGTTTTAATTTATTGTATCAGTAATATTTTCTATATTATATTAATATTATAATGTAATTAATTTTATATTTATTTGTTAATTTAAAATAATAAATTAATGAAATAAATAAAATTAAATATTTTATAATTATTTTTTTAATTTAATAGTTATTATTATTATTATTATTGTCATTATATATATATATATATATATATATTGCATTAGGTTTAAATTTATTTATTTTTTAAAACATAGTAATTTTCTTTTAATTGATTCAAGAAATTGTGTGAATATTATTATTTTTTTATCAATTTTATATATTTACTGTAACTTTATTTGTTGAATAAAAAATGTCTTTAAATAAACAAAATATGTTTCTAAAATAAAACTAAAATATTTACTATTTATATAATTTTTAAAAAATAAATCAAGAAAAATATAAATATAGATTTAATTAATATAAAATATTTATAATTAATACTTAAATAATATTTTAAAAATTATTTATAAAATTATATTAATATTATTATAATTATTTAATAATTATTAATAACATAGATAGAAATTAAAAAAATATATAAACTAATTTAATAATAAAATATTTATATTTTTATTAATATTTTTTTTTTGGTAACAGGCTCAAGCTATATCAAGCTTAAAATAAAAATTTTAACAGGTTAGACTTAAATCTAATAATTATATAACAAGTCTAAAATAAAATTTAATCTGACTTAACCTGTTTTCATCTTTAAAAGAGAATGGAGTTTAAGAAGAAGGTTCATACAACTTGCATAACCTTCTCACTCCACAAAACCTTCCAGAAATACATTCGTCTTTCGCATCCTAGTGCTCCTTCTGTGTCCCCTTCGCGCAGATTGCCTGCCACTTGGCATTCAGGTGTAACTAACTTCCCAACCTTCTCTCTATTTGATTGTTCTCCTACTTTTATAATTTTGTTATTACGGCCCCAAGTTATATTCACTATTGATCAAAACCGTAAAGTGTATAATTACTTTAAAAAATACATATCACACGTCTAATTTTTTTATTTCGCCAAAGTTTACCACTTCTTCACAGCAAAAGACAAACAAAATGGCATTCGGCTCCTTTTTTGTCATTGGATAATAGGCCCTAAAGAGGAAAAGCCCCACAAAAGGTGAGAGGCCCAAAGAGCAATACAACAATAATTTTGTGGGCCTGAAATGATTTTCGATCTTTGAAATCAAAGGGCGTTTTGAGGAGATAAGGCTCACAATCCTTCTATTCTTATAAAAACATTGAACGAAATCAAAAGGAAGACATCATAGTAAGAAGTCTAAATATCTGCATATTGGGTAATATCAGGTCCAAAATTCTAATTATTTTAATTGAATATAAACAGATTGATAAATGAAATATTTACAATTTAATTTAAATAAAAGTATTTGAGTGAATAAAACCAAGTATTTAAGTATCACTCACACTTTCAAACACAGCCCTGTACATTTGTATTTAAGCAGAATCTCACCCACACTACCAAACATAGGTTTATACATTTGTATTTAGGCAAAATGTTTCAACTTTGTCTTTTTAATCATGTCAAAACAGGTAGAAAAGTCTAGGAGGAGAGATTGAACATTCTTTCTTCTTGAAAGATATGTTAAACTTGCATTGATATTCTATCTAAAAGATAAAAAGAAAAAAAGAAAAAAAATTATATATTTCTTATTCCGAAATCAAACAAGCTATAAAAAAAAACCTGAAAACTAATATTGTACGTGCAACTATTTTGCATGAAATCAAACTTATTGATACTTCAAAAGCATGAATTCTTAAAGTGCCAAAAAAATTAGAAACTTTTGTTTACTTTGGAACCAAAAAAAACTTTGCATGCATAATCATGGAACTCATTCACGATCCATTCCATCCAACGCAGGCTATCATCTCAGAACAACGCATCCACTTAGTTCAACGTTAACTGCTTATTCGAGGAAAGCCAATCGGACTTCAAGACCTGAAAAATTCTTTAGGGAAATGGAAATCACCGGAGCCTCTACGATTGGTGGCGTCGACGGCGAATTCACACAGTTGTGACTATCTAAATCCTCCGTGATCACCGATGACGTCGATCCGCAACTTTCATTGTCTTCCACCTGAGGTCCCTCCATGGGTGGCAGGTAGCGGCCAATGGCGCGGGCACAATTGTCTTCGATGTCCGACCGTTCGAGTCCAGTGAGCTTTTGCACCAATTCCTTGAAGTCGCTGGCATGAGTATGAATGATTCTGGGAGGACGAGCATAGATTATCACCGGTTTTCTCTGTTGTGGCTTGTTCACTGATGATGAAGATTTCTTAATTGAACGAGAATTCTTATTGATTTTCGTAGAAGCATTGCTTGTGATTAACTCTGTCTTTGGTTGAAGTGGTGCAGGCCTCATCACTAATTGCTTGTTATTAACTCTGTCTTTGGTTAAATAATTAATCAATGGAAGGTAAGTAATGCAAAGAGAAAATTATAAGTGTGTTAAAGTGTCTATATATATATATATATATATATATATATATAGGTTAGGAGTAGAATTAGGTGAAAGATGAAGCCACGTCTATGATTTGTTCCATGTGTTGTTAAGGTTTCTTCAAGTGGATCCAATTATTTTGTCACTTTTTCCTGGCTTAATAATTTTGTTACTATTAACTGAATAAATTATAACAAAATATTAACAAGTTTTCAAAAATGTTAAGAATGCGTATCTAATAATTTCTCGAGTCGTAAAAGTTTCTTTAATTGTGCTGCGCGTATTCATGAACATTAATCTTCTTGCGTCAACGAATGTGAAACAATCGTCCGCGAAAAAGGGAAAAGAACTCCATTGATTTCCTTTGTTTAAGGGAACGTGTTTGTTTAGAATATATAACAATATATTTCCAAAGAGGTTAAGAAAAGGAGGGAAATAAGAAGGTAAAACTGTCTTCGGCAAATGATAAAGTTGTTCATTATTTCCTCCACGAGATTTGACTTTCCGTTTAATTATATTTGAATATAATATATATAATGACAGTTGTATGGGTTATCTTCTTTTAATTTAAGGTAGTCAAAAGACAATCAATGTTAGTGAAACAAATAAGGAATATTTTCTAGAAGAATATTTTTATTGTTATTGTTGATAGTGAAGGGAATATTAAGAAGAAAAAGAATCTTAATCTTCCTATTGATTGTTTAATTTTTAATTTTTTAAAAGAATAATATATTAAATTTATGAAGTAAAAAATGTTTAAGAATAGTTAAATAGTGAATAACAATAAATATATAAGATCAAAGAGAAAATGGATGATTTGAGAACGAGTAGAAATAAAATTAGAAAGCAGCAATTTATACTATAAATGATTGCATAACAATGCAAATTGTAAATTGAAATAGCTTTTGGGTCCATAGTCCGTGTTTTATAGATTATGAAAATATACAAAATAATTAAACGATGAATAAATATATTTATCTGTTTTTTCTCAATCTATTTATAATATAATTTATTTAATATTTTTACTAGTGATGAGTATTCGAGTCTAAATCCGTAGGCCAATAAAATAAATAAATAAATATATATATATATATATATTATTTAGTTTAATATAGATTTAATCTAATTTATGTATCTCAATATGATAAATGAGTTTACATTAAAAACTTTTTACATGCACAAAAATTTAAATTTAAGATCTTACTTATAAGATATTAAGTTGTTTGTCACTTAGATTAATCTGTCACATGCTAACATGTTTAACTTTAAAACTGGATGAATTTTTTATCATTGACAAGGTTGGATAGTTACATTTATTGAAAATTTGTTCATATTTTTAAATATAATTATAATAATTCATTTGTTTTATAACAAAAATTTAAATACAATCATTTAAAAAATTCTATGCGATCGTATTGTCTTTTTTTATACTTAATTTTTATACCATCTTATGATCGCTCTCAGGATTAAATTTTATATTATGGTTTTTTTATTCAATTAAAGATATATTGTAAGACGAGTAATAATCACATCATAGCACATTTTTAAGTCAACGTCAATATGTCATATTTTTTTTTTTTTAGTAATCAATGAATAAAAAAAAAATTAAAGTGAAAGGGAGAGTAGGAGAAAAATCGGGCCTTAATAATTATTTATTTATTGAATTTTTAGTGACATTCAATTACATCGAAGAGAAGCACGTGGGTTGTTAGCATCTGTGGTCCTTCAAGACGAGGTCTATTAAAATTTTTGGTAAATAAACTTTCTTTCTTTATCTCGTTAAAAATAAGTTTTTTAACATGATATTTAAAGATAATGTATCAAAATATGTGATTTATGAAAATATAAGAACTCAAAAATATTCGATAGTAATCTTTAATATAGATATAGAGATTTACCGACTGGATCAATTACAAATTATAATAAAAAAAAGCTTAAAGTACTAAAAATTACTTTAGATGATTTTAAAAAAAAAATTTAAAAATTACAAAAATTATCAATGGTAATTTATAAAAAATTTTACAATTTTGTTAAAATATGATTGATTTTTAATTTGTTAAAATATAACTTTAGAATATTTTATAATTAAAAAATATATGAAAAAATAATTATTTAATCAATTGATAATAAATAAATAAATAAATTACACAACTAAATTAATTAATAATTTTAATTCAGAAAATACTTATATAACTGTAAGGTTTCAGTTATATATCCGCAGCTCAAACTTAAGCCTTAGTAAACATTTTGGGATCTAAGTTGACTTGTACGTAGAAATTGTTGCAGAAACAAATTACACTCTTTTTGAAATTTCATTTCTGTCGCAGATTTGCTCCTTTCTATGTCCACCTGAAACCATTGTCCAAGGTTGTTGCCAAAATCTGCAACACCCGCAATATATTCCCAGAAACCATTCTCACACACAGGGTGATGTTTTTGGAGCTTTGGACGAGGGATAAAATAGAGGAAAATATATAAATAAATATGACATATTTTATTAACAAATAAATATTTATAATTAGATAAGAATGTAAAAAATATATTACTAATATGTTTTAATTAAATTTATCTCCTAAATTGGATTCAACTTATTCTGATTAGATAACGTTTTAAATTAAATTTAACTCCTAATTGTATAATTGACATATCATGTTTATGCTGGACGTGTCTAGTGTTTTAAATTAAAATGATCGCGCAAAAGAGCCGCACGTGTTATTTTCATGTGATGCGACAATGTATTACTTTACATTAAACAAATCAATTGAGTTTGCAGGTAACGCCAACTGATCAATATCCTCGAATTGTTCGTTCAGGGACTCGCATGTCTACGCAGAAAAAATATATGTTTGTCCATTACTCTTTATTCTCATTATCTCCGTGTGTGTTGGCACTTGGCAGTGTTGCTTTACTTCAAAAAAATATTAGTTTCATTTCATGTGTGGACCCGCAGTCTCTTATCTGAAAAAAAGACGAATCTCAACAAATTTAAGGAGGTTTTAATTCTGATTTACTTTTATTAAGTACTACACTTGAGTTGAAGTAAACTAGATCAATTTTCTGAAGAAAGAAAAAGGGGAACCCCACTACCCAAGTAGAATTATGAACCACAAAAGTTGGACATTTTATTTTTTATTTTTGACCACAGAAATTGGGGTAGTTCTGATGGTGCTATTTGCAATTATGCTGCCAACAACCAGAAGGTCAAGATTTTGTGTTGGGATTTAGGAGGCTGTTTCACTTCATTTCCACTTCCCTCTTCTAATCTCTTTCTACATAATACTATTCTCTGATTCCTCTATTCACGATCTCAAACATTCCATTCCTCATTTTCCCAGAATATGCTTTTCTTGTTTCGTTGTCTTTCCTTTTTCCCTCCCACACACATGACTTTCTTATAATTGCCATGCATAGCGAGTATAATCAACTTACAAGATCAGGGAAATAAAAATTAAAAAATAAATAAAACTTTTGTTTCATTTCCATAATTGCAATGAGTAGTAGGGAGAAAATGTTAATTCCCATTCGTTTGGAAGAGGCTGCAGTGGACTTGTTAAACCATCTTGTGAAGCTGAAGGAGGAGGCTAAGATTTCACTCTTCATTCCTCTCATTTTGATTGCTTGGGCTATTCATAGATGGTTCTTCTCTTTCTCCAATTGGCTTCCTCTTGCACTTGCTTTATGGGGATCTATACAAGTGAGTAATCCTTCTCTCAATATCTTTATCCTGATTGCTATTTTTATAAACGAACAATAATATTCTTTCAAACTTTGTAATTTTATCAATTTATGGCAATGAATTGGACTTTTGGTTTTTATCTTCTCTTCAAATGGTTCTGTTTTTCCCTTGCAGCAATTAGTCCTGGTTTTATGTTAAATGGTTAATATTGCTTGCCACACAACAACCCCATGATGATCTTTGTTGTGTTGGTAACAATTACACTGCTTTTTTTACTTGCAGTATGGAAACTATCAACGCAAACTACTTGAGGAGGACTTGAATAAGAAATGGAACCGGATCATACTCAACACCTCGGTACCTTCTTCATTTCAATTCTCCCTTTTGCATTCTCACTGAGCTTTATGAAGCTGATTTCAACTTGAATGTAGCCCATGACACCAGTGGAACACTGTGAGTGGTTGAATCTGCTATCGACACAAATTTGGTCCAACTATTTTAACCCTAGGTTATCAAGAAGGTTATCAAACATAGTTGAGGTGAAATTTCCCCTTTTTTATCCATTTCATACATTGATGTAATTTTACATTTTTATTTAACATTCAAAACTTGTAATTACCTTGCATATATTTTCTTCCATCCATTTCTAAATTTGATCACTTAAAATAATTATATTCTACTTCATTTTGATTTTGTGGCATATGAGTAAATTGCTTTAATATTCATGAGATCTGCAAACTGCAATTCTGCATATAGAAGGCTATTGTATTGGAGTTTTGCACTGTGAGTCTGGAATTACTCTATTAACTTTTGTCTTTCTTTTATGTGCAGAAACGTTTAAAGCTCCGGAAACCAAGATTTATAGTAAGTAACAATCATTTTCATCTATGGTCCTATTGAAGAGTTTCAACTTGGAAGATGTGTACTGAAATAAAGCAATCCTTTATGTAGGAAAAAGTTGAGGTGCAGGAGTTTTCACTTGGATCATGCCCCCCAAGTTTGGGTCTTCAAGGGATGCGATGGTCAACCTCTGGTGGTCAGGTTTTAAGACTATGCATCATATTTCACATATCACTTCTATAGGGCTTTTTAGATATTTAATTAAACAGATTCCTGTCTATATCTCTACTTTTGCCTTTTTTTTTTTATGTGAATTTACTCTTGCATCATCACCAAAAAAACTTTGTTTATTCTTGCTATTTTTGTTGTCTTCTCTTCAATTGAACTGCTTGTGTTGTGTGATCTCTATTTTGCAAAAACAGAAAGGTCCAACAACATTTTTTCACATCTATCATTTGGAAAAAAAATGCTTAACTAAATGTACAAGTTAAAAATTAAACTATTAACAATTCTAGGACTCGGAACCTAGATTTCATCATTAACTTTGAACTTCTCTTTTGACAAGTCAGATTGTATGAGAAGTTGATACTATAAATCATTGAAAAATTAGCTGAGTGAAATACCATCCAAGTGGTTAAGTATATGTGGAATTCCTCTTTCTATTACCCTTGCTTTGCAGAGTTGTGCTAGTCTACCTCCTCCTTTTCTTCATGCTCTTTGTTTGTTAGTTTAAGGTCTATCTTATGATTCATGCTTTGTCCTATAACTATGAAAGGTTGATATATTTCCACATATCTGAGATTTTAATACACTATCCTGTTGGCTGTCGGTTTTTTATTTTGACAGCGAGTCCTAAAGATGGGTTTTGATTGGGATACCAGTGAAATGAGCATTCTGATGCTTGCTAAGCTTTCGGTTGGAACTGCCAAAATTCTGATCAACAGTCTTCATATAAAGGGTGATGTACGTAAAATAAAGTCCTTAGCATTTATGCTTCTCTGACATGAAACAAAGCTGTATAAAATGAAATAGAAGATATGAAAATGAATTAGGAGGCTAGAATTGGCTTAGAATTGGTCATTTTTCTTTTCATAATCTAATCATGTACATTTTTTTTGCAGCTTCTGGTGACACCAATTTTGGATGGAAAAGCACTTCTATATTCATTTTTATCGACACCTGAGGTGGGAATAGGAGTTGCCTTTGGAAGCGGTGGAAGCCAATCAGCCACTGAGTTGCCTGGTGTTTCTCCTTGGCTGGTGTGTTTCAGAGAATCTAATTTGTCAAAAGTTTTAGAGAAAGCCGATAACTGTTATTTCTAGAGCAGTTTGAAACAAGTGAATTCGGAACTATAATCTATGAAAATCTCGTGGTTTGCTTCACATGCTAGAGCAGTTTTAAGTCTCTTTTGCTAACTTTCTCTCTGAATTTTCCCCATTGGTTAATGATGTTTCATGCTGATTGTATTTGTACGTTTACCTTTTTTATACAGAAAAAACTTTTTACTGATACCTTGGTTAAAACCATGGTTGAACCCCGGCGCCGGTGTTTCACTTTGCCTGTAGTTAATTTGAGGAAAACTGCTGTTGGAGGCATTATATATGTTTCAGTGATTTCAGCAAACAAACTTTCTAGGAGTTACTTCAGGAGGAACTCATCTTGGATGCAAGAAAATGGCATAGTCAATGGATGTTCAGAAAACAACATGGATGACAGGAACTTACAGACATTTGTTGAGGTAGAAGTCGAGGAATTGACAAGGAGGACGGGTGTGAGCTCTGGCTCAACTCCAAAATGGGATGAAACATTTAATATGGTTTTGCATGATAATACGGGAATTGTTCGCTTCAATCTTTATGAGAGTCCCCCCAGTGGCGTCAAGTTTGACTACCTAGCAAGTTGTGAAATCAAGGTACTGTCATCAATGTTCTCCCTTTTGAGCTAACCATATGATGAATAATTATTGAGAGTATGGGAACATCACATTGACTATTAATAAATTAATATATATTTATTTTGACAAGCCCCTTTTTAATCTGTGTGGTAACTGCCTATCATCTACTATTATAGGTTAATTTATTGTTTTTTTCTTTGAGAAGATGAGACATGTTGAAGATGATTCAACAATAATGTGGGCAATAGGGAAAGATTCTGGTGTCATAGCAAAGCATGCAAAGTTTTGTGGTGATGAAGTTGAAATGGTTGTACCATTTGAGGGGACCAACTCAGCAGAGGTACAATATTTTTGACCGTGAAATAATTAGTTCCTCCCCTTATGTCAAACTCTCTTTGCTTTATGATAGACACAATTTGGTTATCTTACACTAGCGGTGTGTGATTTTCACTTAATCAGATCTTGCAACACTGTTCTTCCTTCCTACTCCTAGTTAATTCATATGCTGTTTAAGTACTAAGGAACAAAAATCTGATAGCATGAACTAAGTATTCTATATTTATTTATGCATGTGCCATATAAAAGGAACATAATCATCCTCCATGTCCATAGGGACTCTCATATCAAATCAAGGACCGATTTTATGGAAGTTTTAGATGTTAGGTGAAAGCTCATGAATGGTTCTTTTAGGATACACACTTATATTGCATAATTTTCTATTATTTATTTTCTGACTGATTTTTCATGAGAGACACTATCAAAATGTCCTTGCAATGCCATTTTGTGCTTAAAAATTGAAAGCTGTTTTACCTTCTTCTCAATGTGAATAAAATTACTAGTAAATGGAATGTTTTATTCATCTTCTCTTAATTCATTTTTCAGTTAAAGGTGAAAATTGTAGTGAAAGAGTGGCAATTTTCCGATGGTTCTCATAGCTTGAACAATCTCCATGCTAGTTCTCGGCAATCACTTATTGGATCATCAAATCTTCTGTCAAAAACTGGAAGGAAACTCAAGATAACTGTTGTGGAAGCAAAGGACCTTGCTGCAAGAGATAAATTTGGAAAATTTGAACCATACATTAAGTTGCAGTATGGAAAGGTCAGTGATACTGGTTTTCAATTGGACTCTGAATACTTTATCATTTAATTGATTAGCTAGGGTCCCTGCCGCATTTATTGACAGGTAAAATGAAATGTAAGTTCAAAATAACACTATCTAATTCTGTTGTTGCTAATCTTTTCAGGTTGTCAAGAGAACCCATGTTGCTCCTCATCCTACTACACCAAATCCTGTCTGGAATCATTTATTTGAATTTGATGAGAATGATGGTGATGAATACCTTAATGTAAAGTGCTTTAGTGAAGAAATTTTTGGAGATGAAAATATGGGAAGTGCACGTGTAAACTTGGAAGGACTGGAGGACGGGTCAATCAAGGATGTATGGATCCCTCTTGAAGGAGTGAGTTCTGGTGAATTAAGACTTAAAATAGAAGTTGTTAAGGTGGAAGACCTAGAAGGATCAAAGGTATGCTTCTTCAACAAGAAATTAGCGATTCTTTTAATAATCTAGTTAGTTACAAATTATTAACAAAAAAAAAGGATGCACAAAGCTAATACTTGGTTTAGTATCACTTCAGTTATTTTTTATCCATATTAAATTTTCACCTGTGACACATTCATTCTAACATGCACTATTCTACTCCTTAGAAACTAACACAGGATTCAGCCCATGGTTGGATAGAACTTGTTCTTATTGAAGCAAGGGATCTTGTTGCTGCTGATCGTGGAGGGACAAGTGATCCCTATGTGAGGGTAAATTATGGAAACTTGAAGAAAAGGACAAAGGTTAGAATACTTCATCTGTAGTTTCTTTTGCATGAATAGCATGTGCTTAGGATTTAAAATTTTATCAGCATTGCAGCATACATACTGATGATTATGGCAAAGTAGTCAGTAGATGATTATAAAGTACTATACCTAGCTATGATTTCGCCTTTGCTCTTTCATTAAAACACATGTTCTCAAAATTTTTATAGGGTAGTATATTGGCTTATCATTCACATGATATGGAAGTTTGGCACTTGATCGTTCCCAAAATTTCATTTTTCCTCTGCATTTGCACGCTGTTATCATTTCACTCTTGCAAGGGTTAATTACTCATCAACTGTGACATTATCTGGAAGGTTATACACAAAACTCTCAACCCTCGTTGGAACCAGACCTTAGAGTTCCTTGACGATGGCAGTCCCCTGACACTGCATGTTAAGGACCATAATGCTTTACTTCCCACATCAAGTATAGGTGTATGTGTCGTGGAATATCAAAGGTTTCCTCCAAACCAGATGTCTGACAAGTGGATACCTCTTCAAGGGGTGAAAAGTGGTGAGATCCACATCCAAATTACAAGAAAAATTCCAGAGATGCAAACGAGACATGAACAAGACTCTGATCCTTCGTTAAGTAAATCACACCAAATTCCAAGCCAGGTAAGATCATCCTGCATGTCAGAAAACACTTCTTATTTTATATGCAAGCTGTGATGTTACTTTTTCAGCTCTGAGGATGAAGTAATGTTTATTCTAACATTGTTAAAATTGAAACATGTTATCAGATAAGAGAGATGATGAAAAAGTTTCGATCTTTAATAGAGGATGGAAATCTCGAAGGACTGTCTACAACTTTGAGTGAATTAGAAACTCTAGAGGATACAAAAGAAGGGTATATAGCACAGTTGGAGACTGAGCAAATGCTTCTTCTGAGCAAAATAAATGAACTGGGCCAGGAAATGGTCAATTCTTCTTCTTCCCTTACCAGTAGTTCTTCTCAAAGTGGAAATTAACCTTCATCAACAGCCTCTACTTCACTTAATCAATAGTTGAATTTTCATTTTCCAGTGTAAAATATTCTTATAGGAATCATCATGGATTGATTCCCGTATATGTTTATCCAAGGATTCTTGTAGTTTACAACATACTTTATTTAAATTTTGTAGAACTTCAAAGTTTTAATAGTCTTTACATTTATTAATTTTATAGTTGAATTCAAAATATGAAACTGTGATAATACATTTATTTTAACATGAAGTAATAATTGCTCAATAAATAAGTTTAAAGTTTAGGGTTTAGGGAAATAATTTATCTATATTTATCTATCAATTTATATATATCTATATGTAAAATTGACTACACCTACTTATTATCCTATGCATTAAATTTTGAAATGTATAAAGTCGTCTTTATATATGTGATTTCATTTACTTATTACTCTATGCATTAAAATTCGAAACTTATAAAATCACTCTTATGTGCACTCACTTATTATTCTATGCATTAAAATTTGAAATGTATAACTTATGAATTGAAATTATATTTATTTCAAAGAATTTTTATTAGAATTGATGAATTGTATTTAAAGAATTAATTCAAAACCTATAAAGTCATTTATATTAACTGCATCTAATTATTACTCTCTACATTAAAATTCAAAACATAAAATTTATTGATTGAAATTATATTTTATTCATACTTATTATCTTTGAATTGTATTTAAAGAATCTTTATTAAATTTGATGAATTGTATTTAAAATTTTTTTTATTAGAATTGATGGTTATATTATATTACAAATAACAACGTAAATATTTATACTACAAATTGTCTTAAATTATAATTTATTAAAATTAACTACAACATTTTTCAAAGTTTATGAATTAAAATTATATCTCATTCATACTTATTATGAAATACATTTAAGAAGAATTTATTAGAATTTATGGTTATATTATATACATTAAATTGAAAAATAACACTTATAATATTATTACTTTATATTATATATTATTAAATTAAATTTTTCATAAATTATTTTTATTTTTAAATATTAATATATAATTTTGTATATATTGATATTTAAAGGTGATTTTTAAAATTTTATACATTAGATGAATAAATACTTTAATTTTTATATATTAGTCTCATAGATTATTTTTAAAAAACATGATATCATGTTTTAATAATTATATAGTAAAATTTTATTAATAATTTTAAATTATAATTATAAATAGATAATTTATCATATAAATTTAGTTCAACAAATATAAACAAATATATAAATAAAAAATTATAAGACCTTTTATTTAAATTTTATAACATATATTAACAAATTTATTATATTTAATAATTTATTGTTATAATTATTTATTTAAAATTTTATAATAATAAATAATTTATGATATCATGAAATAATATACATTTTATTTTTATATTTTAAAAATAAAATATTTGTATGTTATGCTAAGAAATACTAAATTATATATATTTTAAATATTAATTTATTTTGACAAATAAATTTTTATTATATTTATATATTTTTATATTTAAATTATGTATTTTATATTTTAAAATAAATTAATTTAATACAAAATTGACTACACTTACTTATTACTGGTATATTAAATTTTGAAATATAAAAAATTATTTTTATATATGTAACTTCATCTACTTATTATTCTATACATTAAAATTCAGAATGTATAAAGTCACTCACATTAACTACACTTATTTATTACTCTGTGCATTAAAATTTGAAATGTATAACTTATAAATTAAAATTATATTTTATTTATATTTATTATGTTTGAATTGTATTTAAAAAATATTTATTAGTATTGATGGTTATATTATGTTACAATTGACAACATAAATATTTATACAATAAATTAGCTTAAATTATTGTTATTAAAATTAGTTATAATATTTTTCATAATTTACGAATTAAAATTATTATATTTTAATATAATCTATATTTTATTATATACTTCAAACATTAAAATATATTTTAAATTAAAAAATTAAACTTACAAAATTATTAGTTTATATTATAAATTGTTAAATTAAATTTATAATAAAAGATAAATTTGTATATTTAAATTTTTTATTAATTAGTTTACTTCAAATACTAAAATATAATTTGAAAAAAAAAATACATTTATAAATTTATTTGTTTATATTATATAATGTTAAATTAAATTTTTAATAAAAATATAAGTTTATATATTTAAATTATTTTAATATAATCTATATTTTAATATTTATTAACAATAAAAAAATATAATTTGAATTAAAAATACTATATTTATAAAATTACTAGTTTATAATATATATTATTAAATTTAATTTTTAATAAAAAATAAGTTTACAAATTTAAATTATTTTATTAATTATTAAATTGAAAATGAGAGTTTCATAAATTTTATAATTTTTTATAAATTTTAACTAATAATTAAAAGTGTAAAAAAAATATATTATAGATAATTTTTATAAATTATTAAAAAATATGTCCGTGCATTGCACATTTTATTTTTTTGTTAAATTAATTTATTTTAAAATATAAAATATATAATTTAAATATAAAAATATATAAATATTAGATTAATTTATATTCACTGTGAATAAAAGTAACAACACCAAAGTAATACTAGTATAATAGGTTTCTTGCGGGGACGGGGTGTTAAGTAACTAACCGCGTATTGGGCGTAAAGTTGAAGGGAAGGCCTAGCTAGTACCTAGCCAGCATAGTCGTTGCTTCCATTTGAGTTTCAGCATTTTGTTTAGTTTTGTTTTTTTTTTCCTAGACAGCAATTATGGTTCAGCTTCCTCCAAACGCGAGTCTTCCCTGCTGTTTGCTTTATAAAACACCTCAAACTCACCCTTCTCACAAACATCACAATCTCTACAACTAGGAAATCTACAACCCCTCTTCTCTTCTCCTCTCCTCTCAGACACAACACAAAACATAAGTTAGAGAGAAGAAACTACTACTACCAACTTTAATTAAGCGGCAAACACTAACACACACATCACAAAGCACCAAGTCCAAGAGGGAAAAATAATAATAAAAAAAGGAATGGGTCCCAGTAGCATAGACATGGATAAGGAGAGATTGACGGCTGAGATGGACTTTAAGGATTCGTCCTCGGCCGTCATCAAAATCCGGCGACAGTTGCCGGATTTCCTTCAGTCGGTGAAGCTGAAGTACGTGAAGTTGGGATACGGGTACTCATGCAACGCCGCCACCATTGTGATGGTGGCCATAGCGGTGCCTCTCTTGCTGTCTCTCATGGGTCTAAAGCTCCACCACCTCTCCCAACTCGATACCGAGACCCTCGCCGGTTCAGCGCTCCTCCTCTTCCTCCTGGCTCTGTACCGAGCAAAGAGATCCCCACCGGTTTACCTGGTGGACTTCGCCTGCTACAAGCCGGAGAAGGAGCGCAAAATCTCGGTGGACGGGTTCCTGAAGATGACAGAGGAGAGTGGAACCTTCGAGGAAGAGTCGCTTCAATTTCAGAGGCGGGTGTCAACGAAAGCGAGTTTGGAGGACAAAACGTACCTTCCAAGAGGAATCACTTCTCGGCCACCGAATCTCTGCATGGCGGAAGCACGTTTGGAGGCAGAGGCGGTGATGTTCGGAGCACTAAAACGGGAGTTGAACCGAAAGACAATGACATTCTAGTGGTGAATTGCAGCTTGTTCAACCCAACGCCGTCTCTCTGTGGGCGATGATTGTGAACCACTACAAGCTGAGGAGCAACATAAAGAGCTACAACCTTGGAGGAATGGGTTGCAGCTCAGGACTTATTTCCGTTCACCTTGCCAAAGACCTTCTGAAAGCGAACCCCAATTCCTACGCTGTGGTGGTGAGCACTGAGAACATAACCCTCAACTGGTACTTCTGAAACGACCGCTCCATGCTCCTCTGCAACTGCATTTTCCAAATGGGCGGGGCGGAGATACTCCTCTCCAACAAGGCCTCGGATCGGCCCGGTCCAAGTACGAGCTAGCCCACACCGTCCGAACCCACAAGGGGGGCGATGACAAGAACTACAACTGGGTGTACCAGAAAGAGGACGATAAGGGACAAATTGGGGTGTGTGTGGCGAGGGAGCTTATGGCGGTGGCCGGTGACGCCTTGAAGACAAACATAACAACGTTGGGTCCACTGGTCCTTCCCTTTTCGGAGCAGTTCATGTTCTTCCTTTCTCTTGTTCGCAGGAAGCTTCTTAAGCAGACATGGGTTAAGCCCTACATTCCGAACTTCAAACTAGCTTTTGATCATTTCTGCATCCACGCTGGGGGCAGAGCCGTTCTCGGCGAGTTGCAGAAGAATCTTCAACTCACTGAGTCGCACATGGAACCGTCTCGTATGTTATTCTAACATATTTTTAACATATTTACTAGTAAATATGCACGAGTTTATTTTATTTTTATTAAATTAATTTATTTTAAAATATAAAATATATAATAAAAAATTTATTATATTAAATATAATTACATTATGAAATATTTTTTTTTGTATATTCTATATATTTGTCATCTTCTTTAATAATAAAGATTTTTATTCTTTTTGCTAACTTTACTTTAGACAATGCAACATATAATTGACTATAACTAAATACAAGTTTTGACAAATGTAATTCAACATAATTTAATGATTGTCCTTGATTTTTGTTTATTGTCATTACATAATATACTTTTATTAGAAATTATTTTCTTCTTAAAATGAAAGACTACTTGGAGTCACTTGCTGTTAAAATTATCATCGGAATAAATATTTTAGCACTAATGTTGCTTTCTGTAATTATTTTTGTTTCAATTATCCACTCTCCTAAATGTATGATAAAGAGTCTTGTTCCATTGCACATTTCTAATGGGGAATTGATATTCCTAAGTAGCATAATTGACCTTCTTTCTTCGAGTTGCAAGCAATAGAGAGGAAATCCATTGAAATTTAAAGTATTTAAGAATTTTACGGGATACATAAGTTGCTCAGTTATTTTATCAATTGCTTTGTCAATCTCGTCAGAACTTTTGTAATATTTTATTGATCCTTCAACCATGTTTATGATATAATTATTAATATTATCAACAATGTTATTTAAAGGAGTAAGTATGACCCTCTCTTCAAGGTATTTTTCACCCTAGAAATTTGGATATGTGCTTTCAAAAATTTGCTTGAGTAAATCATCCATTGACTTGAGTAGATATTGGCTTGGAATTTTTATCCACACGAGAATGTCTTCTCCTTCTTTACTAATTGCTGGTATGTTTCCATCTCTAACTTGTATGAGCCATTTATTAAATTTATATGCTAAGAATTTTCTTGACTTGAAGAGTTGTTGAAAATTCTCATATAAATTTTGCAATGATCCTACAAATACAACTTATTAATGCATGCTTGAACTATGTCTTATCGTCGTCCTTTTGGTATTATGGGTAATATTTGTCTAAAATCTACTCCAAGAAATGTCATTTTTCCTCCAAATGACTTAGACGTGTTGTTAGGATATTTATAACCCACAATATCTTTGAGGGACCCATCGAAGAGCAGCAAAAGCCAATCTATTTATCATTGGTGTTTTATCCCAAACAATGAGATCTGTTTGAATTATTAATTGAGCATGCTGAGTATTTTGTTTGATTGAACATGTGCTCAAAAGATCTAATGGTATTATAAAATTATATATTTCAAATTTTTTTACATTAAATATTGAAAATAGAAAAAAAAATATTGATTAAATTGTACAAAAATACTTTTGAAAATATTTGATGAAATTCTCGAGTTATCTTTTAATTATAAATAAAAATGTATCTTTGTTTTTAACTTATATTTAACATTTAAATGGTAATTATTGTTTTATATTATATATTATCCAATTAAATTTTTAATGAAAAAATAAGTAAACTATAATATAGATAAAAAGATAACTTTTATTATATTAATTTTTTATTTTCTGACTTTTCATATATCACCAAGTAGTACTTCATCTCTACTTATATAAGTTATGTTTATACAACTTTTGAAAACTTCAGGTTCTTTCTATTGTCATCCTTTTTCTTTATATTTTACAATCATGTTATCTGTCAAGAATTACCTACCCACGTAAATACATGTATTTTTGAGTTTGATATTTTTTATTTTGTGTCGCTAAATTATGTTATATATTTCAATTTCATTTTTTAAGTAAGTATAAAGCTGTATTTTTTTTAAATGATATCATGTATTGAATTTTATTTTTAACTGATTAATTTGTATCAAATTTATCATTATTTTTCATGATTTGTAGGAGAACAACAAGTTGCAATGAAAATAAATGAACTTTTCTTAACGATCTGAATTCACCAACAGATGATTGTATCAAACCTATATCTCTAACTATCTCCAACTGTGGAAATACCAATTTTACCAAAAGAATGAGGAAATTAATGTATAGATTATAAATTTATAATATATTGTTTAAATTTTTTAGATCATATAGTAATTTATATTTGATATTTTTTTTTAGGTTGCAACTTAAGGAAGATAAAACAGAAAATTGTGAACAAAAGACAATAATGAAAAATTTAAAAGATTGAACTATTTTTATTGCAATATTGTATAAACATTTTAATATTATGTATAATTTAAAAAGTAAAATGTCATCAAATTTATAATATATTGTTCAAATTTCTTATATCATACAGTAATTTATATTTGATATTTTTTTTAAATCATAACTTAAGGAAGATGAAGTAGAAAATGATGAACAAAAGGTAACAATAGAAGATTTAGAAGATTGAACTATTTTTAATGTAATACTGTATAAATACTTTTAATATTATGTAGAATTTGAAAAGTAAAATATCATTAAACATTTAAGTCTTTTATAAAATAATTTTGTTATCTTACTTTATTATTTGTTGGTCTTTTTTAAGATGCAACATATTATTAGATCTATTATTATCTTAATAAATATTATCTTAATTTTATTAATTCTATTATTATTACATTAACAAATAATTATTTAAAATTATTTTATATTTTAAAATTAATTTACTTCTTTATTTTAATTAGAGAATAATTATAAAAATTTATTCATGCATGTATTAGTATTAATATTATAAACCGTGATAATATTTGCGTATTTATTTATTAATATAATTCAATTATACACCTATAGAGCTTATCATAACTAATTTTATAATTAATATTTTATCATACAAATTATAAATTAAAATTATGTTTACTTATTTATTAATAATTTTTTAAAAATTGTAGATGATAAATCAAATCAAATAATTAAATAATAACTTATGTATCTCGTAGAATTTTTGAATACTTTAAATTTTAATAGATTTACTTCCCATTGCTTGCAACTCAAAGAAATAATGCCAATTATGCCTACCTAAGAACATCAATCACATATTAACAATGTACAATAGAACAAGACTCTTTATAAAAGATAATCATTAAATTATGTTAGATTATATTTGTCAAAACCTATATTTAATTATGGTCAATTATATATTGTATTGTCTAAAATAATATCAATAAAAGAAATAAAAATACTTATTATTAAAAAAGATAACAAATATATAGAATATATAAAAAATATTATATATAAAATGTATTTTATAATTTTTTTAGTGTAATTATATTTAATATAATAATTTTTTTACTATATTTATAAATTTTTATATTTAAATTATATATTTTATATTTTAAAATAAATTAATTTAATAAAAATAAAATGCACGGATATAATATCTAGTATAGTATGCATATAGTTACCAAAAAATCCGAATTTAGTAATTGTTTTTGACAAATTAGAATAAATTTAGCATAAAAAAGAAAAATACTCAAAATTACATTACATTATGTTAACAGAGGAGTGTATGTGTTATATGTATAAAGTCAGTGTTGGAAAAATATCTTAGATATAATATAATGTTGTATTGTTTGAGTTGGCACTTAGCAAGATGCAATCCATTGGTGGAACCTTGTTATGATTTTTGCATTACATTGGAAAGGAAAAGAAGAATGCATGAAGAGAGGAGGGAAAAAGAATGCAAAAGTGATTCTTGCTGAAAATGGGTTTGAGGCTGACTAGTGCTTTACTATCCTCACTCCCAATAGCTTCACCCTCTTCCTCTTCCACTCTCAGTCTCAAATACAAATTCCCAGTTCGAATTCGCGTTCTCACTCTCAACTGCTTCGCTTCACTCGCAACCCCAAAGGTCCCTCATCACGATAACAACCACGACGACTTGTTTGACCCTCTTCCCTCACCCTACATCGATAAAGCCAACAACGCCATCGAGAGAATCGCTCTTCGCTTGCGCAATTTAGGGTTGGCTTCCCACCATCCCGACTCTGCCGGAGACGATGATTTCCTGCGCCGAGAATGGGTTCGCTCCGACGAGATGCTTTTGCCGTGGGACAAGGACGAGGAGAAGGAGAAGCAAGAGGAAAAGGAGCTGAAGAAGCAGAAGAAGAAGAAGAAGAAGAAGAAGAAGGAGGAGGTTAAGGTGCCGAGTTTGGCAGAAGAAACGCTTGAGGAGCAGGAGCTAACCCGATTGCGAACGCTCGGAATGCGTCTTAAGGAGAAGGTCACTGTTCCCAAAGCTGGCCTCACGCAAGCCGTGCTTCACAAGATTCACCATCACTGGAGAAGCAACGAGTTGGTCAGGCTCAAATTTCACGAGCTTCTGGCTCAGAATATGAAGTTAGCTCATCAACTGGTCGAGGTTTCTTTCTCTTACTTGAAAAAACTTCAGCTAGTGGTTCATGTTTTGGTCAATTTATTTCGCTGCACGAAGTACAATCGTATTCATAATTGTATTATAATTAATGGAATGTTGGTTTTGATAATGTTTATCACATTGTGTTGACTGTTGAAGGATTTATGAGGACTGAATTCTTGTAGCATTGTGCAGCGTAGAACGAGAGGGTTAGTTATATGGAGGTCAGGGAGTATTATGTGGGTGTACCGTGGTAGGGATTATCGAGGGCCGACACGACTGAATGAAAAGGAAGGTGATGATTGCCTTTCTGTGCCGGATGTCTCTGTGCATAGTAATGCAATGTCCTCGTCGCTGGAAGAGAGGGAGACTGGTGTGTGGAATCAAGAACAAGCTGAGGAGAGCATGACACCGGAGGAAGCAGAGTTCAATAGGATGCTTGATGGTTTTGGTCCCCGTTTTGTGGAGTGGTGGGGTACTGGAATTCTTCCTGTTGATGCTGATTTACTTCCCCCTACAGTTCCTGGTTACAAGACGCCTCTTAGGCTTCTTCCTGCCGGGGTGCGTCCACGATTAACTGACGATGAACTGACAAACATGCGGAGACATGCCAAATCTCTTCCTTGTCACTTTGCCTTGGGTAAAATTCATCTGCTACACTGTTTTGCTGAATTTATTTTTCTTTTCCTGATATAAATCTTGTGCTGATCTATTTTAAGGGAGAAATAGAAACCTTCAAGGTCTGGCATGTGCAATTCTTAGGCTTTGGGAGAAAAGCTTAGTTGCAAAGCTAGCTGTCAAGCGTGGTATCGTGAATACAAACAATGAACTAATGGCTCAGGAGCTTAAGGTTTGTGGTATAAAATTGAGCTTAAGCGTGGTATCGTGAAACGAAGTACATCCTATTATTGGAAATTGAGTGCACGTGAAGCTGAATGCATCACATTATGGGCAAAGTACTTTATGTTGAATTAAAAATGCATAATAGGCTGCAGAGCTGATAAAATAAAATAGGGTAATGAGATTATTAGAATTAATAGTGCAGTTAATATGTCAATGGCCCCCTTAAGTCTTCAATACAATTATGCTTTTATTTAATAATTGTATAATACTGATAGTCACCAACCAAGTTTATAATTTGTTATCTTTGAGGGAATTAGTTGGTTTTCCTTTACCATCAAGTTTATCAGCTAGCAAATACTTGAACAAGAGAGTAATGAAAAAGAATTGATGTTATCTTGAAGAACTGATATGTTTTCTCCAATTATGCTGAAAACATTGTTCACATGATAGAGTTTATCTATATTTATGTTATCATACAAATAAATATATTATATTGAAGATCCCAATCTGATTCCCTGCATTGGATCTACATAATTTGGGTAAAGCTAAATTTTATTTACATAGTCAAATATAGTGCATTCTTTTGTTGCTAACTCATGATATTCTAAAAGGAGAGAACAATGCAGTATTTTTTTTTTTCTTTTGAATATTAGAAAACTGGTTTGTTTGTTTCATGTGCAGAAATTAACAGGAGGTACCTTGCTGCTAAGGAGTAAATATTACATTGTAATATATCGTGGGAAGGATTTTGTTCCAACCAGTGTGGCTGCTGTTTTAGCTGAAAGACAGGAATTGACAAAACAGGTGCAGGATGCTGAGGAGAAGGTGCGGTGCAGAGCTGTTGATGTAACTGCATCAGGGGAGGATGAATCAACTGCACAAGCAGGATCGTTGGCTGAGTTCTATGATGCTCAGGCACGTTGGAGAAGGGATATATCTACTGAAGAACATGAGAGGATGATGAAAGAGGTTGCTGAAGCCAAGAATTTTAAGCTTGTTAAAAAAATTGAACGTAAACTAGCTGTTGTAAGTATCTAATTGTTTTATGAAAATTATATGCTTGAGAAAGTATAGTTGTGTTGGGTTGAGAGTATCTTGCTTGTTATGTGCACATAATTAGTCTGTAAATTAGTTTGTGGTTGTGTCTTGATAAGTGGAACTTTTGTATGGTCATAATGTTCTTTAGCACTCATTTTGATGCAAAATCTTAACTAGTCAGGGTTATATATTCATTGTAATATTTATTTAGGTTTCTAAAAAAATAGTGTATGATTTTTTAGGGCTATTTTTAGTAGATACAGCTTTGAAGGTGGTAGGAACTTCCAATAGTTTGATGCAGAAATAGTATATAATTACCCGTGATTCAGTGTATGAAGTTCTTTAACATCAAGGGCCTTTTGATAGAGAACTATGTCAAGACAATAGCCATTAAAAAAAACACAAACAAATAAGCATTGGTAGCATAGGGGGTTAGGCCCGAGTTTGGAATTCTGAATTCATGATAATGCAAATCCTTTCAAGTTTCAAACATTTTACATAATTGTTATTGAGGTACATGTTTGTATGCTTGCTGGTTTATAATGTTCAATTTGGACTTTTGATTTTGTCCGAATTTCAAAAGCCTGAATCAACTGGCTGTATCTTATTTCAACTCTATATGGTTATGCTGCACATGTTGGATAGAATGGAAGATCTTTAACTTATCTTTTGTGTTTATTAATTTTAATTTAATTTATTTGGATTTAAAAGTCATTTATGAACAGGCCCAGGACAAAAGGCTTAGAGCGGAAAAGCTATTAGCTAAAATAGAAGCATCCTTGGTTCCAGCTGGTCCTGATTACGATAAGGAAACAATCACAGATGAAGAACGTGTTATGTTCCATACTGTTGGTTTGAAAATGAAGGCATTCTTGCAACTCGGTGGGTAATAATCAGTTGTATGAAAGTTGCTATAATACAATGATGCAATACCAACAGCTGTTTGATAATCTGCAGGAGTACGTGGTGTTTTTGCTGGGGTTATTGAGAATATGCATTTGCATTGGAAACATCGAGAACTTGTTAAATTAATAACAAAACAAAAGACCCTTGCTTTTGTTAAAGACACAGCTAGGTTACTTGAATACGAGAGTGGTGGAATACTAATAGCAATAGATAAAGTTCCCAAAGGATTTTCTCTTATTTACTATCGTGGAAAGAATTACAGGCGACCCATGACTCTGAGGCCTAGAAATCTTCTAACAAAGGCAAAGGCATTGCAGCGTTCAATAGCCATGCAACGGCACGAGGTTCCAATTTTTTTATGTAAAATTACAAATTTATTTTACTCTTTGTATCTGTGATGTCACATTTGATTTTGTATAAGTTGTGCAGGCTCTGAGTCAGCATATAACTGAATTGGGGGAAAAAATAGAAGAAATGAAAAATGAATTTGTAAGTATTGACTTAGCATAATTTCTATTGTTGCATTTACCTAAAACAGATTAATTGGTACATACCCAATAAATTGAAGAGAGTGAGACAACTCTCCATCCATATATCTTGGGTTTTGCATTGTACTTTCTGGTTTACTTAATCTTTGATCAATCTTAGCAATTTAAACCTTTCTGTGTTCTGCGCTAAGACTGATTGACTAAGATTATGTCAACTTTTAGGTGCCATTTTCCTGAGCTTGTGCAATTTTTTTAAATATAGACATCTTATTTCACAGTCAGCAAAGCTCTAACCCTAGATTATGTCAACCACATGAAGTTCTTTTTTTCTTCTAAAACTGAAAGCAGTGTTGAACTCAATATTTAATTGGCCACATTTTTTATTAACATTTTAATTGATGCTCTCTTTGATGTGATATGCCTGGTCTCTATTTGTTAAAATATTCTTTAGTATGAGGATATGTTTATAAATACCGAATTATCCATTCATGTATTGACATCTGTGTATGCTTTTAGGCTTTTTAAGTAGTTAAAATGCAATGTGTTACTGGGTCTTCTATAAGTTCAACATGTGGGACTGATCTTTTGCTGAAAATCATCGACTATTTCCAAATAGTTTTTTTGAATGGTTGATATTTAATTTGTTATATGCTCAGTCTTCACCTTGAATTTTTCCTACTGCATTTAAATCTTTCTAGAATTTTAGTGTGTTCACGTGAATGTGATGGTTGTATCTACTGTTGACATACTAACAGGTCACCATCAGGTTTAAAGTCTGTATGACAAACTAATCTTAATTTAAATTATTCATAGGGTTTGTCTCAAGATTTAGGGCCTGAAGATAGGTGGAATATAGAGGACCACCACCAAATAGACCATATATCAGTATTCACTCAAGTAAGATACCCCTCGGCTCTCCTTGCTTTATTATGTACCCCTCGGCTCTCCTTGCTTTATTATGTAAAGCTTATCAAATAATTCCATGTACATTTCATTTAATATGAAATAACAGCACCTGTATATAATTTCTCCGCGTAATTGTAGTTCAAGTTCTTATAAAAATCCTAGATGCAAGCTTTGGGATCTTATATGGAAATATGCCTAAAATGGAGTATTGAGATTCTTTTGTTTCTTCAAGGGAGAGTATCGAGATTCTTTGTAACATCAAATTTATTATCATATAGAGTAAGGATCAGAAAGAAACTAAAATACAAATATAGTTTTTAATCACAGTGAAAATGAATTAACTTCTGGTTGTTGTTTTGCAGAGTGAGGATGAAGGCTGGGACGACGATGATAATAATGGTGATTTGGATGACAAAGAATACAGTGATTACATTGTTGAGGAGTCCGAGTTTTCAAACTGAGAAAAAGATGGGTTTTCTATGAAGACAGGTTGGCATGTTTGCAATGAAGTCCCTGACTGACATCTGTCATTTCACTGCAGCCATCTGGGTATCAACTTTGCTGTCCATCACTTCAATTTTCATATACTGCATTCTAAGAAAGATTGATCTTCTCGAATTTTCTTGATCAGACGAGGCATTATTTTCTTTTAAAGCCAACGTATTTCTTTTCGAAAAGCCAGTGCATTTATTTCTTGCTCGTTTTAATTAATAGCATCAAGTGTTTCATTTATCAGTAATTTTCCCTACATGTAGGGTTATCAAGAGGAAGATTTACAGCAGTTTGAATCGCATGAGTTGAAGATCTGGAGTCTCGTTCTGGAATTTGAGATGTGTCTACAAAATCCCTCGCGAATTCAGTTGAACTTCCACTGCTCTGAGATAGTATCGTTTAAGATGTTGGCTGAAGTTTGAGTAGTATGGATAAGCAATTCCCTACACAATTTTTTATTATATTCTAACGTTTGTAGATATTAGTTAAAATTTATTAAAAATTATAAAATTTGTTAGAAAGCGTGGTAGTAATTATTTGAAAATATTTGTTAGAAAGTGTGTTAGTATTTTTCTTTTGAAATAATACCTTTTTCTTTCCTTCAATGGCTTGGTCTGGAAAAAAAAAAACTATAAAAATTAATAAAACTTTTTTTTATAAATTGAAATTAAGTTATACTTTATTTTTTAGAAGATAATCTTATTTAATTTCTCTAAAACTTAAAAAAATAAATTATTTTTAGCTTATGAAAATAATTATTCATTATTTTTATTTTTTCTCTTTTAAAAATTTATCTATAAGTTCGCCCAAAAACACCTATATCTATGCTCAATCAGCTGTCTAGGACGTGACATTTGTACACCTGATCTTGTTTAGGGTTGTAAATTTTGATGGAACATTCTACGGTTTGTTGATTAAATACTAAATCTGATATCTAATATGTAAAAATATAAACTATCATAAATTTTATCATGTATGAACTAATATGATTGATAAGTAATTTATCTTTTAAGAACTAAGTGAAGACTTAAGAATTTACTATTATGAAAAAATAGTTGCCTGTAAAATGTACTGTTTGAGATAATTTATTAAAATACCTTTTTAGGAATTTTTATCAAATGGACACAAAAATCATATAAATAATGGAAAATATTAAGGAAACACTTATTTAATTGGACAAGAAAAATAAGTTAAAAAATGTGAATATATGAAAAAGTGAACGGAGAAAAGTAATTCAAATCAGTGAGATAAAAAAAAATAATCATGTAAATGAATTACTATATTCAAATGGCAAAATAAATGGTTAAAAAAATTAAACAACTACACAATCATTTAAATGGATAAAAATAATGTTAAAAATAAAGTAAATAAGCGAAAAAAAAAATTAGGCAAAAAGTTAGTGAAGATAAAATGCCTTTATACATAGACATCGGATAGAATTGTGTTGTAGAAATTAACGATAAAATATCGAATATGTGAAAATGGTACATAGTTTAGCAAATAAGACCACCAAATTTCAGGGGAATTATATGGTCTATAATTTGTTACATGAATTTTGTATCAGTTTCTACAAAACTTCGCAGACAATGAGTATGAATATATACACATGACACAGCAATCTCTGCAAAACTGGAAGGATTTAGACTGCCTAACTTTCATGGTGTATGGCGCGTATTGCATCATTGACGCAACATCTGTTGTAGCTGCAGCACTTGATTTCTTTGTTCTGGAGGCAAAAGATTTATCTGCTCTGGTGTGAGACTCATGACCTGCTGAAGCAGTGCCTTCTCCATCTCTGGTGTCAACTGCACACACACAAGAAAAGAACATCAACAGGCTGCAGAACTATTTTTTCTTTTTTCTTTTTTTGCTTCCAACTGCATAACTATTTATACAAACTAAATGATAACTCATAATTACCGCAGGAGGCCGAAGAGGCTGATTAGCAGCACCCATCTGACCAGGAATGACAGATGGTGGTCCAGAAAGATGTGGTAGGTTTTCTGAGGGACCAGGCATCCAAGAAGACCCTCTGTCTACTTGCATTGCATTTCCAGCTTGATTGCCAAAATCGGGCCCTAGAGGCATATTCCCAACCTAACAAGCACGCATCACTTTAGCATGTGAATAACCAAATAGCACAAAGCACAGATATTAGGTCACATAATCATGTAAACATGAGTTTAGGTCAAATGCTAGCCAACATGCTTGTCAACTAGCCAAACGGATTAAGTAACTCAATGGCGAATTCAAATGGTGCGCTGGTAAATTTGTCATGAATAAATTGTCAGTTTCGTACACAGAAGATTCACACAAGTGCAAGGAAAAAAAATATATCAAAAAATTTTAGGTGTTTCACTAAAGCATGGAAAAATATATTTTGTATAAAACATAATTTTTTTGTTGTTAAAGCTACTTTATAAACCAACATTGTCAGCAAGAGTGCCATTACTACTAGCAGTTAGCATAATGTTCTATTAATTCAGGGAAAAAATCCTATCCTGAAAACAGAAGACTTCACTTTACTGCAGACAAGTTAGGTTTAACTACCTAATGAGACAAGAAGCCATAAATTCTTAATGTTAACAAGAAAGCCTTACAAAGCCAGCAATGAAGGTGCCATAAAGCATAATTGTTTATATCATAATTCATGGTACCATCACAGTCTTTAAGTGTTAACCAGCAGTTGTAGCTCAGCATACCTGATAAGGTGACTGAGATGATTGTTGACTTGGAAGTGGTGCCTGTCCCTGTGGGAATGTGGATCCAACACTAGCAGGAGGTTTTGTACCTGGCTGAAAATTTCATCAACAACACAACATTCAACTCAAATGAATCATGCCATTAGATTATGAATAATCTGAAATATTCAACTTACGTGAAACATGGATTGTGGAAGATTGTGAGCACCAGCATGTTGAAAACCTAAGTTTGCACCCATCTGTGGGGGATACTGGGGATGGAAGGTTGGCCCTGAAGGTGGTCTGATCTGTGATGGTAGCAGTGGTTGCAGAGGCATATGTGGAAATCCAGGTGCCTGCAATGGTTGTTGTAACTGACTGGAAACAGTTGGCATTTGAGTTGGATGAAGGGGCTGGGAAGATGAATGAAGAGAAGGGGGAGGTATGTTTGGAAGTTGTGACGATTGTGGAAGAGACACTGGAGCCACTTGGGGAGTCAAATGTCCTTTAGGTTGTTGTGGCATTGGCAAAGAATGTGCAGCCATGGGCTGAGATTGGTGACTCATTGGAGGAACAGCAGTAGATGAAATTGGCACTGAAGGTTGGTTTTGGTGTTTCCTCAGAGGAATTTGGGTTTGAGATACACCAGCTTGATCCTGCACACCACTGTGCCCAGGCAATAATGGAGCAGACTGAATGTTTGGCTGTTGAGTTGGCTGTACTGACTGCTGACTGTTCTGTGAAGCCATTGGCTGAACTTTTGGAACCTAGAAGCAAAGAATTTTTAATATCCAAATTGCTACCACTGGAAGGCTGTGAAAATGATATAATATGAAGTAAAAAGCGTACCACTTGAGGTGATTGCACCATTCCAAGCATAATTTGTGCCTGATTAAACAAAACAAAATGAGAGAAAACTTCAAAGTTAAACAAATAACGAAGGGTAATGTAGCTGAAGCCCTTCAGAAATAAACTATGGTTACTAAAAAATAAAACTAAATTAAAATATACACTACTCTATTCATTAAGGAACTCAATATTAGAACATAATTAAAATGCTGAAAAAACTACAGTACACATATACAAACTATAGACAAATATCAAACCAATTGCTCCAATGGCAATCATAATTCATAAGTTTCCAAATACACATCCATGAAGCATCAGGGACCCCTAAAAAATCTCACTGTGACAAAGAAATAAATAAATATTTAAGAGTAGCAATCAGGAGGTCTGAACATAAAGCTAATCTTCATAACCTCAAACTCTGGCCAGTAAATTGTCAAGGGCACAGAGAGAAATGAACATTACTAGTTTGAAATGGTGCCCATGAGTCAATAACCACGAGTAAAGAGTGAAAACTGTTTCTATAAACCAAATAATAAGAAAGTTGAAATGAAATAACTATCCATGCATCATAGTACCCCTTAGGGTTTAATCTTATGTCAAAACATCCAGCATTAGGGAAAATAACTCCTCTAAATCCAATCACCAGAACATATCCATACGACTGTAACTATCAAATACGTGCATATGGTCGCCAATAATGCTTTTAACTGAAATTTAGAACATGCATAAGCGAAATTCGAAGCCTTTAGTCAAGAGCCAAAATCAGGAGAAAAGAAAAAAAAGATAGAAAATAAAAAACCCTAAGAACCTGGAAAAGCGCTTTGGTTAACATAGGGTTTTGGATGAGGATCTGCCTGGCCTGCTGCTGGTTCTGTTCTATCAGATTCTGAGGGAGAACAAAGACATCGTTAGCGTGTTCTTCGTCAAGACTTAAAAACATAATGTGACGTACCTTCATCTGGGACATGATATCGTAGAGCTGATTCTTCGACATTCCGGCCATGTTCGCCGACAACCCCTCGCCGCCGACCTGTTTTCCGGCCATTGTTCAGCCTAGAATGCCAGAAACTCAGTGCCGTTAGTTTTGTTATGAAATATAGAAAATTCAAGGAGAAATAGATTCAGCCACCCTGCTTCGGTTGGGCCTTATGGGCTTTCCATCATATGGATAGTTACTTTTCCAACCTCAACTGGGTTTCACTCAAGATGTGGGCCTTATTGGACCAAAAAAGAATATGGGCCTTTTTGGATCAAATAGAACAAAATTGAATATCTCTTTTACAAAAGAATAAATCTTTCCTTTAAAAAAACGTAAATTTTTTGACAAAATCAAAATCAATAACGTAAACTTCATTAACCAAAAAATTTCAGTGTTTCAGCAAGACATGAAAATGATTATTATTATTATTATTTATCTCTTTTCAGTCCACACACATGATTGATTTTTGATCGGCACTAAGAGAAAAGGGAAGAGAGAGTGTGAGAAAGAGACAAAAATGTAGAACCTACTTAATAAAATTTTAAGAGTTTCTTAAATTATAATAAATAAAAAGTTGCAAGTCTTTGTGAAATTTATATAAAAATAAAAAAAAGCACCTCAATAACATTGCATAATTGAAAATGCTTTAGGCTTCGTTTGGATCTGGTGAAATAGAAAAGGTTAAAATGGGAGTGGAGTGAAAGGGAGAAGTAATGGAAAATTTCAGTGGTTTGATTGAAGTGCAACGAAGAGGTAAATGCAAAATTTCAGTGGGACCTACATTTAAATATTGCCATGCTCTTGAGGCAGGAAATGAAGCTTTCACATGGCTGCAGTTTATTATTAACTGTTTAAAAAGTAAAAATATTATTTTATAAATAATTTTATATTAAGATAAAAATATACAACAAAAAGTTTAAATTTAAGTTAAATTTATTTTTAAAATTATTATAAAAAGTAATTTTTTATATTATTTATTTATTTTCATTCTTTTTTCACCTTTTCATTTTCTATATCCAAACAACACATTATTTCCACTTCATTTTCCTTCTATTTACTTTATTTCTATTTCAATCTTCTCTATTTCAGCTCTCATCTAAATAAAGCATTAATCTCTTACTTTGATAATTAAAAGGCATTTTCCACCATTGCGTAGTTTAAAATGTAAACTTGAGTTTCCTTCTTATGGTATTGGGTTTTTCAAGGTGTAACGTTCATGAATGACATTGTCCTAAATACTATGCATATTTATAGATAAATTATAGAACGTGTTTAGTTAGTACTTAATCGGGTTTCAAAAATGAAAATAAATTGACTAGTCTGACTAGTTAAACCCAAAATTAATCGGGTGATTAGTCCTAAAAGCCCTCTTAAAATTGCACGATTAGAGAATTAGTTAAGAAATAAGAAGTAAAGAACTGATATTGCACTCATCTTTGCTTTTCTCAATGTGTGAGACCACCGTAGAGTCACTATTCCTTTGCGAATGCCATTGGATAAGTTGCTTATTGAAGGAAGAATAGTCAACAAAATTTGTTGACAAAACTGCACAAGTCACTTGTTTCTTCATGCAAGAGTGAAAACTTTAAGTCCAAGATACAATAGAAAAGGATAGATATGCTAATTAAATTAAAACATAATATAATAAAATAAAGATAGCAAAATACCAAACTATATACGTTACATTATTGTGTCATCAGCAAAGAATATAAACCTCCATTCACTGTAACTTAGCCTAAGCATAACGACACGTGCAAAGTCTACGAGGGAGAGAGGGGTGACACTGTTGGGGAACGATTGTGCATGGTGGACGTGTGGCTGGGTGGCGGCGACTTAGGCGTCAACGGGCTTACACAAAGGATTTTCATTTTTAAATTAACAAATTTAATTAAAGTTTAATTTTTTAAAAAAATTTCTTTCACTTTTTAAATTGTTATCTAACTGAATAATTTTTTATTGTATTTCATTTTTATTTCTTTCTCTTTTTTTTTCCACTTTATTTCAGTTATTATCTAAACAAAGCATAATAGTCATCGGAATGAAATAAAAAAAAAAATGAAGGGTCATTTTCATAAGAATTAAGAATATCTAAAAACGTCTTTTAAATTTTGTATAAAATGTGAAAAGGTCATAATCTTTTAGCCGTATTTTTGGAAATATTTTTCACAATCCTTGAAACTTTTGCAGCACTCTAACGTGCATCTCACTTGACGTTACAATAAATCTTTTTATGTGAAAATGAATTATGTGATATAAAAGACTAGCATTTTTTTTTAGAAGAATATAGAAACCAGCATTGATGATCTCTTCCAGACTAAACACTGTAAATTAGAATGTTATGGTTCTTTTTATCTGTTGTGTAAATTCATAGGTTAACACGTACTCATGCATGCATGTATAAATGTATAATTTTAATGTGGTCTCTTCAGTATGGTGGTGATTTACATTCCTCACAAGATTTAGGCCTGTTGATTGTTTATTTCCTTTTCGAGTATTCTTAATGTTGCTTTAACGTAGCGCAGACCAAAAAAGAAAAAATGTTGCCTAACATAGACTGGCATATAAATTGTCTTTTTTTTTCCGGTGAGGGGAATAGAGATGCAACAGAACCCTTGAATGCATTGCAAGAATACATAACAATTTTTTTTCATGCCATTTTTCATCCAAGTCATGCAGGACCAACTGAAGAGATTTTCCTTACTAAGATTGATGAGGAAAGACTTTTACAGTAATCCACAAGTTCCCCATTTTGATCCCTCATTACAACAGTGACATCAACAGTTGAGTTTAGTTTTCTCTTGAAAAAGTAATAATGACATTTAAGAAAATGATTCCAAATTTCCAATCTACTTGGAAATGGCACCCTTTTTATCTATAGCAGTTGTAGTGTTTGGACTTAAATTTGGACATAATTCACAAGGATTACATGATTATATAACTTCACCAAGTGGAGTCCATATTGAATGGTTGCTCCTGCTGTGGCACACAATATTCTAAAGCTTTTGAAGAAGCAGCATTGAGATTTGAGGATAGGTCGGTTCCAAGGTTAGAAAATCCTTGAGGAACATATGTTGCAAAGTGATCAGGGGCTGCAGCTTCTCTTTGTTGGAAAGTACTCCTAAGTTGCAATGCCTTGAGAAGCAAAGAATTCACAGAAAGACTTGGATTCAGCAATCCAGAAGGCCACGGGAGAGATTGAACCTCAGTTGCAGCAGGCCAGTTCATGGCCAAGTTCATGTTTGTGTTAACATCATTGCCATTGTAAGTGTGTCCTGAAATGTTAGTGAAGCCACTTGATGCATTTGCTATGCTATTTAAATTTGGCATCTCAACATCACCAAATTCATTGATCATTGAAGTAGGTGACTCTTGAGATGGTTGGGAGGATGATGTTTGCTGTGGTTTTTTGGGTGCTGAGCACTTTTGGAAGACTCTACAAACGACCCATTCTTCCTGGAAAAATAAAGAAAAAAATATGACACATCAATAGTTATTTTTCAAAAATTCTGAATTATAAACGCTCTAGTAATATTAACACTCATTTAACACTTTTTATTCTTATTTTCTTTATCATCTTATCATATTACAACCAATCATATCTATCATATTTAATTCTATTCTCATCTCTCTCTAGCTGTATACACTCTTATATATCTTATAATATTTTTCCATATCTAATATCTTTATATATAATGTTTTTACACTTTCTTTCTCATCTTAACCTATCACTGTGCATCATAGCTGGATGAACTTGCGTGTGACAGTGAGTGCACTCGGGTAATACTTTTATAGAAAATGGGTGTGGGAAGAGAGTGATAGAATGAAAGGAAAAAAAATAATAGATGTAATAAAAAGAATAAATAGTAAATATAACAAATTGAATATGAAAACACAGACATTATTAATTTATTCATTTTGAAATACCACACGTATGAATAGTTAAGTACAAAATTATCAGCAGCATGCGTGCGTAATTTATATATGTTGGGTGTGAACATTTCTCTAGAATTATGTTGGTATATTTATTTAAAGATGCTATAAAAATTAGTTGTGTTAAATAATAAAAATTACTCTAAAAGAAGTTTAAAAACTAAAAATAACTTTTAAAAATTCAAACAAATATACCCAAAATCTCTGCAATTTAGGTTTTTACTCTACTGAGCAAACCATATCAAACAAATGCGATCCGTCAAGCAAATGATACACTTACTAGATTGAAATATATCTATTTTATATAATAATTAATTTTGAGTTTTTAATTATTTCTTAAAAATAAAATAACTTTGCATATATTCTTATTTTAACGAAGTTACCTATTTTAACGTTATTGGACACATGTTTTCTACGTTATTTTATAAAATAAAATCATTTTTAATTAACTATTAAATTAAAAATTATTTAATTGTTTTGTTTTTTTTTAATATTCTTCAATAAACCCGTGATATTTGAAAAACATTTTAAAATGATATTTTATATTTTATTTACTAAACTATTTTCTATGAATTTTCAAAATTAAATATTTTAAACAGCTATATCGTTTATATTTATGTTATTTTTTATCATCAATAAAACAATCTTCTATCGATTAAACCAAATTTCTTTAAAAATGTTTAAATTAATGGTTTTTGAGTTTTATAAAATGCCTGATTAGGCTTAGAATATATAAAAGGTCTGTCAATAGCTTAATATTTTTCATAAAGGGAAAAAAAATCCATGTAATAAGGAAACCTAATCAATACCACCTCTAACCAAGTAAGAAAGAATTTGGGAAGGAGTAATTAAGAACTACCTTCTATTTTGATATATGTAATACATATTCAAACAGCAACCAATTTCTCCTTATTTTTCCAAAAAAAGAAACGTTTATATGTAATGAGAAAATAAACTAGTAATTATAATAAGGACATTTTATATTTGTGGTGCATGCATACTAACCTTTGAAGATCTAAAGGGATGCTTGTTTTCTAGCCTATATTCGTGCATAACCCAGTTGCTTTTCTCTCCCCTCGGAGCTCTGCCCATATAAAAGACTAAGGTTTTCTTCATTCCTATCAAAACTCCACCGCCAAAAATTTCCTTGTCTTTTCCTGTGGTTTTCCAATACCCTGATTCGGTGGCTCGGTTTGTTCGAAGCCCAGTTGGATATTTCCGATCTTTCAAGCTGAAGAAATACCATTCCTTCTCCCCCATGGAAGCCTTACCTATTACCACACACATACACACACAACATTAATCCTAATTTAAAAGCTTATAGGCTAAATCATTCTAAATTTTAAGGTTTATTTCAAAAAATGTTATAAATCTTTTTGTCTCAGGTTAAACAAAAAAATTTCAGTAGGAAAAAAGAATTAATAAATCTTGAAATAATAATGGTTTTAATCCACTACTATTGTGTATCTATCTATTAACTGAGTCTTAAATTAAATTTTAGATATAATAAAATAGGATGAATTGAGACGATATTTTATAAATACATAATTATCTTAAATATATTTACTACATACATGTATATCATATGAATCAATTTGTCAACGGTTAGTGCTCAAGGCAGTACCAAAAATAATACCATGTGCTATACTGTGCTATATATATTGTATATGCATGGATTTCATCAAGATGTCTAGAGAACGTTCCGTTTGTGTGAAGTCATAAAAATCAACGTTGATTTCTGAATTCTGGTAACGCACACAGTAAAAGCATAAGTAGCTGAACTAAGCAGGTTTGTTCTTAAGTTATTTCCATACAATAAATAAACCTATCCTATATGGACTGATATTTTGTCTATAAAAATAAATAAAAATGATATATTTTTAATATAATATATATATATATATATATATTAATTTTATTAATTTGTTTTGTATGAGATTATTTATCCCATAAAATAATTTAAACAAACCTTTATATGTCTATGAAGATGAAGCAGAAACAAAGGTTTGTCAAATTTGTTTGATTAATGATTAACCTCAAAATCTTAATTAATTATGATAAATGCTGTCTGAATAATGTTAATGGCAATGAAGTTGATTATAATACGTCTGTTTATAAGCTTCTAATGAAACAGTGAAAAGTTTTAGACATAGAGGGATATATCAGCATAAAGCAATTGTTGTTGATTCTCTGTTTCTTTTTGCTTCAATTTATAGAATCTTGCTTTAGAAATTCATTCAACAAGTTGCAATAGTCATTCAAAAAATAATCAACTCATAAGGTTTTCACACAAAGAACACATAAGCCCTTGCAAATTAATAATCAATCCATAAAAATAAAATAAAACCAAAAAGATGAGTGCTTTTTAATTGAAAGAAAAAGAAAAAAAAGAACAGAAGAAACCAGGTGTATATATATGCATGATGAGGATCACAATTCACAAGAACTATAAAACTACCTGGGAGGTCCCAAGGTTCAGACTTATTGAGATCAACAACTGCTACAGCTTTGGATGTGAAGCCAGTATCGGACACTTTCCTTAATAAATAATATGTGATGAGTTCTTCGTCTGTGGGATGGAACCTGAATCCGGGAGGTAGGTTTTCTTCCATTCCTGAGAACCCAAATAACTGACTTTTAATTGATTCCTTGAAGAAGCTTTAGCTTATGCAAAAAGTGAAAAGGGGGCACCAGAAAGTACGGACAATGATACTCCAAAAGTTCATTTTAGATCACCAACACGAGGTCTTATATATGGCCTCTCCTGTACATTTTTGACAAGAGGCATCCATACATATTATTTTTAATAAATATTTACAGCTAACACTTTGACAAAGATGATGTGCCCAAGAAACAAGTAGATATTTTTTTTCTTTTGTGTATACTTGTTGATTAACTATCAAGCTTGGGTTGCATATATAGGTGGATTTCCAAAATAGTAACCTTGTTTTACGTATATTTACTAACCAAACCAAGAGTACATAGGACGATGAATGTGGCAATATTTTGCGTGTTATGTGTCATAATCAATAAATATAAGGATGGGAAAAAATGTATGTAAAATTTATTAGGAAGGCTAGTTGCAATTATTTGTGCACGAGGGGGTTGAGCCTCTGTTACACTCCGTCTATTCTATGATCCTGTCCAACCACCTTCACCCATTTCTACCCACCAAAACCTATGCCAACCTCACGCTACAGTCCAATGAGAACGTGTACTTAATTGGAACCGCATTCTCTTCCATTAATTCTTAATTATTGACAGTTCCCAACACCCACCGTTATTATCCCTTTTATTCTCTCATATTCTTATTATATACACAAATCCACATATATAATTATTCACAGTCGTCACTTAATCAAATTTTAATTTTATACAATTTTATTCAAAATTAAAATAATAAACATTTCATCATACTATTTTATTGTGTGTGCATACATGCCCATCTATTTATTGATTGAGTCAAAATGAAGAGAAAAAGAGATATTATATTCATACAACATAATTATACGCTTCTTTTAACATAAGAAAAAAAAAGTATGAGATAAAATAAGTCATATAATAAAGAAATTTTAAAAAATTATCGAAATTATTGAATAATTTTATTGTGTATGTACATGATATCATGCATGGTAGGGCACGATATATATAGTAATCTCCACTGAAAAAGAATAGAAAATTCGAGCGGAAGAGAGTGTAAAAAATGTTGACAGTGCAATGCAATATATATATATAGTGTTTACGTCGACAGATATTACAACGTACGAGTGGTTAAAATGGTCACCAACCCACAAGACTGTCGATGTCTATGGTAAGCGTCTCCGTTGGACCTTTTCCATCACATTTCACTGCTAATCCCAAATTTCAATCCTACCAAAAACTTTGCGAATCCCTCACATCTGCATCCTTATTATGAACATAAGGATTCTAGAAGCACACTATCAAATACACTTTGCCGGCGTTCTCTCTCTCTCTCTCTACCATGTAAGTGCCAACTCCATTATCAACACCTTTTTTTAATTTTATTTATTATTTAAATCATTAACAATTTTATTTTATCACTAGGAAAAGAACACCTAAACAGAAGAGAAGAAGGATTTTAATAGAAAAATTAGTTTATCATTATTAAATTGTTAAAATAAACAAATTTATTAAATTAAAAATTAGAGGTGAGCAATCACTCAACAACCAAAGAAAAACTTACAAATTTGATAATGAAAATCGAATGGGTATGGTTCGATCTTGGATAAGATAAATAAATAAAAAATGGTCACCAATGATTTTAATTAGGCCAATTAGATGAACAAAAGTATTTTGTTTGGCATTTAACATCGATCGTCACATGCAACTGAGTGTTTTTCTCATATTATTCTCATTTCATACAACTTATATTGGGATCGGTGTGAAGATTTGTTGTAAATGGTGCCATCACGTTTGCATAACAATGTGATCTAATTGCATGCAAGGGTAATGGGTAAGTGCATGTGAAATGTAGTTTACCAGAAAAAATAATTATAAAAAAAATAATTAGATAATATTCCATCTCAGTGTTTTTTTTTTTTTTTTCAATTAACACCGTCGAAATTCACCCAAAACACTCGTCACTTGGTTAACCTGTCACCTATAAAATTTGATGTGCCATGCGATCGAAATCAATTTTGTTTTAGGGTTTCTGGTTAGCTTCAATTCTGAACTTTTTGCCTTAAAACCAACCGTAACCGTCCATAGCTCACCCTATTCAAAATAATTCAATTGTAATGTCGTTTGTGGATTTATTTATTATGATATATTTAATTTTAATTTGTCATATGATATTAGAATTGGGGTTTTAAATTGCAATTATGATCGTGGTTGCATTATGTGCTTCGGTTTGATGCCAGAAGTCGCAATCATAATTTCATGTAAAGTCTAAACTTCAATGATTAAGTGAATGAAATTATTTATTTATTTTTTTTGTGGGGGGGGGGGGGGGGAGGAGTTAAAAAAAAGGAATATTTTAAAAAACTTCAGAATTTTTTTACATAAATTATCTTCCAGTTGAAAGTATTCATGTTATGATCAAGTTAGTTCTCTTATTTAATTATTTTATATACTTAACATTTTATTTTAAAAACATATATATTACTTAAACATATATTTTAAAAATTTTAAAGATCAAATTTTTTTTAGTATTACATGCATAATCACAAAAACTACTTTTAGTTATTTTTAGTAGTTGGTAAAAAGAGTAATAAATATAATAAATAATATGTGATAAAAAATATTAAATAAATAGTAATACTGTTTAGGTGTTTAAAATTTAAAATTATTATTTTACTACTCTATTCAAACTGGAATTAGATAGAGTTATTAAAGGTGACGAAATTATTCCCCCCTAAACTTTAATACAATTACATTTGTAAGACCAAATTTCAAGCTACTTTTTAAAATTGAATAGTCCCGATAAACTGATATATGCACTCGATGACAAAAGGTACATTTAAAATTTAATTATTAATTTCAATTCCTTAATTTTTTTTCTTTTAAATTAAACCTGGTCTGATCCAGCATTAATTAACACTTATTAAAATTATTAATATAATATATTACATCAGTCTTTACTTAAAAATATTAATATAAAATTTTAAAGTTTATATTAATAAATAATACATTATATTATTTAATATATTGAAAATTTTATTTAAAAAAATTTATTTATCAGTATAGTATATTATATAATTAAAATAAACTCAATGTTTATATTAACAGTTTATTTTTTTGTTAAAAAAGAATATTAATAATGTCCAATTTAATATTGATAATCAGGAAACTGTTTGTAAATAGTTTTTTTTTAGGGTGGAAGTGTATCTTTTGATTTGTGACCTGGATGTCCAGAAAAGCCTTGTTGAGTCCTGACTAATTTTGGTCAAAGGGGATAAAGCCATTTTAAAAAAAAATGTATTTATTGATAAAGGGATGGAAGTGTTTAAATAGCCACACATAAAATGCAGTTATGTTTTGTTAGATAATTGAAATGATCCACTAAACCATTTAAATATTGAGCCAAAAATGTTTCTAATAACTTTTACATACCGAGAAAGAATATAGGTAAACAAAGAGTTGATCTAAGGTCCTTAATTAGAACCAACAACAAATTAATTAATCTTTAATATGTGTTTATTGTGTGAGAAATTTACACAATCAAAATAAATGCAAAACGTTTACAAATTATAGAATAGTTTCTTTCATGTCCTCAGCATGTTGAATTTTGTATGTAACCTGCTGATCATAATTTCTGATTAGCTCCATGCACTGCTGATTTTCTAAGGGATTGGCTTAATGGCTTGTATTTGCCTTTGCGTGTTGATATACAAATATTAAACTGTCACGGGCCAAGGAAGACCTTTGTTTAATACGATGGACGTAACTTCCACAACGAAGCCCAACTTAGAGTACCTCAGTTGTTCTGGTACTGGAGTTTAGGTTACAATAATTCATCAAGATACTGTTGTATTTGACTTTCCTTAACTTATTTTAAAGTTAGTGTTAAAAATAATAATTTAAACATTAAGTTAGACTGTATGAATTTTTATAATTTTAAAAATTTTATTTTTTTTAGACTATATGTATCTTTTAATAAAAATAATCATGTTAAAATTATTTTTTCAAATATTTAATATATCTGCATTTTCTTAAATTTGAACTTGAGATCAAAATTTAAGCTAAAATAGTTTATATCAGTTGATGCATATATTTAATAGTAATTTAAAAAAATTCTAAATTAAATTATTTTGATAGTCTATTTTTACATCTTGAAATTAAAAAAAAATAAAAGTTAATTACTCCAAAAGTAAGGTTTTTTTTAACTATTATTTAAATTTCCTTCATTAAAAAGACAACTTTTGTTATGGTAAGAAAAATTTTGGACCCTTTTATTCGAGTCTAAACTCTTTTATTTTATTTTATTTATTTAGAAAATTTGTCTTAAAAATAATAATTTAAACATTAAAGTTAAGACTGGATGAATTTTTATAATTTTTTAATTTAAAATTTTTTTTAACACATATGTATCTCTTAGTAGAAGTAATCATGTTTAAGCTGAATAATTATTATAAGTGATAAAAAAAATTAGTATTTAGTATAATTGTTTTTTCTTGAATAAAAAATAAATAAAAGTTAAAAAAATTCAAAAATAATTTTTTTTTAAATTCTATTATTTAAATTTCTTTCATTAAAAGACTTATATTTATCTCACTTTAAGAAGAGAGGTGAAGATTCAAAACCAACTCCTTTATTTTATTTTGTTAAAAGCTTTTAATTTAATTATAACTTTTAGTTTTAAAATTTTTGTTTGATTTAATTTCTCTTTTTTAAGGAAAAAATTTCAAAATAAGTTGTGCCAAACACTATCTTAAAAATTTAATATAATTTCTTCATTATTAGATCATATATTTCCTTTGTGATAAATAATCTTACTTGAATTGTAAAAATTTATAACAGAGTTAGACTAGCTCTTTAAGGGTGACTTCTTTTTCATATATATCATCCTCACTGTCCTTTCTTTTTTCGGAAATGTTTAAACACACAATCTTCTCTATCGTATTCTTTTTATTTTTACATAATATAAAACTGTAATATAAATCTATTTATTTTTTATTTAATGAAATTAATTAAAAAGACTAATAAAATTAAAATTTATTATCCTAATTTTTAAAATAAACATTTATTTGAAATGAACTAAAGTATAAAAAGTAATAATTTGAAAATAAATAGTTGCTAAATTTCAAACTTTGTAAAATAACTGAATGAGTTATTTTAAGTTAATTTAGATATTGATTTATTGAATAACTAATTTTATTAAGTATTTTTAATTCAATTCATATTAGATTTTTGGTTTTAATTAGCTTTGAAACTTTAATTAATTTTTTATTCTTAACTAATTCACTAATTTTTTTCAAACACATTTTATACATTGAATGGTGTATGCGATATGTTTACAGTGTTTACCCAAAAACTTTTAAAACTAATCATTCTATGTTTTTCGTAATTTTGTTATAAATTGATTATTCTAAATTTGAATCCATGAAATGTAATTAAATATTAACAGCAGCCGTTTTCTTAAACTCAAACAATTTGTAGTTTCCATGTTGTGCACAATCTTCCCCTCACAAGCATGGAATATGGTTTTCAAGCACTTCAACCCAAAATAACAATAGGTTCCAATTTTCACTGCAAAAGGAGAAAAATAATCATTTGTCACTTCATGACATTTTATGTTGTATCAAGATAAATGCACAACAAACAATACATTAAAAAACAATCAAAATGTATTATCACTAAAAGCATATAATAATTTTAAAATTGAATACTTAAACTAATAGATAACAATCAAATTTAGATCTAACATATCCCTTGATTCAAAAGTCTTTCCGTTTATCTAAAAAAATTAATCTGTTAAATGAAATTTTAATTTCTTTTATACATAACAATACCACATATTTATCATTGCGCATTTAAATACTTACTTAATTGTAACTTTATTTTTTAAATGAATAAACTGCGTTCGAATTTTGCTAAAAATTTAAGGTTCAAATAGAAAAAATATCAATACAAAATATAATGATTTATACACAAAAACTATTAATGGTGTCAACATAACAGCGATCATAATCGGAACTCCCAATTCTTAAATTATATTAATGGTTCATTATTAGAATTGAATTCCTCCCCTGGTGAATGAGGTGGATTGATTTGAACAGCATGGTAATGCATGACAGATTTTCTCAAATACCTAATTGACAATTCTTTCCATTTGGATGTAAACATCAGTGCACACCAATAATTAAGTTGGGTAAACAATAGTAATAATATTGATAATAATAATAATAATAATATAATATATCACTTTTTCTTTGTGTACAACATATGTGCTGCCATCTGCAATCTTAGTAACCACGTTAAAGACAAGGATCAATAAAGAGGATTGCCACAAGAATTCGCAATTGACACAGCCAACACCATCTTTTCAAAATGACTCTTTATTCCATCAGTGGGTAAGGAATACATTCAAGCCCACAAAAATAAAAATAAAAACTATTGTTTCCTGTTTTGGCGTCAGAAGAATCAGAACTGGAAGCAATTAAAACTTTATATTATACATTTATCCTAAGTGAAGCGCATTATCTATTCAATTAAACAATATATGAACTCGACTTCTCCTCCAAGAATGTCATGCAATTCTTTTATAAAGTTAAGTTATATTTGTCTGCCTATGCGTGTGGCTTGGTTTTGGTTTCTTTTTTACTTTTTGTTCATATAGGAAAAAGGGAACCCTGTTAGACTAAGATTTTCTGCGTTAAATACACTCCACGAAACAAGACTTGTGCACTTTTATTCCTGAAAGTAGATTAGAAATGATTCCCCGTCTTTGATTTTATTTTTCGTTTTTTTTTTTCAGATTAATACGAAAAAACTATTATCCTGTCAACTGCATAAATTACAACATCGATTATTACATACTCTTTTAGACACAATTTATAAGTACACTCTTAAATATACTTTTAAAGTATTTATGTCAAATTGATTTTTATTTTTTTTAGAATTACTTTGATCTTCTACGAAATTAATCAATTATAAAAATTGTATTAAAGAGTGCTAACTTTCCCAGAATGTTATCTGTTATTGGAAACTATAAAAATATAAGTGAAAGTCATTAAATTAAAAATGACATGCATATAATAGTTTTTATAGTTAAAAATAGTATGTTTGGAAATTATATACGAGAAAGATATTATATATATAAATATAAAATAACGAAATATTTATAGAGATATCCCATAAAACTGGAAGTTAAATTCTGAATTAAAGAAAATAATTGTTAGCTATCGGGGGAGTGTCCTAATTCTCTAATAAAAATAAATCTAGAAGGCTCATAGATCTTACTGTAAGAGAGAAGCGACGATTGTGGAATCTTGTGAACATTGTAGACTTGATGACAGGTTTGTCCTTGGTGCTTAGGGCTTATAAACCAGTAGGTGATGTTAGAGATGTTGACAGTTTAGACAATGCTATTGTTGACCAAGAAGGATAGATATTACGAAAGCAACTGAAGCCCACCTTTTTAATGAGTTGCTTTGCTTAGTGGTGGAGTCCTCTGAAGCTCACTTTGGAGCAACCACAAAGAAAATGCTATGTCCCAAAGAAGAAGCACTTGCTACACTCTTCCACAATGTCTCAAGCTCTTTCCAACTTCTCTTCCTCCTCCTCTTTTCCTCAGCCATTTTTCTTGTCACATTCTTAACCTTCACTGGCAGATACCCTTTGATCCAAAGGTCTTGTCTCATTCTCTTGTTTCTTTATTTCTTCACTGCCACATTGGTTGTCCCTGGCATTTAACTTGCAAGTTTCTCTTTGTATGCAGCAGTGATCCACAATATGAATATGCTTTCACTGAGGATGATGATGAAGAAGAAGAAGAAGAATCTCAAGAAGGGTATTCCTGTGTTGATTGTACTGAGAGAGCGGGTGACAGGGAAGCCCTTGTGTTTCTTCACAATGAGGACCCTCGGAGGAGTCTTTCTTATTCTGAAGAATTCATAAGCCCAGAAGAGAGCTTCATTGAAGAGTCAGAACAAAGCCATTATTCCGAAACATTATCTGTTCACAGCACTCCACGAGTTTCTGACTTCGAAAATGAAGAGGCAGAAACTGTTCAACAAGACTTTCAAGCAAGAGATGCTGATTTTGTTCCAAATTCTCTCCCAGTTGAAAGCATGACCACCTCTCCCTTCAACCTGAACCCATATAAAAGTAAAAATTATTGTGATGGTATTTCACATCATATATATTGCTAATATAGTACATCATTCTACAGTAATTTTTATTATTTGTAGAATCTAGTAGTATGAATGCATTGAATTGTATTAAATTACGTAATTTAATTATGTGAAATATTGTACACGTTGGAAAAATTAATATAATAGTTAGTTGAGTTATTCATATGCACCACTACTAGTTGAAGTGTGTGACATTACTTTCTGCAGATGATCATGTTAGTGTTGAAATTATTAAAAATAAGAAGGTGCAAGAGCCAAACCTCGCAAGGGATGAGAGATTCTTTGTTTTTGCTTCTACCCAGTTGAAGAGTAAGAAATTGGTTGTTGAAGAGAAGGATGAAGAAGACTCAAAGAGCTCCACAGGATGGAGGAGCTCCATCAATTGCAGGGATTCTGAGACTGAAGATGCATTTTCTTCCTCATCTAGAAGAAGTTGCCCCAAGTGGGAATCATATACATTGTTCCAAAAGTATGATGAAGAAATGGCAATCTTAGACAGAATTAGTGCACAGAAACTTCATGAAACTGGTAACCACCCTTCTCTAATTCTTAGTGCATTATTACAAGCATGTGATTGGTTTAGCTTATTTTAAAGAAATAATCACTAATTTTCACCAGTTTCTGAGATACCTTTTGAAAAATAAGCGATTATTTTAAAAATAATCTTCCAAACATGCACAAAATTATTGTGACATATATTTTGTTACATATTAGCAACCCAATTTTCAGAGTCTTTAAGGTCGATCCAAGTATCTCCAAGATCAATGTCAGAGCGTGTAGCATGCAGGTTTCAAAGTGTAAATAAAAAGGCTGCTGATGTTGGACACAACCCATATCGTGAACTAGAGGCTGCATATGTTGCACAAATTTGCTTGACATGGGAAGCCCTTAGTTGGAACTACAAAAATTTTCGTTCCAAACATGCTCCACGCCATGATCATGATACCGGTTGCCCCGCCACCATTGCACAGCAATTCCAGCAATTTCAGGTTTTGTTGCAGAGATACATAGAGAATGAGCCTTATGAACATGGCAGGAGACCTGAGATCTTTGCTAGAATGCGGCTTTTGGCACCAAAACTGCTCCTAGTGCCAGAATATCAAGGTATGAAATTTACTCTTTCTCCTCTATTATAAGGCTAATTTGTTTGTAAACTTAATTTTGATAAAATTAATTTTCAACCATCCGTCAAATATAATTAAGATATATGTTAATATTTATCTTCACCATAATTTTTTATATTGTAAACTAAACAGATAAGTAGATTTCATGTCACATGTATAACGTTATGGGTCTAGTTAACAAGTGCTTTGGGTATTGTTAAAAAATTCGAAGTGAAAAGTTATTATTAAAAAGTATATTGGATTGCATTAAAAATAATGAAAAAATATATATTTATTATATTTTTTGATAAAAAAAATTATTTTTAATTTCTTAATGAGGCATTGATTAACATTTGTCTAGAGCCATACTTAAACCCAAATAATAACCCAACAATAAATCATGGTTCATGGACTCGGGAGTGCATGGTCTATAATCAGTGCTGTTGGTAAAACAGAACAAGACTTTTAAAAGCAACTCTATTTGTACACCATTATTTAGTGTAAATCTTACTCTTCTACGAGTTTTATATGGTGATTGATTCAATGTAATACTGCTGGAACCAAATCACATGTTCATGTCCCTATCTTCCAAATAAAAAAAAAATATTTAACTAAAAAAAAAACCAATTGAGAAAGTATTATTTTTTAAACATGTATAATTTTTTAATTGGAAAACAAGAAGAGGGACAAGTAATTTTAGTTCAGGGTGGTGTGTGAAAATAAATAATATATATGTTGGAAAATGTATTATTGCAGTGTGAAAAGAACATCCATAATTTTTCTTGTTTGTTTAAAAGATTTAGAGGAGGATCAAAAGGATGGTGGCTTTCAATGCAAAATATCATCAACTTCATTTCTAAAGATAATGGAGGATGGCATTAGAACATTCATGAATTTTCTTAAGACAGACAAAGAAAAACCCTGCCAGATCCTAGCAGCCTACATTAGGAGAAACCTAAGAGGCACAGTTGATCCAACACTACTTCGACTAATGAAGAAAGTTAATCAAAAGGCAAGCTCCAAATTTTAAATATCATTTATTTTTAATTAACTTTCTTAACACATGTTTGTGTCTCCACCTAATCTACAGAAGAGGGTAAAGGTTAAGGGCCTTCACCATTCAGGCAAAAGCTTGAGGAAGAGAAAGTTAAAAGTGGAAGAAGAGATGGATACTTTGATGGCTCTCATAGACCTAAAAGTGGTGTCAAGGGTTTTAAGAATGAATGAGTTAAGTGAAGAACAGTTGCACTGGTGTGAGGAGAAGATGAGCAAAGTGAGAATCATGGAAGGAAAACTTCAAAGAGATTATTCCACTCCACTTTTCTTCCCCTCACATTGACCCACCAAATGGTATTATTTGGTGACCTTGATGATGAATATGCACTTAACTGCACAAAAGGAGCAGGCATATCATAACCCTCTTCTGTAATGTAAAATTAAACAAAATGGAGCGACCCTACAAATCAAAGTAGCAAACATGTAGAAATATCGATTGTGGAGCTTAAAATTCATGGAAAAGATGGACAAGGATGAGTGTTCATGTTGTTGATGCATTTTGAAGGTGAAAGACCAGAGCCAAAGCAAGTATCTAGCTTTGATTTGAGCCGAAACAAAAGAAGAATGAGTAAGGCTGCCACACACATCAATTGAATAAAACAATAGTCTTAGGGGGGAAATAGAACAAATAATATAATATAGGTAACAGAGGCAGGCTTAGCATTTTTTCTTGTATATGCTGAAAGAACAGTAAAACACTTGTAAAGTTACATTTACATCAACATATAGGTACTTTATAAGAAAATAACAATAATTTCTTTTAAAATAATACATTAAGAATTGTCTATTGACATCTACAGGCTATAACTAACTCCAAAATATAATAAATTATATCTCATGTGGGAAACTTTGCTCGTATAAATCACTTGGTGTTTTCATTTTTTTTCTCTCACTCCTTTGTAAAAACAAATTATTTATAAATCTAGAGTTTTTGTGATCCAAGATATTATTATCAATAACTACTTCTATTTATTAAGTATAAATCTCCCATGATTTTGATACTGATCCCTAGTAGTGTGGAGTAAAATAATAGTTGCTAAGAGCTCAATTCGTACCACAACATGAAGATACTTTAAAACGAACAAATAAAGGAGTGCCCCACTTGTCCATTGACATTATTCCAAAGCAAAAACTAATAAAATTTGACTGAATGAATGAACTGAGTTTTGTGTTACAAATGAATTTTATTCAATTCATTATGTTGTGATTGTTGTCCACTGGTCCGATCTGGATGTACTCAAAATGTTCCCAAACCAATAAGCACTTATGAGACAAAGTAAATTCCATGCTCATGATTGTATGGAAAAATATATATTCTTTTCTTTTTAAAGATACCTTTAACCATATCTCAAATCTAATAAAATTAGTTTCTATATAAAAATATTATGCATATTCAGTTCATGTACTGAGCAATATAGTTGGTTTGATGAATATTTAATGATCCAAATTTAAAAATAAGTTAAGATAGTTATTATTTTATTTGGTGCATAATTCTATTATTCACAGAACCAATCATAATTTTTCATACATGTTCCATCATATATAGCATGTAAAAGATACACATTAACTTTCACATTTTGATTTCAATCAGAAAATTACAAGCCCTCATTTTTTTTTCCCTCAAGTATGTAACATACATGTTTCTTTGTTGTTATTGATCTTCACATTATTATTATTATTATTATTATTATTATTATTATTATTATTATTATTATTATTATTATTATTATTATTATCTAGCGTATTTGTTTCAAGGCATCTCAGAAAGAGCCCACATGAGATACTGAAGCTGGTCCAAGCTGCCCCTTGTTCCCCACGCCCACCGATAATATACATTTATTTTTGAAGGCTTTGAGAGCATCTCTTTATCGAAGATGCTTTTAGCCTTGCGACATATCTACATAGAATTGATCCACCAAAAGATAAGGCTACATGGTTACATTTTTTTAAAAATAAAAGGAAGAAAAATGTTGAGATCCAAGAGTGCTTGAAGACATGTATTTCTTTATTTTCTAAAGTTGAACAACGATTTAAGAATTTAGATTCAAATCTTGATTAATACTTATGTGATGCTGTGCTGTTGTTATGGACATATATAATCATACCCATCCCCTTTAAAATATTAAGATTTAGTACTATAAAATATAATTAATAGAAGAAATCAAAATTTTATATAATTAATTAATTTTTTAAAGTCACAAATATCTTTGACTAGAAGTAATTATTAAGACTCGAACTTAAAATTACTATCTAAATCGAAACAATTATTATCAATTAATCTACACATTCGATGATATAATTAATTAAATTTTAAATATCTTGAATCAAACAATTAATTATAGTATTTATAGAGATTGACTCTCTAGTTTATATTTAATTTATAAATAATTGTATAGTTTATTTAATTAAGATTTTGAAATATTTTATAAATATATAATTTTAATTTAATTTTTAATGAAATTGGTGAGCTTACCTAAAATTAAACTGGGGAGAGAGCTTGTGTTGGATTAAGCAAATATCATTAACTCACATATTATAGTTAATAATGTGTTTCTCTTTTTATTTAAACTCTTCACTAATATATATCAGTGAAAATTGAAATAAAACTGCCTCAACCCATTTTATGAACATATTTACTTTAATCATTAAAACTTCATTTAATTCAAATTAATATAATATTTGTTTTTGAAAAGTTCATGTTCGAATCTTATAGCCATTATGAAGGATAATGCTCTAAGGGTATACTTACTTATGTCTCAAAAGGAAAAAAGAAATAGATAAAGTTATCAGTGTATGAAAAAGGTTATTAACGAGATAAAGCTATCCCAGTCTTGTGAGATTAGATCATTTAATATGACTTTACTAAAGATTAAAGAAGATTACAATAGAAAATTGCCTTAAGTGAGAGGTTACTTCTAGGATGAGAATATTATTAGTGAAGTAGAATTGCCTCTCTTTTTTTTTTTCTCAATGTTTTCAAATTGTTAAATTCCAATTTTACTTATTTACATTTTAATTGAAAGCGAATCACTATTATATATTTACATGTATTTTTCAAGAATTTTTATGTATTCGTGATGTGATTGTTTTGTCATCGTATGACCAATCCCCACCCTCACCCTTTTTGCATTATTTGTTGTTTGTCTTTGTGAAATTATTATATCAACCCCACACAGATGTAAAGAAATAAATGTAGCTCTTCTTTTTTTGGGGGGGATGGCGTGTGTGGATTTGTATAGAATTTGGATGTTTCTTTGACTTTCTCCATGTTCTGAAACATTAATAATCTATGTTAATTTGATATCTTATATACCAAAAGATTAAAATCTAAATTGCAGTTTTGTAATTCAAATATTAAGATACTAGTACATTGTTTTTAAATACCAACAAATGATAACCATTTTATATTTCAGGCAAATGTTGATTTATTTTAAAAAATGAAATATGTGATGAAAAAAATTAAAAGTGAATAGTAATTAAAGTTAAAATTTAAAGAAATAATTTACTACAACAAGAAATTTTTTTAAAAATAAAGGTAGACCATGGTCAGCACAATAAAAATATCCTCTTATTTAAAAATGAAACTTAAACCTACGATATAATTATTGAATTAATGGAAGGAATGTGGACCACATAGAAGAAAGTACAATAAGTTTTTCATTAATTTTTGGTTAATAAATGAAAAAATTAAGAAAGGAACCGAAAAAATAAATGCACCTCAGTTAATATTATTTATAATTTAAAAAATTGTCTTTATAGTTTATTTAAGACAAGTTAATAGTGGGCTCTAGTTAATAAATTAAACTTTAAATATTACTTCTGTGTTTGGAGAAAAATAAAATTAGTTAAAGAGTATCACCACAAATATTTTTTTAGCACACTTTTTAAATATATTTTTAATTATTAACTCAAATTTATTAAAAAAAATATACAAATAAAAGTAAAATAATTAAATTAAAAATGTTACTCATATCATTTTTATAATTTTTAATAAATTCTAATCAATAATAAAAAATATTTTAAAAAGCATGCTAGTAAATATGTTGATAGTATTTTTAAAATTTATTTATTAATATAAAAAATTGAGATAATATTAATCATTGTGTTTTTACTGATACTTTTTTATTTACATAAAAAATGAAATATAATATAATTTAATTTAATTTTTAGAACTGAGTTTAAGTGTTTTAAAAGTAACAAAATTTTATTAGAAATATAGTTATTATGTTAAAAATGTAATATAATAATTTTTTCTAATACCTAAACTCAATTATTGTGGCTGAAGTTAAAATATTAAATATAATAAAAACTTGATTGGTTTAGTCTTCAATGCTAAATTTAATATTAAAAAATAATAAATATTTTATTAAATTCATCATTTATTATGCTTTTATTTTTTAATTTTATTAATATGCTCTTATTAATGAAATATTATTATTTTTAGAGGGCATTTGGTAACTTCTTTTTTTTAAGTTTTTCACGAACCTTAAGTTTAAAACATTGAATTTTTATGTTTGATATAAATATTTTAAATTTTTTAATAAATTAATATTTTAAAAAATTATGAAAGAAGTAATTTTATGAAATTAAAAAGTTTTTTTAATATAAAATTATAATTACACCCGTTATTACTCTCAAATCTAAATCTAGTTTATATTATTTGTTTAAAATTATTATTACTATATATATAATTGTATATTTTTGTATTTTATATATACATTTTCATATTGTAATCATTTTTTATATTATTTTAAATTTTAAATAAGCATAAATTCAGTTAATAGTGTAAATAGAATTTATTAATTATTACAGAGAGTAAACAAATTGTTTTAAAAGAAGTATTAATACTTTTAAAGATATAATATTTAAAACAAATAAAATGTTAAAACATTCTAAAAAATATATATAACATTCTCAATATATTTACAATATATCAAATATATTTTTAATATTTATAAAAAAACTTAATTTTCAAGAAACAAAATTCTCATAAACTAAAAAAGAAATTATACACAAAATGTTCCTTTAGATTTTTAATACACTCTTAAGGGTTAAATTTTTTAAAATATATATATATATATATATAATAAATGTAACACTCATATTAAATGAGTATTTTAAAAGTTTAAAAGAGAGTTATTAATGAAAGGTAAATTAAAATTTGACTAAATAATTTAAATATAGTTATTAAATATCTTGATTTGTCCATTTTTCTTTAAATAAATAGTGTTATTAATGATATCAAAAAATATATATTTTTAATATTTTAATCATGTTTTTAAAATACTGGTGTTAAAAATCTTCATGTAAAAAAGTCAACATTAAAGTTATCGTTGACTAAGTAAAAAAACCGTCAAAAGACAATAAAAATAAAACTTGAATTTCAATGGAAAAAAAAAAGTTAAAATTGGAGGTACATTTTCGTCCTTAAAAACAGGGCACGGCTGTGTTTTATTAGGCACAATAAATAGAAGCACGTTATGAACTGCGCAAGTGGAAGTGCAACACAAGACAAAGAGAAGACACGTCACACGTCAAGAGACAGAGAAGCAGCATCACCACGTGTGGTTCACATCGCCTCAGTATCTTGCGTCACAACTCATAAACAGACACGACACAGTGCCACATCTCAATCATCAATCCAATGTTCCACAACTGCGGTCTTACATCACTTTCCATGCACTTCCCTCTACTCGATCATCTTCTTCGTCATTTCTCTCTCTGTCTCTGTCTATGAATACCCACCCAACACCTCTTCTCTCTCTCTCTCTCTCTCTCTCTCTCTCTCTCTCTCCTGCACCCCCTTCTTCTTCCTCCCTGTCTCAGAGGAACCTCTGACTCTGTGGCAGCTCAGGTATTCCTTGTTTCTTTTCTCTTTATAGTCAAGCATACCCCTTTGTGTCTTTGGCTCATGACACTTTCAAACTTAGCTTCGGCCCTTTAAAATTACTTGTGTGTGTGTGTAAAGTCTCTATCTTTTTAAAGGTTTGAGGAGGTGGGTGTTTTGCATGTTTTCGCTTTCAATCAAGTCTTACACCTTTTTTGTGGGTTTCTTCCAGTAATGGGAAATTTTCTGAAAACGGGTTTTCTTTCTTTCTTAGTATCGGTCGGGGATTTCATTGGATTTTCACTGTGTGATTAAAATTTTTTATTTTTTTTTTTGCTTTTGTGGTTGCAGGTGTTGCTTGTCTAGATCTGCGTTTTTCACCAGGGAACAGAAAGAGGAAAGATGAATAACTACTACGGGTACCGTTACCAGAAGAACACCTGGGAGGAGATGAGGATGGAATCAGTGATTTGCCCCAAACCTCGCCGTTTGGGTCTCCCAAACCACTCTTCCATCAACAGTCATATCAGACCCTTGAGGCATCCCATAAGGTATTTCTCTGTTCCTTTTGCTTTTTCGGTAATTTTTGGTGATTTTTAAATCCATTTTTTAAATAAAATTGACTTTTTTTCCTGTGTATTCCAAAAAAAAAAGCTGTCAATCTGAGGTGGAAGATTCAGGAGTTGGGGCAGAGCTTATGGACATCATCCTCTCCAAGGTTGTTTCCCATGTCAACCTTCATATTATATACTAGGAAACAAAATAGAAGTTATTAGGAAAAAATGTTTACTTTCTTACATAATCTTCATGTTTTTCCATTTTTTCCTGCGAGCAAAGTGACATGATAAAGGGAAGTTTATTTTTAGTGACACTCACTCCACAGAAAAGTTGATTTTTTGGTGATGATTCTTGATCAATAGATGTGCATCTATTTTGATTTTCCTTGTAACTTATTTTCTTGAGAAAAGTTTTATGATTAAAAAAATGTTGATTTCTTGTGATACGTCGAAGATTCACTAAATCAATATTTGATTCATGGTCAAAGGTTAAGTATCCCTTTTGATGATAGCATCCTTATAGCTTTGCCATGGGGGCTTGAATAATCCAACCATAGACTTCCTGTCTTTTGATTTGTTTGTAGGAAAGCTGCTATTCGGAGGGCCAAGTGGTAGCATCACCGCCACCATTTTTCTGTGGATCTCCACCTAGCAGGGCTTCAAACCCTTTAATCCAAGATGAGCAATTTGGTAATGGGAATTTTAGTCCATTTACCGAGGCATCCTCTTCAGGTCGAGGTTGTGTTCCAATGAAATTTGGCCACACACCAGCTGCAGTGAGGATCGAAGGTTTTGACTGTCTTAGCCGTGATAGGAACAGTTGCAACAGCATCTCTGCTGTAGCATAATCCATTTTTCAAAATAAAAATGAAAAGAAAAAGAGAACTAATACAGGAAGCAGAAAAAAAGAAGGTAGAGAGGACTACAAGTCAACCAAGTTCAAATAGCAAAAGGAGACTTGTTTTTTTTTTTATTTGGGAAAGAGGACTAATCATGTTGAAAGAGTACTGGTATGTGTATATAAGTGGTCTTTGTTTTTCATGAGTGTGGTGTCATGTACAATTTAAGATGGGAAGGACTTTTTTTAGGTTTTTCCTTTGAATCAATAAAAGAGGACAAGTCAAGGAAAACTGGGGAAGTAAAACTTTCTTCTTTTGTCTTGTTTTGATCGTGGAGAATCTATAACCGTCATGTGTATGTCACAAAGATCCTCCCTTTGTAATTGTAATTTGGAGGAACTTGTGGTTAGATCTTTGGAATTTTGTATCTTTTTATGTTATTTTATTAGTTTTTGTTGATGCCCATTTTGGAGGTGTTGCCTATAGATGACATTATGATGATCTCGAAGGGAAGTTGCGTATGCAACGCAATCCACCGATTAGAAAGGCGAGGATGTTTGATTGTTATTTTTATAGTAGAGCACATCCATGATTGTGTTCTTTAAAAAGAAAGACACGAGGAAAATAATTATTGGTTTAGGAGGCTCTTAGGAAGCAACAATGCGCAATTCATGGTCAGATTTGGGCGGTTTATCTTGTGTTTTAATCATTGTATCCTTGATTGATTTGTTGGAAGACAGAGATTTAGTATGTGTTGATGTGAAAGGGTGTTGTGGAGTGGTGTAAAAGATGAGATGAGTAGTCAGCTATTCCGATATGCATGTGAAAGGGAGTGCTGCTAACGATTTTTATATAGGTAAGTGGGGGATCAAGGGGTATCATGTTTTATAAATATAAACGATTTTTCACAAGAGTCAAAGGGATAAGAAAAATAAGATCGAATGTATTAATAATGTAATGTGAAATGATTATAGTTATTTTATAAATAGGGCCCATGTGAAGTTGCGTAGGGCTTTATCATTTCAAATATTACTCAACATTAATTGAGCACGTTGGGCCTGCGATGTTTGCCAAACATAATTGATTATGAATAACACAACCATGTGAGTAGGTGTTCAATATTTTCAAACTAACCATAAAGATATATTTTTCAAGTAAATGATTAGCGTGCTGTTCCACGCGTATCAAACTGTAAAGCACATCGTAGTGAAAGTTTACTATAAATCCTCTTCTATTTAAATTTTCATATTTTCTCTCTTTTTTTTGGGGTGGTGGGGTTACTTGTGAATACAAAATCGGATACAACATTCACAAAAATGTCACCAATGTGACAAAAAATAAAGTGCTTGAACATATCAATGAAAGAATTATATTTACATTGTACATGTCAAATAGTGAAGAGTGTGCAAACGAATTTCAGCTGCTACTTCCTGTTCTACTGCCACCGTTTTGCTGGTTTAAGTTGGCCAATACTGAAGCTTTTTTTAATACCTGAAATCAAATTCGTGAAAGAAAGTTGAAAGTTAAATGAGAAGAGACTTCAAGAAGAAAATGGTTAACATAGCAAATTGGAGACTTCAATTTTACGTTACATACCTGATGGTGGCTTTTTCAAGGGCTCCTTTGTTGGTGTTGTGATAGACGATGTTCGACTTAATTTCCTCACCACATGTACATTTTTGGGTATTGCTTTAGATCTGCAAGATTCACAAAGAAAATTTTTAAAAAATTGAATCACATGTACACTATTTTTTCACTAGACGACGGAGATATTCTTAATCATGTTCTCTGTCCATGCATGCATGAATACACAACAAATTTAACACGCATCAAACTAGTAAACTAGTTATTAAATTTGGTGAAAATAACTAGCAAGGAAATTAACAAGAATTCCCTTTCCAACATGAAGTTTTATTAAAACTGTTTAGCTGCAATAAGATGACAGTGGCCAAAGTTGTAATAGTATGAGCACTACTCACTTCTCAATCTTATCAGATGATTTTGTGCCTTCAGTGAGAATGGAGTTTTCAGAACTATCAGTTCCTATGCTTGGAGGAGCAACATCATTTTCAGAATGAACACTTGATCTTTCATCAAGATCTGCATCTGAAAATCCTGGAGTTTGTATGTTTGCAGCTATATTCTTTGCTATATCTTCTCCAGAAAGCCCAGGTTGATGGAGAAATTCATTTTGGTGTATATGATCAACTATTGATCGGTGGGTATCATCTTCATGGTGCTTAATACTTCCACTTGGTGATTTTTGGTTTTGTTTAAGAATACTACCAACTGAACCTTTGTGTAAATGAAGCCGCTCAATCTCCTCATCTTTTGCCAAAATAGTGCTCTTCATTGAAGCCACCTAGGAAGTCAAGCAAGGAAAAAAGGATACTTAACCGTTTATTAATGAACTAAATTCAAAGTAAAAAATGAAAAGAAAGGAAAAATAGATATACAACATCAACTGAAAGGAATAGTGATGGTGCATTCACAAAGCTGAAAAGTGATTAATCAATTTGGTAGACAAAAAGTAAAGTACCTGTTCCATTAATTCTCTGACATCTTTGCCATCTTTACTACTTCGAGCAGCTCCTAACTCAACTCCAGAAACCCTCTCAGCAAACTTTAGAGTGCTGACAGTTTCAGAAAATGAACTTACGTCTGAGTTAATTTGGACAAACATGAGTGTCTTTGCTTGACCACCTGGTGCAAAATCAAAGACAAGATTCAAACATTAAAGAAAATGTACATGGAAAAGATTCAAGGCATGTTGACATTAACAAATGATGAACAAGGATTTACCAAGAGAAGTTTGGAGAAGTTGAGTGAGCTTGCTGTTTCTGTAAGGTACATGGGGGCTCTTTTGAGAAAGGGCAAAAATAACATCTCCAAGAGCTGAGAGTGATTTGTTTATATGTTGTGCTTCCTTAAGCCTATCTCCAGTTACTTCAGAACGATCCACCCTTTCACTTCCTGCCAAATCCACCAAATGAAGATTACCAACCTGAGTAGAACCAGACTTCAAATCCTTCCCACGAACATGGATTGAGACCACACTGTTCACACAAGTTTATCTGATGTCATCATAATAGAAACCTTTCATTTCAATGTTGAATGTAAAGAAAATAAGAAAATGGGTCTAACCTGTGAGAACGGCTACTTCTTTCATTCATAGCAGTTGCACTAATGGCTCTATTTTTAAGTCCAATGTCCATTAGCTTAATGACATCTGAAGGTGACTTCACAGGGAACAAGCTAGCATCTGGTACTGCTAAGCCCTTTGCTTGAGAGTGAGTCAATATCCCAAGTGTGTGCATTTAAGGAAATCAGAGAAGAAAAAAGCTTGAAGATGAAAATCCATGCAAAGAATATAATGTCCGAAGTTATTGAACAAAAGGATATCTTTTTGAAGAACCTTCAGTTGATAACAAGTCACGAACTTGCTCATTATATATCTCAACCATTTGAACCCCAATCTCATAGACGATGAAGGTTGATCTACTAGTCGAAATGCTAAAGAGGTCATTTAGAGCTCGATAATTAACACCAATAGTCTCACTTGTTGCTCCATTTGGACCAGTCTGAGAGAAAAGTTAGCATCTTACAGAATGAGAAATTCCTTCAACGTAGCATGATATATGAGATAAAAATCAATATGTTCATAAGGTTCATACCATTGTGTAAGTTTTCCCTGAACCAGTTTGGCCATAAGCAAATATACACACATTATACCCATCAAGTACTGATCTTATGAAGGATTGAATGTCAGCGTATACCTCCGCTGCATCATTCAGATTAGTATCATGAAGTTAGCAACTTTAAAAAATTAATAAACTGTAATCATAAATTTTAATATTAAAAACAGTAAGTATATAGAAATAAACCTTGAGTTATTGTAGGGCCGAAAACCTTATTAAACTTAAATGATCGATGAGTATCTTTTCCTTCTTTGGATGGATTTGACACAACCAAATCATTATCATCAATGTGTTCAACAATAGACTGTTTTTCCCTTTTTCCAGAAAGAAACGGTCTAATTCGACAATATACTCTGATATTTCCTGTATCAAAATAAGGGTGTCAATTCATAGTACATCTACATCAACAACCTAGTAGACAAACACACACGATACTACCTTTTAATTCTTGAACCTCGTTAAACAATTTTTTATTTTCAGCAAGAACGACACGATAGTTCTCCGCTGCTTGTACCAGTGATTTAATATTTACACCTGTCCATTTTGCAATAAAATGACAAGAGATTACCATCAATTTTCACAAAAATGACATTCTAATAATAACATGATAAGAGATTACCTAATCGACTACACTCCTCTGCATAAGCCATTTGTTCTTTCTTAACATCTTGCTTAATAGATTCCCAAGATAATCTCAAATTCTGCATGTATGGAAATTCAGTACAAAATTGTAATTTTTGACATCACGATAATAAGATTGACAATAACACATTTGTAAGTGTACCTGTAGTGAACTGGAATGAAATTTTATAACAGTCTGCCATTGGCTCATTTTCATTTTCAACTTCTGATATTTTGAATTAGAAGCAGCCTCAAGTTCCTTAATGTTGTTTCTTAATTCTTCCAATCGATGCTCATATTCTTTAGACTTTTGTCTTAATTCTTCTTTAGTATCCTTAGCTTCTGCTTCCAATTGTGAGCATTGTACTTGATATATTTTTTTGGTTGTTTCGAATTCCTGCTTCAATGCGGTAATTTCCGAGTTTTTCTTGTCCTCGTGCTCTTTTATCAACCTCATAATTTCTTTTTCATCTCCCTTCTTTGCTTCCTCTTTGATCTTTTCTGTCTGTGTTGAAGGGCCAAAGGACTCAAAATACAAACATGAAAAATAGTATACTGTAATAAAAACTGGTAATATATACAGTATTTCGGCCTTATACAATAAAAAGTGATGTCATAATATTATAACATAGTTATAAATATTTTAATATTACCTGTAATTAATAAAACTAAACTAATGTTATAATAATAATAACAACAACATTTCTAAACTATTATTTTCTTTAAAGGAATTTTATTAATGATTATATAAAATAATAGTGCCATCATTTAACCACACGTCATCTATTGTTATTAATTTATTATTATGTGTAAGTGAATTTGGTGCACAATTTATGGAACAATTTTTGTTATGAAAGTAGGTGCATGAATTTTATTTTATAATATATATAAAAAATACTATAACTTCACTTTAACTCTAAATAATTTAATTAATGATAAGTTTAGAAGAATACATTAGTGCCGTTCACACAGATAAAATATTATGAGCTTTTTAAAAAGACTTAAAAAATTAATGTTCAGTAAATATTTATGAAAAAAAATAATAATAATATCAACTTGCATTATATTATAATTAATAAATTTTAAATAAATAACAGCGTACCGATAGAAAAACACATATAACTTATATTACACGGATACAAATATAGATTAATTAAAGGATTTTGTCTCTACTGTATATAAATGTGTACGAATATGTTCCATATATTGACAAATAAGACTCTGTTACCTTATTTCTTATTTCTTCCAATCGATGCTCATATTCCTGAGACTTGTGTCTCAATTCTGCTTTAGCATCTTTAGCTTCTGCTTCCAACCGTGAGCATTGTACTTCATATGTTTTTTTGGTTGTTTCTAGTTCTTGCTTCAATGCTAAAATTTCCATATTGTTTTCCTCTTGTTCTTTCACCAATCTGATAATTTCTTTTTCATCTGCGGTCCTTCCTTCCTCTTTAATCTTTTCAGCCTGTATTGAAGGGCCATTAAGAGCATCATAATACAAATAAAATCAAATAATTTAACCAAAACCTCTTGGTCTTGTCGTGTCTCTCAAATTGTACCACTATGTTACTTATCTTAAGCATGCATAGTAAGAAAATTTTACCTGAATTCTTAACTCTTCCAATTGAAACTCATATTCTTCAACCTTCTGCAACAATTCTTCTTCCAACTGTGAAAATTGTACTTCATATGTTCTTTTGGCTGTTTCTAGTTCTTGCTTTAATGCTGAAATTTCCAAACTTTTGTCCTCATCCTTCTTTTCTTCCTCTTTGATCTTCTCACCCTGTATTGAAGGGATAAAGAGCCCAAAAAATACAAATAATATTAAAATATTTAATTCAATTTAATGTGTAACAATATGTTATTTCATCGTGCAAAGTAAGAAAGCATTACCATCAGCTGCTGAAACTGGCTAGCAAATATCTGTTAAAAAAGTTCCCTCTGATAAATAGAAAACTCATACCAATGCAAAGTCTGAAGGAATATAAAATTAAAAAACCGGAAAGAAAATAGAGAAGAAAGAAAACATAGATAACAATGTATTTTTCTGTATTAGGTTGAAGAGAAAAAAATGACTTTTAAAAATAAAAATTCAAAATTTTCTCTCCTCATTTTCCCTTCAATTCAAATTTCACTTTTTTTTCTCCTTTCATCTTCTTTCTTCTGAATCAGATAGAAATCACCTGATTCTACTTTCTCTCTTTTTGTGTCCCAAATTATAAAAGTGACACATTAGCAAAAGTAACAATGAAGAAAGATAATGTTAACTTTTAATAATGTGTCACTTTTTAATTGATACTCTTCTAGCAAAATGACCAGACAAACAAATTTGTGATACCTCACTCTCATCTCTATTTCCAGATGCAAGTGCCTCGAGTACTCTTATTCTTGATTGGTATTTTTCTTCACGAGCCTTAAAAAGATTGTTTTGCTGAAATCACAGGGCAAGAAAGTGATAATATGAACAAAACTCTGAAAACCAAAAGTAACTAACTAGCTTATGAAAGTGAACATAACATACAGTTCGTAAATGTTCTGCTTGAGTTGACATGCGCCGTTCAATCTCCTGAGTAACCTTTCTCAACAAGCAAGCCACACGCTGAACAACAAAGATAATAGACAATATTTATTATTATGTATGGTTCATGTGTTTATGTTGCAAGCCATTGCATGGATTATATACATGTAGTTTCATGAATAGTTTATGAACATATGTAACACCATCATACATGAGGTATTTCCCCATTTCTTTTTTCCAAGCTTTCTTCAAGAATACCATTCACAACACTCAGAAGCGACTGAGTGGGAGCATTCTGCAACAATACATACTGAAAATAATCAATGATTTATCAAACAGGAAAATATGCATGTATATTATGTACATAGTTACATACACATATATGGATAATGTGTGTGTGTGTGTGGCTAGATATTGACTTTAAGAACTTACATCTAAACTATTTGATTTCATCATTTCTGATATTTTTGCAGCAGGAAGATCTGCGTAGCTTCCAGGTTTCAGTTGAAACACCTCATGGAATTTGTGATTAACATGGTGTATTAATGAAGCTGGCTCGGCTGAATACACAAATCAACAAAACCTAATCACTTGAAGTCAAGAAACACCAATATCGTACAAATATGTAGTATTTTACCAAGAAATTTCAAGGAAAAGGCATGCCATACAAAAGTTATGATTTAACTTTTCGAAGCATACATACAGTGTAAGAAGTATTTTTTATGTTATTCTCCCATTAAAATTGACATTTCATCTAGATAGCTATTGCTTTTATCTCGGTAACTAAATCGTAGGATAAGTTTTCTTATATGTTAACACAACCATGTCGCCATGACTAGGAAATTGTATGTACTAAGTATAAACACACACAAAAGGCATAGTCTAAGTTGAATAAAATTCACCGGACCCGCCACAAGTGGGCTACTAAAGACACGTTGCAACTTTGACCCAGCTGAAACCCTCCTCGGTTGTCCATTAAATGGTGGAGAACAAGGAAAAGTGAAAGGTGAATTCCCACCAGGGCTCGACGAGTTGGAATGATTATTATCAGCCAAAGCATTCTGCAAACTTTTAGCTCTCAGGGTCAAAAGACAATCCACAACAGCCTTCATAGACCCCTACACAACAAAAGAAAGACATGGCAACCCCACAATGAGCACCGAACCAAGTCAAGAAAAACTATTACATAAACAAAACTAATTATATACATAAAATAATGATCCCACAAATAGCTCTCTAATACCTTCTCTAGGTCTGATATTTCAAACCGTTGCAATCCCATTCCATCCAAAGCTTTCAGAAAGGATTTAACATTTTCTGAGTGTGATGGCAGAGAATTATCAGGTTCACTAACCTACATAAGAGAATCCAGACTAAAAGGTACATCTCAAATCAAGTAGCCAAATCACAGTTATAGTTAACTGATAGGTTTAAAAAAGGTTACCACATTCACGGTGCCAGGTCTTAGCCTGTTCAGTATCTGGCACAAAACTGTACCATTGCTCAAGCATGCTCTCAACTCACCATCCGTGACATTTATTGGAAAGTACAATGAAGGTATAAGACTAGATAACCACTGAACTAAGAGCAATCGATGTTTGGCTGAAAATATTCAAATAGAAAGAGATCACCACATGAATGAATACATCACATGCAAATTGCTAATAGGGGTGGCAAGTAAGTTCTATATCCATACCTTCCACCTCACCATAGATGGAAAGAAAATTCCCATTTTTATGAAATCCAAGGGAACTAGCTTTTGGGCTACCCAATTCTCTGAATTCTGTATTGCTGTTAACAGATTGGGAATCCATCACTAGGTTCCTGGAGGGACACACAGCTTCAAATTTCCATGGAGGCAAGTTTCAAAGAAAGTCTCATTGTTTTATTACTTTTGGCCAAGAAATTCTTGGAATCTCAAAGCCTGAAATTAATACCCAATCCACCCCAATAAAAGTAAAAGTTAGGATTATGGCAGTTTGAATAAATTACATATACAATGCAATGAAGACATTATGATTCAAATTCCCGTTCCTAAGTTCAAGCCATTCAGTCCCTTCAAAACAGCAAAGACACAATCTTTATGCAATTGCAATGTGATTGAGGCGCCACTGTTTTTCTCACGTATTCAAAAACCATCCTGAAGAAGGAAACTTGAAAGGAAGAGTTTTTTGTACGCCATGTTTGAATTCAACAATGTGTTTCAAATTGAAAATTTTTAAATTAATATTCCAATAATATGAGATTATAAAGAACGGGAATTCAATTCATGCATAATAGTTTTCAGAACCCTTAAAGATGTGGAAAAAATATTTAAAGAAGAAGAAGAATGTGGGAAAAGTGACAAAAAAGGACAATGCATTGAAACCTGAGAATGCAATGAGACGTTGACGTTGAATCAATGATGGGTGTTGTGGGATGAGTTGAGGTTGATCATGAGAAGAGTCGGAGAGAGAAAAACCCATTGGGTAAATTTAATTTGAATTAGAAATATTTAAAAAAAATGATGTTAGTGTCGGTAAAGTTTGTTTGGAAGTGACAAATGAGAAAGGTGATGGACTGTTCCGAGGAAATAGGAGAACAACCCTCTCTGCGTCACAATCATGTAGAGCCAGCACCACAAAACCAACCGCCAAAAAGAGAGAACATACATTCCACGTGTTCAAGACCGTTTGTGTTCTTCGAATCTTTGAGCTGTTATTACTCATAAGTCAAATCTTCGTCTTCCCCCGAAGAATCTTCGATTTTTTTGTTACATAAAGAATCTTGGATTTGCACGTGCCACCACCTCCTTAAACTAAATATAAAACCAAAATTTGCAATATGGAAAAGCCAATGGGTTTCAAGTCCTTAAGTGAGATTTTTGGTTCCTTTATCACTGTATATCATGATTTCTTGAAATTTTTAAACCCCTTCTCCCAAGGAAAAAGTATATCATTTTATAATTGTTTTTTGGGTATTGTATGCAGTCAATTAGTATAATATAGTGTTGCATTCAAAATAAATTCTGACCCAAAAGTTCATTGCTGTTTTGCATATTTTATTTAATATATGTGTTTTGGATTAACTCAATGACTCAAGCCCAACTTATAATTTGGGTCAAATTAAGCTTTCTATTTTAGATTCAAATAACTTTAACGTAATGTTAGTATAGTAATTTTAGTGTGAAAATACTCTTTTTCACTGTTTGCTGCATTTGGCTTTCAGTGCCTGAAAAGAATATCTTGTGGGGCCTCCATGAGATTAATAATCTCACACTCCATCCTAAGTACCTTCTGTGAGTAATTATCTCCGTTCTCTATATTTGCATCATCTTAGAGAAATAGCATCACCATAAGAGAGGAAGCATGTCAGACAACCTGGATCTTGTCTTGTACAATATAAGTGAGACAAAAGTAAGGATACACTTTAAAGACAAAAGTAAATAATTATGAACATTAACTAAAAGTTAACAATTAAAATTGTGATAAAATATATACATGAACATGTATAATAAATAATAAAATGTTGTTATTTTGGTTATGGCCAACCTTATTTTCAAGTAATTGCAGTTCTAAGTGTTTGTAGTTAATTTTAAAATATTACTGTTATGTTTACAGATCAAATATTTTGTTAAAAATTTTAATATAAATAGTGTTAAAGTTAAAACAAAAATGAAATATTAAAAAGATAAAATAATAAAAATGTTATAATAATTAAAAACTCTTGTATCCTTTACGCACTGAAATGTAAATGTGGTAAAAAGACCAAAACGGGAGCTCTTCATTTTTCCCCCTTTATTCTTCATTATGCACCAGTCATGTTGGTAGCACTATAACGAAGCCAAGGGTCAGGAATTGATGAAAAATGGTTTTCACTTTAATCTTTCTGGCAGTACTCGTTTTGGCCTGCCTGTTCTTCTCACATTGTATTATTGAAGAATGCAGGTTAGAAATTGATCTTCTTATTAAAATAGGATTTCTTTATTCTTTTTGTTGATAAACATATAATATAAAATTATTAAACGTATTATATTCAATACTTCAAATTAATTTTAAAAATAAATAATGAAGGACGTTAGTATATTGAATATAATAATTTTAAAATATCTTTTTACTTTTAACTTTTTATTTTGTGTCTATGAGTACATATTAGAAAAGCTTAATAAAATGACTTTTTCCCTCTCTCTCTTTTACTTATTTTAATAAATTTTACAGTTAAGTTTTTAAATAAATTCTTATTTAATAAAAAAAAAACTTTTAGTACTTGCTAATTTGGTATTGGGAAAATGTTCATGCGAGTCTATAAAAGATATTAGGTTATTTAACAGAAAGAAAGTATCAAAGAAAGCTTAAAATAAGTGTACTAGCATTCTACTCAAAATAGCAGTTTCCTCATTATGCAAACTCATTCCATGCATTAGCAAACCCAAAGCTACACCTTCTTCCGAAAGGACAACATTGTCCAGCTCCAAGCTCCAACAACGTGGGATTTGGATTCCATGTCTGACCTGTCTTGATAGCCTCTTTTTCCATTCGATATATGTTTTATGAAAGTGATTTTTTTCTTTTAACGAATTACCAATTAAAATTTTATGCGCATAAATTAGTTAATCCTATGCATAGAAAACCGAAAGGCAAAACCAAGTATTAGGATATCTAGATTAGTCTTTTCAAGAAAGTAGAGTTAGAAGAGCTGAGCTGGATAATAACTTTGCTTGTAACTTTGATTCATTAACTACTTCATAAATTTTAAAACTTATAGTTCGTTTTATTTTAAAGCACCTAAACTTATAGGTGATTCGGACTTGCTCTTAGAATATAAACTTGATTTCTTAGTCGGTCAATTTCAATCAATCATGCTTTAATAACCTCAAATTGGCTCATTATCGGCAGCATTTAAGAGAAACTTGGCCAATCTTTTGGACAAACTTAAAGCAATATGAGTATGGCAATGATATGAGTAGTGGCCAAAAATCCAAGACATTGCTCTCAATTAGGAAAGGATCATTATCAAATGTGCAAGTTGTAAAAAGGAAAACAAGCAGTATGTGATGGCTCTACTCATATATATGAATGGGAAGCTAATTTCTGAAAGGGACTAAAAAAAGAAAGTGATTCATAAAGAAAAGTCTAAATTAGTGTGAGTCATAGGGAGGGACCTATCAGTCTCTCGTCAGGTTTGGACCCTATAAATTGAGACATGGATCATGATGATTATATGTCGTGTGATGGCTCCTCTACCATTACCTTTTTGATGTTTCCGTTATTTCATTTTCACAAAATCTGGTCCATTAACCACAAATTTTTGGACCACTCGTTGGTCATATATAGAGAGAGAACAAAACTTGCATTTCAGGATCTGTCATCTACTGCGCTAATTAAGTAGCTCTTGGGATATCAGAAAGACAATTTTTTAGTTGCAACGATTTATATGTGCTGACCATAGACGCAAATAAACGTTGTGTTGAATTTGTGCCTGATTAAATATAAATATTACCTCACCAGAGGTCATGATGATCTTGTGGTTGCAGATATATAGCAGTTTTTATTTTCAATTTTGATGTCATGAGCTGCCACAAGCAACAAGTATTTCTATGATTCATTATTGTTACAATCAGCGATACAGAGAGGAAAAGAGTGAATTTTACAAATTAATACCAAAGGATTCATTTTCATAATTTTCATTTTACTACAAGTGATATGAGATTGTTCGACGAAAACATTTAGTCCTTCTTCGGCTAAGACATATTTATGTTCAATTGTATGTTTCAATAAATTCAATGGTTTCATTAATGTCAAGATATGATGAAGCCATTACATAGATATGCGGACACAAAATATTTATGTGGTATATGAATGGATCAGCACACCCTAACTATTTGCACATTTTAATTGACGCTCTTGTAAATAACAATTAATGAGCCTCGCACTGTAAATGGCGAAGTTTTGAAAGTTTGCAAATGCTAGTACATATAGGAAATTTCGGGTTTTCATGAATTTATAGAGACTGACAAGATTAATTGTATCTTCTAATAAATTAACCTGAACCCTAGCGCCAACAATTTATATCTTCTAGCGGTTGGATTTGAGATGGAGTTGTATTTAAGTGATGTCAAATGTATAGGGCCAAAACAAACAAGGCCAAATATTGTCCTAATATAGGAAGGGGTGGCTTCCCCTCTCCATAACTACGGTTCCATATATATCTAAAACCTAATAATTGCATTGGTATTAGTCCAAACCAGCCCTTACCATTGAGGTGCATTTCAGATTCCCATCAGCATATAACTTGAGGAGATTTTTTGTGAATTTGTTCAAATTTGTGATGCATTCATCTCTCTAACTCCGATCCTCCTGTTTTGTTCTTTATGCACATGGAACCGAAATCACGAGCAGCTGCATGACTTGAAGATAAATATAAAATCTAACAGTCATCTCAACCTGATGAGTTCTGTAGCCTAAAAAATAAACTCGGTAATCACAATACCAACATTGAATAATTGATCTAAGAATTGAAGGTTTAATTACCTTTTTAATCTTTGTGATTTAGTTTATGTGTAATTTTAGCGCCAGCACATACACAAAATTTAAAAGAAGAATTTAAAATCACGCCTAAATTAAAGTACAGAGATGAAAAAAAATGCAATTAAGCTATAATTAAATTTTAAATAAGTAAGGAGCAATAAAAGGCTTCAAAATTCGATTACCCATATCCCCAACCTGGCGAGAAGGATTATATCATTAATGTACTAGACCTGCTAGAGATATATAGACAGAAATATCCCAAGCAACAATTCTAGTAAAAATAACCTGACCCGTTAATACTGTTATTGAGATTATAATTAATACAGGCTATCATATACATAATAGCCAAAGCTAGTATCAATCCAAATTTGCAGAAAAAGCAAAGATGGATCCATTAACTGATTGATGTCAGTGGTAAGCAGTGTTTCCAACAAAGCAAGTCCTCTTAACAAAACGACCTTTCATTCTAGGCCTCTTCTCTGCATTCAACTTCCTTACTTCATACCTTATCTTCTTTGCAAACAAACGAGTCCTTCTCTTCTCTCTGTACCTCGACACTCTTGCTTCTCTTCCCCCATCTAAGTGCCCTCTTAAGCTTCTGATCACTTCCCCATTTTCACCACTCGAACCCTGAAATTCACAAACACATTTGTATGGGTATATATATATATAACATTACTCAAACAATAGAAACAATCAAATCATAGAGAGAAGCAAAGAAAGTTTAGTAGTAACTAGTACCAAGCATAAGTCATAATCGGAGTTGATTGCACTTTTCCAAGGAGAAGAACCTTGACTAGCCCAAGCAGTAATAACCTCATCATAATTTAGTCTCAAAAATATGTCTCTCTTTGTTCCCACTTCTTCACTCACTCCAACATTATCCACCACCACACTTTCCTTCTCTTCCCGTGCACCTGAAAGCACCGAATCAATATTATTCCAACGAAAAACATCCTCGTTTGTCATATCAAGAACCGACTCCACATGACACGCTATATCATCATCAAGTTCTTCTTCATCCTCAACCCTCACCATTGCACTTTTTCCTCCTCCACCCACTTCATTTTCTTCCAACTTATAGTTAATTGAATCCTCATCAACCCCAGTAAGTAGGCTTTCAACATCAGCAGCAAATTCAACGAAATCCATGTCAAACCGATCAGAAAAACTCTCCATGTCATTTTCTTTCATTCCATATGCACTACTAGGCTCAGCATCAAAAGGGTCGAACACAGGCACACGACACAGCAACTGTTCCTCCTCTATCTCATCATTATCCACACCTCCGAGTTCTGGCACAACGGGAAGAACACTAGCGTTATTAAAGAGCACTTGGTCTTTGAGACGTTGTTGGAGAGCGAAGTGCTTGTTGTTGTTGTGACGAGGGGTTCTTGCTTTGCGTGTGAAGCCACTATGCCACGTTGTTACCTTAGAGGAAGCTGTTTGAAGACGAACCCTTTCGTGCCTGCTTGCTAACTGGTTTGCAGAATGAACCAAAGTGTCGCAGCCATGGCAGAGGAAAGCATCGTCAGCAGCACAGAACCACCGTGCGCGTCTACGTACGCAGCTATCGCATGCTCGTGCTGTCTTGGCTCCCAAAGCACCTGCGGCTTTCATGTCTGTCATCATAGTAACTTTATTTTTTCAAGTGTGCAATGGAAGAAGCAACGGAATATTGAGGCGTTTTTTCGTTTATTTATTTTTTAAGAATCACATAGCTAAAAAGATTCAATTATATTGTTGATGTGTGTTGAGACTTGAGAGTGTTGTGTGATTGTGGGGTCTATCTTTCTCTTAATTGGTTGTTTTCTCTGCCCATGCACTTTTGGTAATTTCTTAATGGAGGGTTTTGGGACCCGCAATTTGGCCTCATCCAAGTGTTCATTGGTTGGAGGTTGGAGGTTCATCTTATTCTCTGAATTCTCATTGGTTACCTCTCTAATAATGGGATTTCTCGGGGACCCATGTTTGGTGTCAACTAGAGTTAGTGTTGGACGTACATTAAATTTTGAGTAAGACCATTTTGTTGCGTTGCTTTTATAATTCAATAATTCCTGGTAGAACTTTAAAATTCCAATTTGCGGTCCCAATCTCAAGGTTCCTTTCACTTCACCCTCGTTTGCCTTCTACCCATCTTCTTCTCTTTGTCATTGTGATTTTTCAACCATTAGATGTTGGGCGGTGCTTGAATAATATACGTATGATTCTGGTTAAATTTTGATAATACGGGATATTTTGTCTTTTTTTCTACCTTTTATCTTAAATTGGTGGCTGAGCTTTTCTGAGCACCAAACCCACTAATTTTAATTTGTCATTAGCTCATCATTAATTTTCAGCCTGCGGCATGCAAACATTGATCCCTATAGATGAAAGGGAAAAATAAGATTGATATATATAACCCAAACCCTACCAGAAGAGAAACCCTGCCTACCAATGGGTTTAACAAGAGGAAGAGTACAAATGTTCAATCATATTGTCGTTTTTACGAAGCAGGATCTGCTGAGTTAGTATCTGCTTAACTCTGGTTTCCGCGCATGAAAAGGCAACTTTGATGTAACAGAGAGATTTAAGATCAATCAGATAGCCGTAGCTGATATAAAACAAACCCGAGTGTTGACATTTTAGGTATCAGTCCAAACAGTAGATCACCACAGAATTTTATATATTTTTTGGGCGGTAAGAATTATGTTATTTTAACTACTTGTTTGAGAATGGGTATTTAGATATCATTCAAATTAAGTGTTAAAATAATATTAATCGAGAATTTAATTCAATATAAAAGCGTCAAGTTATAACAATATATTTATATTGACATTTAAATAATGATAGACTTTATTTTAATGCTATTAATTATAATTTTTATTTTAAATTTATATACTTTATAAATTTTCATTAAGATAGGTGTCAAATGTGAGGTTCAAGGATAAGATAACTGTGGGGAAATGAATAAATAAATACACTGGACAGTCTATTCCATCACCTAAACATGCTTGCTAAGTGTTACCTGTGCCATCCTATCACGTAAATTAACAGTAGGAAAGGGTGGGACAGACTCAGAGACACAACAAACTTTATGTTCCATTAGGCAATAACGCGTGGCATGTGGATAAAAGCCTAAAAACATTGAGGAATCTCAGTACAATGTTAATATCAATCTGATTGCGGTATTTTAAAATCTTCACAATTGATAGGATAGTATAAGAAAGTTATATTATGACACCTGTTTGCGTTCAACGACAACACGAATGCAACTGATCCATTAGATATTCTTGCCAGAATTGGAGGAAGGTGTCTGTGCCAAAATCTGTTGCTGCTAAAGCCTATGATCCATAGCTATCACTCACGTGAAAACGCTTAGCTCTTGATCGCTTCTCTCTGTCAGATTTTCTTTTTATTGTATTTTATCAATCAATATTGGCATTGTTAGGCTTAGAAATCTTTCACTACTTTCTAGTACATGACCAAAATTACTATTCATCTTCTTATAAAAAGGAAACCTATCAATTCAATCAAATCAAAATCTCCGTGTGTATGCACAAGCCAAATAAAATTTCGCTCTTCTCCTCTCATTAGCTGTTGTTCACTTCTCACATAATTATTAAGCCTCACACTTGTATCCTAACTTGACTCTTCTTCACTTGATAAATGAGACACACAAGAGACTTGAACGGTTGGATTTTTCCTCATGTAGGCAGAACTTTCAGTTTCAACAAATTAATAATCCAAAATTGTTAGACAACATTTCTGTATTTATTTTTATAACTTTTTTATTAAACAAGATGCCTTTGTTAATACACTTGTACATGTAGTTCTTAAGAAAATGCTCTCATATGATAATGGCCGTTAGAAGCAGTTTTCTTCTCTTACACGGAGTAAAGGGTAAGGTAGAATTGAACACAAGATATGAAGTATATATTCTCAAACTACCTATGCTTTTTCAAATGTGAAGAAGATAAAGGATAAATTTTGTCAAGAATAACTGCAGCACATTGATTGAAAATTGACTAAGCGTTCCCCTGGAGGCATGAGTACTCGGAACAGCCTTAGACATTGGCAAGGGGGATGGGCTTGGAGAAATAGCAAAAGGGTCTGCAGGAAATGCTGATGAGGAAGGCCAACATGATCCTCCAGAATGACTTTGATTATCTACAACAAAGAAAAAAAAGAAAATTAAAAAAGAAAATTAAAAAAGAAAAAGAAATAATGGTAAAAATTAAATCAATAAATTATAAACTTCTGTTGTTCTTGCGGTAGAGGTGATCTTGCTTGTTAGTAATTATTACCCGGGCATTGGACGTAAGAAGAGTTCATTATACTGCAAAAGGCAAAACATAAAACCTGTATTAAAAGGGTCCTCAAACCAAGGTTAACAGAAAGTGAACCCCAATTAAAAATTTAATTTGTTAATCTCAACTTTAGGATTGATTTTAAATATTCAAAAATAATAACTTTTTATTAAAAAAATTTGTCAAAATTTTTAGCATAAGCTTTTACTTTGCATAGCCAAAGTATTGAACTCTTTCTTTCTGTGGTCTACATCTCTTTGTGGGGTTGGCCCCTGATTCTGTTCTTATGAGCGTTCAATTTGTTTACCTACTCAGAATTTTGCCACCCCTATGGCCTCGGTAAACACACTGGCTTACATTGCAACCAGTTTTTGAATGTTTCACATGTTCGTCCCCAATTACAAGTTTGGATCCTTTGCAACGTAAATTGTAGCAGGGGATATCCAGCCCAGAAGGAAAACATCGCATCCTGGTTAAATTAAGAGCGTAAGCAATCATATCTATACTAAATTTTTGTAATTAAAAGTCAAATAAGAATTTGTATAGAAAATTAACTAGAATGAATATTGTGGTAGCTTACTTGAGATCAATTGGTTCACAAGTGCATTTGATGCAGTTGCTGGCTGTTAAAGTATACGAGCCATTTGGGACTATTAGATTGTCATTGTACCAATTCAGAGTTGCGGATGAACATGCTGCAAAGGATGGTACAAGTCTACAGAATATTATGTCATTGTTGCTAATCAATCAGTAATTATATATGATCTAGAATCAAAATTTCCTAAGTTGGAAAATACCAATCTTTCTCTCTCCTTCCTAATTCCCCTCTGCATCCCCAAAAGAAAAGGAAATAATGCTTTCTCTAAAACAACAACAAAATAGGGGTTATTTGGGTCTTTCTTGCTTTTAATTGCCATGACCTAACTCTCTGTTCCATATGGCAGAATCCGAAATTTTTATGAAAGAATTTAGTAGAAAGATCACATCAATAATTTCTAGGTTTAACTAATTATCTTATCAAATTTCTTTTATGTCACTTAGAGATAGCAATAAATAATAAAGTATTTTGTGAGTATCCACAAAATTTACAGTATTTACCTATTACATGAGTAAAGGTATCGATATGGGTAAATATATATATATATATATATATATATATATATTATTTTAATTAAATTTGTTATTCAGATTCAAAAGTTAAAAAAAATGTTTCAGGTATCTATCTCTTGTTATCATTTAGCATTTAAACTTCGTTACTTTCATTCTTAATGTTTGCCTCATTAAAACCTATTGCAATAACAAGCAACCATCCACTATGCAAATATATTTCGTTATCGCTTTGTTGTTTTCATTCAGTTAGATCTCATACAAGATATGATCATTGCCAACAAATAACTTGTGTGTTTATTTTTGTTTATAATTTTTAAGAATTTTAGTTTAAAAATTGGTTATATTAAGCTATATTTAGCACTTGTGATCTTTGAATATTTATTTTTTTATTTATGCTTATGTCTTGTTCGACAATTACGTATTAAATTTTTGTATTATTATGCTACTTATGTGAAGTTATATAAGTATATTTTTCTTTATAAATTATTTTTTTTTTCAAACAAGCACGAGTAATGGATACAGGTATGAGTATGCGAGTATTTAAAGGGTACGAATACGAAAATTAATGTTCATATCTACGCACGGTATGAGGTTGGGTACATGTATTTTTTTAAAAATATAAATATGAAGATAGATATTATAGTACCCTATCCATTATCATTTTTAGTCTGACTCTTCTCTCTTTTTCACCAAGTAACAAAATAGAATTTAGGCAAGTGAAAAGTTCATAGCCCATTTTAATTTTGACCCACGGATGATAGTAAAGTTTACTTTATACAAATTATGTAAGGGCCTCGTTGCATACATAATGAAAAAAAGTTAGGCTTGTTTTTTAATTTTTAATATTAAGTCATAAATTTAAATCATATAAAATATTTTTTATTTTTTAAAATAAACTTATTTAGTGATAGAGTAACTATGTGATGAAAAAAATACAATAACAATGATAGAAATGATTATATTAGTGAGTGAAAATAATTTAACAACAGTAATGATATTGTGATAATAATGAGACATATAATTGTGGTTATAAAAGTGATAATTACAATAATAATAAATATTAGTAATAGTAAGTACAATAGCAAACGTTGTTTGTATTTTAAAAGCATAAAAGTTGAATGATTTGATTTATAATTAAAGATAAAAATATTTTTTTATTTTAGAATTTAAAATAAAATTATTTAAAATTAAATTAAAAATTTATTTTTATTTTAGTAGAATGAAACTTTTTTGAAAAATATTTAAAATTAGAAACTCAAAATTACCTTGAACATGTTTTTAGCTTTTAGGATTAATTTTAAATATGTCAATAATAATAAAAATTTTATACTCTTAATATAAGAAAACTTTTTTCGCAAAAATATCACTTTTCTTTAAAAAAAAAAAAAAAAAACAAATATCCAAAGAGAATAAAACAAAAAAAAGGTCAAAATATAAAATACTTTCCCCTCTAAGATCTTTGAAAGGGTAACTCAACAATAAAAACAAAAGTGTGTACAACACTTACAGGCTACTGCAGTGATTTAGACATATACTAACCTGCAATTGGAACAGAAAGTATGTCTCCCAGATCTACTTCTGCTTCTCCAAGCCCATTTACAGTTTCCAAGTCTGAAACAGTGGTACCAAACACTGCTGCTATGCTTCCCAAGCTCTCCCCTCTTTCCACCACATATGACATATAAATTGTGGCTACCCCATTGTTCTCATTGTTAAAACATGTGCATGGCAGTGGTATAACAAGGGTCCCTTCATATGTCAAAGGGTTAGTGCCATTGATGTTGTTCACACTCTTAATTTGTTCTGCACTAACTAACCCGCCATAACCTTCTGATATGGAGGCAAGTGTGTCAGCTGCATGAACAGTGTAAATGGTTGGCAGAGACCTTCTTATGCCATCGACACAATTACATGAAATGGGTATTTTCACCAATGATTTCGCACAAAGGATTTCATTTGCACTTGATGGTGTTATAGGAAAGACAGAGTTTGCAGCCAAGATATCAGAAACATTTACGTTGAAGCGAGTTGCAATTTCTGAGACCTTGGATTCCCAAGGCAAGAGATAAGAGAGAAGGGAGGGGCAAGAGTCTGAGGAACTGCACGGTTCAATAGTGGATTTTGTTTGAACTAGATATGGAACACACACAAAAATAATGCACAAGATCTGAGGATAAAGAAACTGCAAATAGTTTCTCATTCTGTGAGCTTTGTTCATTGTATTAATCAACAGGAAAATAGAAATTGAAGGTTTTAGTTTTCTACTCCTTCCATCCTCTCAATAAATTCAACCCCAAATTGTTAGGTAAGTCCACGTGATGGTCCTCTCAATATTATATTTATGAAAGTAATAGAATTTAATTCCTTTAAAAGAATTTTTATTCATATAATAAATATATAAAACAATTCATGTAACCAAAAAGATAAAAAAAAAAATTATGAAAAATATAATAATTAAGAAAAAAGTATTGTGTAATTTTTTTTACATAAATATGATATCTCATAGTTGAAGAATTTATTACCTTAGAGAATAAACTAAGAAATGTTATAACTATTTAATTAAAAAATAATTATTAAAATTTAAATATTTTAAAATATTTGCTATATATACGTACATATTTTTCAGTATAGTTATAACTATTACCATTTTAATATATGAGTATAACTTGTTACTTTATGCTTTAAATAATTTTTTTAAAAATCAGGATACTGAGAGCATGTTTGTTTAAAATTAAAAAAATAAAACTCTTTTAAAAATAGAAAACAAACGTACCCTGAATATCAAGAATTAAAACGTGTCAGATTTAAGTTTTTGACAGGAGAAATCCTAACAATTTACTCTTTAACTTAATTTTTAGCATATTTTTTATTATTAATTAAATTTTATTAAAATATGTGACTCTTATTTTTTTTCACTTTTAAATTAATATTTTTTTACTTTATAGTTTTTGATAAATTTAAGCTAATAATAAAAATATATTAAAAAAACATGTTATAATGTGTGTTGCTAACGTTTTTTTATTGCTACCGTAGTTGAGCAGGACAAGGAATCTTGGCTTACTTACCCTTCGATTTGTCCTAATACCTAAATTTGGAACTATCACTCTCTTTGTGACTTGAACAGGGAAACTGCATTTACGTGTGTTAACAAATTCTCAGCAATTTTTGTAATTGTTTATGGTGTAAATGATATGATCTAATGAAATTCGTAACATTCAATCATAAAAGTATTGAAAATTAATTGACAGATAATGGCGACTATGACGTTGATACTAATTTTTTTCTTAATAAAAAACATACAAGATTACAAAGATCCGAATGTTCTCACGTCGTGACCTAAAAAGTAAAATTAATATTAATATATATATATATATATATATATGAACATGATTTTTTTACATTACATTAGGTAAAGTTTAAAAATTCTTACATTTAATTTAAACTTTTTATTTAATTTATATTTAATAGATTATAATTTATTACTTTATTAATTATTAAATATAAATTAAATAAAAAACTTAGATTAAATATAAAAAATTTTAAATTTATACTATTGTGAGTAAATATATATTTTAATTAATTATAATTAAATTAAAAATATATTTATATTACAATTCAATGAGCTGCGAGAGAATTTACAATAATATGTATGACTTTAATTTTATAAGTTTTTTCTCAATTTAATACGGTAATCGGTTAACCCCTTGGCAAATATTGCTTATTAATGCAATATTTTTTTAATTTATATTTAAACTGTTATATGCATATGATTATGACATTTCAGCAACAGGATATACTACGCGTGCAAAGCGAGGCGGATAACAAAACAAAAAATTGTTAGTATTGCTAAAGAGAAATATGAGCGCTATTAATACATATTACACTAAATATTTTGAGAGAAAATTACGATGAGTTAGTAAAATAAATAACTTATAAATATATTAATAAAATAACTTATTATAATATATTTTAAAATGTTAAATATTTAAATTTAATTTTTATTAAATTTTGTTAATAAAAGATTTTAATTTTTTAAATATTTAAAAATTTTGTTAACTTCAAATTTTAGGATTCAGTTTAAGAATTAATAAATAAAAAAATTTATAAAAAAATATACAATTATTATATTAAAGTTATAAAAATATAATAAATATTTCTTTTTTTAATAAAAATTTTCTATTTGTAGATATTTATTAAGTTTAACAAAATTTAATATTTGATATAGTTCTTTCTTTAATCTAATTTTTTTTAATGTTAAAAAATATATATAATTATTTATTCACGTAAAACCATATCATATTCTCTCAAACTCACTTTATTTTTATTTTTAAAACATTCAAAAAAAATTATATTTTTAATATAAAATTCAATGATAAATTGAGTATGTACGATTAAAATTTACTTAATAAAAGTTTGAAAAGAGAAATTTAAAGTAAGAGATCTCATGAAGTTTACGTAATCCTTTTTTAGAATGAAAATTGTCAAGCTTTATTCAATTTCTCTTTCTTCTATTTTAATTTTTTTTTATTTTTAATCTTTAATATTATGCAAACATATTTCTCATATTTACCCTAAATCCTAAACTTACATAACCATTTTTCATTGGATTGTTAGACTTCTAAATGTAAGGGTTTTCTTTTTTAAAACATCATATACTCATCCCAATAATTTTAAAAATTATCATTTTGGTTTGATCAGAATAAAGGTAATGATTAAAGATATTTTGTTGAACTAGAAAAAATGCAAAAATTTCACTTCATACATTTAGATAGAGATGAATTTAAATTTTTCACAGTTCCTATTAATGATACAGTTGTCTTCCTTCCTCTCTCTTTCTCTACCTTCTATTAATGTCCTTAGTACGACATGAGTGAATATTCCAAATCCCCTTGTTATGGCGTGAAGGGAGTACTTGCAAAAGGCACTCCAATGATGAATTCAGATGTCAGTCTAAGTAATAAATATTATTTATTATTCATAAGTCATCCATTTACCTGACCTCTTACTTTTCTTTTATAGGCAAGATATTGGGTTAATGAGCTTCATGGTTTAGCCTTATCTTTAACCTTTTGATTATTTAGGTAATTAACCTTTTTCTTTAATTTTATTCTCTCCAATCATCTATATCATGATTGGAGAAATGTTTGCCATTAGGTTGGGCCAAGTAGGCATTTGGATTCCTTTTTCCATTGTAATGATCAAATAGTATTTTATCCAGTACATTGACCAAATTCTCTTAAGCTAACACACTTTTACTTGAACAAATCAAAGACAAAAGTAAATTTAAATTTTTCATCAAAATTAGCTTAAGCCACAACCTATGTGCTTAAGCAAATCAGAGACATATGAATCTAACACACATTCGCTTAAGCAGTTATTGTGTTGTATTTCACGGTTTAAGCAGATTATGTTTCGCTTAAGCAAATTACTTTTGGTGAGTTATTTTTTTTCGATAACTTTCGCTTAAACGAAGAAACTCAGTTTAAGTGAATGTTGCAGTATTTGTGCAATGTAAAAATGATAATTATACAGAGAGAACATATGAAAGATCTAAAAGAACATTGAATAATATATCAATACAAAATTTTATTTTCATGATGAATTGAGACTATAAGAGTGAATGTAAAAATTTTAATTCTAAAAAGCATTAATTCATAAATAGGATTTATAGATAACTCTAAAAGTCTAACATAACATTCAACATTCTATTAATTCAAAAGTTATTTTTTATTAAGTATTCAAACTGCAATTAAATGTGAATCTGAATGCATATTTTCTTAAAATAAGATTAGAAGATTTAGGATACATAAAAATAAAGAGGAGAAAACATAACATACAGAATTAAGACAAAAGACAATAATAAATTTTGAAGCTACAAAAATGATTTTGAAGGTCCAAAAAATATTTAAAATTTTTTATAAAGAATTAAATGATAAATATGTATAAATTTATATTATTAAGTTATAGGTAAAAAATCTGAATTGTTTATAAATTTTAAAATACATCTAATAATTTAAAAATAGTCACTCACTCATGAGTTATCTTCCTAAACTCATATTAACGTCCACCAATATTTTGATCCAAATTCTTGAAATAACAGCATTCTTAAGGCTTCGAACTCGACATCTTAATTATTTAAGCTAAACTATATTCCATCATTTGATCTACGCATTGTTTTCTTGACTATGATACTTTGCTAGAAATCTAATGGATTAGGCTCAAGTGTGCGGGTTAGTCCAATTAATTTACATAAACTCGATTTGTAAAAAAAATGTTACTTATACTTTTTTTATTATTTACACCATTTTTTATCATTTTATAAATTCAACTTTAAACAATGATATTGTATCTTTTAAAAATAATTTTCAAAATTTAATTTCCCAAATATATTAAATACACCTCCAAAAAGTTAAATTCTTTTAAAACAAACAAATATACACACTTAAATGGTAAAGATATTATCTTTACAATTATATATATATATATATATATATATATATATATATGTCAAACTACAGGTCAATACAGACAAACATACATATACACTATTGAATCATGTAACTCGTATTTTAAAAATATACTATATTAAAATAAAATTATTCATTTAAAAAAATTTGTAAACTTAATCTATTCAAAAAAAATAAAAATTCAATTCAATAATTAAAATGATAAAAACGTAAGAGCTATAAAAAGTTTAGCAATTTTAAAAAAATATTTGATTATTCAAGTGTGAATCAAAAGATAGCAGGAAGGGTCTAACAGGCCAAGCACAAGCCCAAGAATCCTTCTACTAACCAACCCTAAGAATTAGAATGCTACATAACACGCACGTATACCACAAAGAAATCCCAACAATGAATGCAAGAAAATAATGATTTGACAGCTCATTTTAGTTTATCCGGAAAAAAAAATAAAAGCATGTTTGTTTGTTTTTCTTTTAAAAATTATATTTTTAAAAAGAAAAACAAATATGCTATAAGCCTATTTTCCTATTTATCAATGAATACCACCCAACTCAAAAATATGCTGTCGCCAATTGCCAGCATCATTCATGTTGTTTGCTATTTTAATGCCTCGAATTAAAGTATGCTTTTGATACCGTTTTAAATGCTACTTAGTGTTGGTATAGCTGTCAATAGTAACAAATTGGAATCAAATCAATATGAAAATTATAAATTATTCTATAAAATAGTTAACGAAATGAGAGGTGGATATGTG